CAGTTATAGTAGTGACTTTTTTTTTGCCCTGTATATTCATAGCAGGCCATAAGTCTGTAACATAAATGAAATTAGCATCACAAATGAGAACTCCACATCCACATTGGACTACTGCTAAAGAAAACTGTATTACATATTACATTGCTAAATGCAGGCAAAAAAGTTCAGCCTTTGCTTCCAGAGTGCAGTTTCAAATACATAGAAGGGGAATGATGAGCCCGATACTTCAGTTCACAATTCTCACCTCATCACTTCAGCATAACTCATTGCTTCATCGATACCAGGAAAGGCACTCATGGCCTCTTGCATCATCTTCTTGCCCATACTTAGCATGTTATCTTCCTCAAAAAATTCATCTGGAAGCTCAGCTACACCCAAGCTAGGATCAATCTCCTAATAATAAATTACAGACAGAATATAATTCAACACCAGCATGTAGAAACTGCATCATTAAGCCACTCAATGTGAATGCTTCAGGTGAAACAACAAAATTTACGATATGAAAATAATCTACACTTAGTCCTCAAGTCAGGAGATTGCAAAATGTGATCACATGACCCCAGAACATTGCAACCATCATAAATACATGCCTCGAGCACTCTCTGGTACAATGAAGAATTCACACTGGATTCAATTAAAAATGAGCTGCCCAAACTCTGCTGCAGCAAAGCAGCCCCAAGCACAACATTTCCACCACAGCCAATATCAGGTTATTCTGTTGAAATGCTGGTTTTGGTTTCTGCCAATTATGTCTCTTAGTATTATGGACAAATAATTATCTTTGCCCTGTTTGTCCAGAGTACAATGTTGCAGAAGTCTTGATCTTTGTCTACAGGTTCTGAAGTAAAATTTAGTGTTGCCCCAATGTTCTTTCTAAAAAGCAAAGGGTTTCCTTTTCACACACCTCCCATGAAGAGCTTTTTGTGCAGCTTCTTCCTAATGATACTCACACAGTTTTACATATGTAGTGACAAAAACTATCTGTAGGTCATGTGATGAAACTTTGGGGTACTTAGACTTTTCTTTCAGCAACTTGCATTCTGCTCTCAGGCTGAATTTGTAGGCTAGACTGACCTGAACAAGCTGCAGTTATTTGAAATCTTCTCCACTTGGAAATTATCTTTTTGAACATATGATTGATATTCTAATCATTTGAACCTGATTCTCATTTTAGGCAGAGGTACAAATAAATGTAGATGTGCACATATAGATTTCCTTTATCAATATTGTTGAAACAAAGATAAAATATATGCTGAAATATGTTGCAAAAGTCAAACATTTCAATGGGGTGCCCTGTTTCATATGACTGAATAGGAGTCATATATGTTTCAGTTTTAATTAATCTTTACTTTTAACATTGATATTTATATTTTAAATGCCTTTTTATTGCTTATTGTACACAGTCTAGAGTAATATTTTGTGATTAATAATTGCAATAAGGGAGTCCATTTTTTAAGAGAATACCCAAATACTTACAAAACTTTTAGGAGGAAAAGCCTTTTCTAATAAGGAGACAAAGTAACTGGAATAGCATTTCCTTCAAATAATTTCTGAGTATTAGTGTACTATTTAAGATAAAAGAACTAAGGAAAAACAAATTTGGTCCAGATCTTTCTTTCTACACAACATATGCACAATTTTAACATATGAAAACAGGTTAGTTATTTATCCTCTCAGCTCACCATGGCAAAAAGATTATCATAACCCTGTACTTTGGTGGGAACCTTGGAAAATTTCTGGTCAAAGGCATCTGAGATGTTATGAGCAGGATCAGTAGAGATGATGAGGACACTCTCACGTACTTTGGAGAGCTGTACAGCTAAGCTACAACTGGACCACAAAATAAAAGCAAGAAGCAGTTATTAATACACGCACGCAAACTAACAAACAGGACAAGCTTCTAAAATTCAGATCTCCCTGTACTGAAGAACTATATGCAGGACTTTTAAGATTTATCTAAACTATTTATTAAATAGAAACATAAACAAACAAATTGCAAGTGATTACTTCATGCTTTTTTAATGAAAAAACTAATCTGAAAGAAAAAGATAATATTGTAATAGATATTATGTTTGTGAACTATTTTATTTAGAACTAAAACAGTTGAGATTTTGAACGAGGCAATAGGATTATATATTGAAATAATCTGAGACATTTTACTATGCATATAAGTTGAGTTTAAGCTTTTTTTTTGCTACAAAAGTTGTGGATGTTTCTATATAATACAGTGCTATAGTTCAGAATATAAATACTGCAATATTTTGTTCTATTTGTATTTGAGATTAATTTTTTTTTGCTATCCAGGTAGTCCTCAATTTACAAGTGAGCCCAAAATTTCTGTTGTTAATAGAGATATTTTTTAAGTTTTTTACAACTTTTCTTGCCACAGTTGTTAAGTGAATCACTGCAGTTGGTAAGTTAGTAACCTACCGTAAATGCCGGCGTATAAGGCGACTTCCGCGAGCGCTGAAATCGGCGCCAAAGACGGGGGTCGTCTTATACGCCGAGTCGTCTTATACGCCGGAAATACTGGTAGTTTCCGGCGTATAAGACGACGTTCTAGGAATGCAGCCCGGCTATAAAGACGGGGGTCGTCTTATACGCCGGGTCGCCTTGTATGCAGGCATTTACGGTAGTTGTTAAGTAAATTGACTTTGCTTCTCAGAAGGTCGCAAAAGATGATCACATGGTCTTGGGACACAGCAACGGTCATAAGTATAAACCAGTTGCAAGCAATTGAATTTTGATCACATGATCATGGGGATGCTGCAAAGGTCGTTAACTGTGAAAACAATCACAAGTCACATTTTTCAGTGCCACTGTAACTTTGAACAGTCACTAAATAAATCGAAGGCTACCTGTATATGTTTTCAATACATTTACCTACAATTTGCAAGGTCATAATCTTAACAAGACAATTTGAATTTTACCAATCAGAAAGATAAGAAATGCAGAAAATAAGATTTCAATAAAATATTTAAAAGCGTGTCCATACCTCATATGTATGTTAACCTTGTAAAAAGATTTAAAGATTTATTAGTATCCAAGACTAACTCAGTAAACACACAGTTAGGCATTATCAGATCAAAATAGATAGTCTTTGACTTGCAACTATAATTGGACCAAAATTTCTGCCACTAAGCAATACAGTCTCAAGCAAGTCATCATGCAACCAGACCTGATTTTATGATCATTTTTACCCCAATCATTAAGCAAATCACATAATCATTAAATAATCCCTACAGCCTGCTAATATGGTGGAATCAACAGCTGAAAGGAAGGAAGTCCCATTTGGGTAGTTAAGAAACATTCCATTTTGGACTCCACAGATCTCAGGAAGCATCTGAGGTGAGACACTAAGAAATATTTCTGGCTTTTCCAGGGGAAAGTAGGCAGTCTGGCATGACTCTTACGTACAATTGAGTCAACAATAAAGAAAGCTAAGCCTCAGAGCCATTTTGGTTGTCTGCACCTGACAGCTAGAAAGGTCACAAATCATGATCATGTGACAAGACACTGCAACTGTCATAAATGTGAGGCAGTTGCAAAGTGCCCAAATTATAATCACATGACTGTGGAGATGGTATGACGCTTATAACTTCAAGGATGGATTACTGTTTTCAAGGACATCATAATTTTGAATGAACATTAAATCAAGGACTACCTGTATTGTAATTGTGAAACATCTGTTTGATGGAATTCCACCTTTGATGGAATTTTGACTTCAATAATAAATTATTATCCTATGGACACTTGTTTTATATTGCAAAATAATCTTATGTAATCTTATGTTAAGTCAAAACAGTGCTTTTTCCAAATTCACTGGAAAACTTTCAGTGTTGAAAGAATGCAACTTTAATCATTTAAGATAAGAACAGCCCTCTTAAACTCACTTCTAAACATCACATATATCTCCTATCACATCCAAATCTCAAGATAAACTAATTATGAGAAACAGCACATTTAATAATCAACTATGAGCCATACAGTACATAATTTATGTGCAGCATATAACAATTATAAATTATTGCTGTAAAGTTAGACAAATTAAAAACCCACATTTAAATCTAACACTACATGCCAATGCCTTTCAACCTTTCTCTCACAAATTCTGTTTTATGATTCCAAGACAACTTGGAACAGAAATATTCCACAATAGCAAATCTACCGCAAATCACACCGCTTGTCCCTGAAAGTACAAAAACTCTGTTGGCAGAGTTCAACAAATGGATGAAGAACCAAGGAGAATGCCAGGTCTTAACTTAATCCATCTTGGATTTTTTTTTAAAAAATAGGCATTTTTTAAGTTACAATTTGAAAACTTTTATATACATGTCAGAAAATATTTTCAACCTGCTCTAACAGAAACTTCCAATCAGGAGCCGCTAAACATCCAAGGCCATTGAGGAAGGAAACCCAGAGCTTACAGAGACCTAAGTAAGAACAGTTTAAACCTTGACTTTAAAAAGAAATTTCAAATCCCTAATTTTATTTCTGATTTCAAATGCAGCCAATGCTCTTTTGGGAGGAAATGACGCCAACCCTGCTACCCGGCATATATTATTCTCAAGCCCCTTGCTTCGTTAACCCTCCAGTTTCTTCAGCCGCTCTCTCGCCTACAAGGATTTCACGTTTTCATTTACTGCAAGGTCCCCACACCACTCACCGCCGTCCGGCTTCCTCTGCCAGCTAAATACGAGGCAGCAATTTAAAAAGTGGGATTCTCAGCAGCACTTTTTTCCATCTTGACCCTTCAACAACTCAGGAAGGTAGGAGACGACCACCACCCTCCGCGTAAAAGAGAGAAGCGGCGACCGCCATCCTACGCCTCCTGACTCACCTGCAAGTCGTTTTGCCCACACCGCCCTTCCCGCCGACGAAAATCCACTTCAGGCTCCGCTGCTCGATAATGTTGCTCAGCGTCGGCTCTAGTGGCTCCACATCAGGCGCGTCCTCGAATTCGTCCGCTTCAGCCGACAGCCCAGACGCCACCGCTGCCATCTTGGAACAAAGTCACGTGACAAGATGCTAGGCTACACCATTTTAAAGCGAGGCTCTAATTTTAACACCGGCGTATCAACATTTACGCAGGAGAGAAACGGTACTCCGCTCCCTCCTGTGGCCTCCTCTTGAACTTAATCCTTAACACCGTCATCTCTAATCACTGGCGTCATAAACAGATCTGACGCCAGAACAAACAACACCCCTACCTGAATGGCTGGTATATTCCTATCTAACATTTTACCAGATTGGTCGCTAGGTTCTTTTCCTGATTGGCCTCAGCTTAGCGGAAGAAGACTCAAATATCTACCTCTTCTTTTCTCTGATTGGCAAAAGTCGATTCGTTTTAATCGGTGATGCAAAGGCCTGTTTTGACTGGTCAGAGGAGCTGTCAATTCTTGGCCATCGGCGCGCCTAAGACCTCAAGTCCGCAAAAATTTCCCTTTGATGTGCGCGGCCAACCTAACAGAGGCTTTCCCGCCATGCTTTGCGGCAGACTGGCTTCGTAATCGTTTCCCGTCGTTCTCCGGGCCGCGCAGGTTGGGCAAGGGAGCGAGTCGAGAGAGATGGCCGGGGTGCCAGGCGGGGAAGGCCCGGCTTCCGAGGCGGCCGGATCGGGCGGCGTGAACGTGTTCGCCAACGACGGTTCCTTTCTTGAGCTGTTCAAGCGACGCATGGAGGAAGCCGCTGGGTCGGGAGGAAAGAGTGGATCAGAAACGGCGGTCGCCGGGGCCGAGAAACAGAAAGAGATCGAACCGCGGCCAGAGCCGCCCGGGGACCAAGAGCCACCGGGGAAGAAGCGGAGCGGGAGCGCCCTCAGCTTCGTAAGGGATCTGGGCACTGACCTTTTTCTCTCTCCTTCCCCTTGTTTCTTGTTTCTCCTTTTTCCTGGGCCTTCTTCGAAGGACCGAGGCGCAGCACCCTTTGTCAGTTTTCTTTCTCTCAACAATAGGAGGTCTTTAATAAATAGCTTCACAGGCAGTAATTCTCCAGGTGCCGCATCTTAGCCGCCTCTCTATACGCTTCCCTTTCTCCCCCCCGCCCGCCCCCGGTACTTGCATCCCTGCTCCCCCTATAAAAGAGATTACTTTTTACTAAAGCAATATGATGTTAGCAGGAGCAATGTTACATTTTCTTCTTCCTTCTCTACTCTTTGCTCCCTCCTCCCTCCCCGTTTTGAAAGGCATCATATTGGACCCTTTTTCTAAGCATTTTGGGGGTCCCTGTAGCTATTTAATACATTTCTCCCAGTTCCTCACTATATCAGTTTCCTCTCCCCCTAAATACGAATAGAAAATGAACTTATCCCACAGTTGTTCACAGGACTGTGATGCAATGTTTGACACCATTCCTTCCTGGGAAGGTTTGTGGGCTTCATAATATTGGCCGAATAATTACTCTATGCCAGGGGTCCCCAACCCCTGGTCCGTGGACCGGTACTGGTCCGCGACATGCCAGACACCGGTCCGCACAAACCAGTGAAGCTGCGTCTGTGGGATGCAAGCAGCTTGCAAATCTACACCCCCTCCGGTCCATGGAAAACCCTCTCTCCATGGAACCGGTCCCTGGTGCCCAAAAGGTTGGGGACCTCTGCTCTATGCCATAACTCTAATCTTGATTTGATAGTCTCTGGTAACAGATGTCCCAACTGAGTTTTCCTTTTGTGAACGTGAAGCTCCCATTCTTGACATGCAGATACTTTTTAAAAATGGAAGCAATAGAGATGGAAACACTTTGATCTGCTAGTGCATAATACAATATGCTTTGCTTTTAGTTGTCTTTTGGAAAACTTCATTTTAGGCTGATTCAGCCTTTATTAAGGCACAAGTAAATTAAGTAGAATGCATTAAAACTCTATAACAGTGGTGGCAAACCTATGGCATGGGTGCCAGAGGCGGCACTCAGCGCCCTCTCTGTGGGCACGCGTGCCGTCGCCCCAGTCCTAGGCCTTCAGCTGGGCTTTATAAAACCTTTTTGCTTTAGGCCTCCGCCGCCATGTGCAAAAAAAAAAAAAAAAAAAGGTTCAGTCAATTTCAACTTCTCATGGGAAAAAAAAAGATCTTGCAAAGTTGGAATTGATTGAACTTTTTAGTCCCACCCAGTCTGCTGTTACCACCGCAGCCACACCCACCCGATGGGCCACGCCCACCCAATTGGCCACACCCACCTGGCACTCAACGATGCAGTTTTGGGTTGCAGTTTGGGCACTCAGTCTCTAAAAGGTTCGCCATCACTGCTCTATAAAAATGTTTTTGCAATGAAATTGCTTCCCGCTCTCTTACACATTTGTTGCTAGTGAGTAGTAACAAATGTTTCTTAGCAGATTGTTTTTTTGTATTCACAGTTTTAAAGTCATCAGTGTGTCTCTTGGGACCCAAATGAAATCTTTTTGTTTTTGTTAATGTGATATAATAAGTCTGAAATATACTGAATTATTTTTATTTGCATTGGCTGGGGAATATTGCAAGTATGACTTCATCCATCCAACATCAAACATTAATTATAAATCTGAACATGAGGAATAAAGTCTGTTCTGCATTACAATGAAATATGATAATCCTGGCCATATTTATTGACCTGTAATTCTAATTGAGTTCAATGGAATTTACTCCTAGTTATCTGTAGGCATTGTAGCCTAAACATTACAAATAAAAATGTTTTATTTCCAGTCTTTAAAATGTTGGGTGAAAGTTTTTAAGTATAAACTGTTTTCCAACATGTATGTTTCCATCACCATATATAAAACAATTTGTACTTGCAATGCATGTGGCATTGTTCCAAAAACGGACTGGGGAGGCAGTGCTGTACCATCTAAAAGTGATCATTGGAATCCCTGTTTTGTTTGTTGCTAATTGAAATTGACATTTTCTATCTTAAATTATCCTCTTCAACTGAAGATCAAAAATTCTGTTTCTCAGCATAAAAACTGAATCACATACATGCTTATATGGTATTGGAAATACCATGTTTAAATGTATGCAGCAGGCCTTTGCAGTTGTATCTAAGATTATATTAGCATACACACTTCCCAAGACCATAAAAAATAATTATTTATTTTGAATTAATGTTGTATTGATTCTGCTAACTTTATTGCTTTCGTGATTTTGAGGAAATAAAAGCTCTTCACATAATGTATTCCAGATTGTTATATTGAAGGGGAAATAAAAGTAAAAATAGAATGGTGTTCCTATTTCCCACCAGGCAGCAAACCTGAAAAGAAATTGGAATACTTCCATTTCTTGTTGCTTGTTAATGTCTTTTAATGTTTGGGCTTAACTGTACAGATGTATTGGTGAACACTGCTAAGGTGCCCTTTTACCCTCCTAGCACAGCGGTGTAGGTAACGCTCGGCAGCTCTGTACAGACTGACAGGTGTGATGGCGAGCTAAGATGATCTAATTGAAGGACTCCCTATACCGTTATATAGTGGGCAACATTCCCCTTGCAGCTCCCAGGCTCGTATAACGGTTGCAGTCTTCTATCCCTTCACCCAGGTGGGCAAGCGGAGAGGGGGCAGCAAGCTAGCCCTGAAGACAGGAATGGTAGCGAAGAAACAAAAGACAGAGGAGGAGGTAAGCTGGGATACATCAGGAATAATAAATTGAGAGAAGAGGGGCAGCATGGAGCTTCCTAAAAGTTTCAGTGAAGAAAGTGGTCTCCATTTCAGCATTCTAGAAAATGAAGCCGAGTTCTGCCTTCATGCTACCCTAGTTTAAAATTGACGACTGGGTATGTCCTTGTGGGCTTGGGAAAATAGTGACTTCTTTCTTGTTCATTTGTAATAAGAGTGTTTCGGATTCATTTCCTAAATCTGTTTTAAGTGAAGATTTTGTGCCTATTTTTGGTGTATAAAATGAATTTAGATCCAACAAGATCAGAGCAGCAATGTATATATATCCTGTTGTTCTAACTGCACCTTGGGTAGCAAATTAGAATGAAACAGGGTAATTGAAAATCCATGTAGTAAGTATTGTGGTTGACTTCGCCAGTAAAATTACGATCTCTGTGTTTCAATTGAATGGCTTCCCTAGATTTATATGTAGGCTGATGTTCATGAGAACTGGTACCCTAAAAATGTTTTTAAGTTCAATTGTTTAAATGTGTATTATTCCATAACTGGTTCCCTTTTTTTCTGTTACAGGTTTTGACAAATAAAGGAGATGCATGGGCGAAATATATGGCTGAAGTGAAAAAGTACAAAGCCCACCAGTGCAGTGATGATGATAAAACCCGGCCTTTAGTGAAATAACTTTTATCTCCAGCCTGGACTGTCTGTGATGTACATAATTATTTAAAATATCAAAGGATTAGTGCTGTCCCACAAGACTGAATGCTGCCATGGCAGCAGGAGACTTGCCATACTTTTATATTTGAAAATTTAGAGCCTCCTTCACTGATTCATTTATTGTTTTCCCATTCTTCTGAGAACTAAGAACTTTGACTTAATTGCCAGATTTTTAATTTGTAACGCCCTGTCTCTAAATAGTGAAATTGGTCTAACTTTTCTTTCCCAGAATCATCAGGCAAAAACATACTTTTGCTGATAAACTTTCAGCATTGAGTCTTTGCTTAACATTAACACCTGAACTTTCTACTATAGGACATGCAAAGAAGTTCTCTGTATCAAATTCAGTACCTCTTACTGCTGAAGATAAATTTAAAATGTGGTTGCAAATAGTCAATCTGTACTGCAGACTGTAATAATTCCAGAGCTTGAAGTAATCCCTCTCTCTTCACTATGAAAGACAAATGAATCTGGATCTCGATTCATCTAATATCTGACAGCTCTGTAGCTGCATTTTTGCCTGTGTTGGTCATTCCCTACTCCAATTTCACTGCATATTGCAGTGAATTATGGAGTTTTGTATTTAATTCCAGCTGCTGCTTAAGCTTTTTCCTAGCCTTTTCCTATGCATGCTCCAATCTTAATACTGGGGGGATATCCTGTGCCTGTCTATTATCTAAGAAGCAAAACACCTGGTCTGTTTTTGTACCAAGTATTACATATTTGAGAGAATCATTAAAATTACCATAGGTGCTCTCTGCAATGAATTTAATTTTAGATACTATAATTTTAACTTTCGACTGCTCCTGTGCCCCCACTCCTAGATGTTATGAGCAGAGGTCCTTGGCTTTGAAAGAAAGAACTTGGGTCTATAGCCATTGTATTGATAATGGTTTGTTGCATGGATGGGACCTATGCTCTTTCATCACTTGTTTACTTACCCTGAGTTTGATTTCTTATCTTTCCATAAAATACTGTTAAAATGGAAAGCACCTAATATGACATTGAAACTGGGTATGACAATTTGATATAAGGGCTTATGGTACATTCCCAGCAATTGATTTTAAGTCAGGAAATACTAAGGAGCTCTTCTGTTTTCTGGCTGGCATAGAAAAGTTTTTTTTTTTGTTGTGCTGGAATTAGTTTTCACTTCTAAATGTTATCCAGTTTGTGTCATTTCCTTTTAACAGATTGGGCTGATTTTTGAGCTGCACTATTAATGCGATATTCACAAAGATGGATTTGTACTCTGGAGAAAAACAAACTGAGATTGATCTCACTGTTTGAGTCTATTTTTTTCTTCAATCAACATCACTGGACCAGATCTATTAAATAAGTTTCTGCCACGAAAAGGCCATTGGTTTCCAGTATATCTTGGGCCTTTGTGTAATGCATCTGAAGAACAATGCTTTCTTTAGATTGGGGTTAAGCATTTTTGATGGAATTTCACATAAAACATCTGAGTGTTCTTTAGTGTAACTAAGAATTCTCATTACATAACAGGTTTTTCATGCACATGCACAATGAGCATGTAGGAGCTACTTCTGAATATGGTAAGGGAGTGGTTAGACGAAACAAAAATTCTGTTTTTGCCTCTCATAATATGAGAGATTGCTGTTAAAACATCAGAAAAAAAATAAAGGTTTGGTATTTTATTTCCAGTCTCCTGTAAAGTGATGGCAATTTTCTTCTTTGTTATACGCTTGATCAGGCTTTCTACTTTATTGCTTTTAACTTCCACAGCCCAGATTAGAGTACTAATAACCATCCCCAATACAGCAATAGCTTTTTAAATAATAGAATTTTGTTGTGGATATTTATTGATATATGTTTCCCATATATATTTTTTCTGGATGGCATTATTTATACATTATACAGTCATTAAAACTGTTTACTGCAGGTGTAACCATAGCATCCAGATTTCCCTTTGCTTATGGGGTAATAACTCTTTAAATACAAGTGATAGTGATCAATAGTTATCAGAAGATTGAAAGATAAATGAAGAGTTGTCTGCACTTAAATTATTTTCCATGAATATGCATGGTAAAGTTAAAAGAAAAATGGATTAATTTTCTTATTGTGATTGTGCAGAACATCCATAAAGTAATTTTTCTAAATTGTTGTGGTTTGCACATGCATAGCAACTACTACTAGGTTCATGCACTATGCTAAGCCCAAATGAGACAATCCATGTTAAAGCTTACCACATTGCATAAACATAGTTATAGTTACATATTGAAAAAAATGGCACTTCTGTCTATAAACCAGTAAAATGTAGTTTGCTTTCAGTTACAATGAAAAAAACAATGCATTTGCCCTTTTCTGAATTATATTTTGAAAAAAATAAGTAGTTAATGGAGCAAGTAAAAAGCACAGTAAGTGGAACATGAAAACAGTTCCTTTCACAGTACATAAGCAATTGCTCATATTTTCCAAACGTACTTTGACTATTACATGTACTTTGTATTTTGAAATGTCATATCTTTTACTAAATAACAATTACTGCTATTCATAAATGAGTTCATTTCTACTGCCCAAGGTATTTTCATATCAAAGTTACAATTTTGGGTTATATTATTAGGCTTAATCAGTCATATTAGCCACATGGAATTGAAGGTGCCTCTGTTCTGTGGATTTTATCTTTTTATAAATTAAATAGAGCAATTTCCTTGCCAAGTGATTCTTTGGGATGTAAAATAGAAGTTATAATTGATACTTCTCCTTAAGTGATAGTCCCTTATTGCAGGCACCCATCTTCCTGTACTTCTATTTTTTCTCCCCCTTTTTCTTTTTGATTTTCCAAACCAGTAAGGAAACGGGGCTTTAAATATCTTTACATGCAACACTGGAGATAATAATCCAATGTCTTAAAAGTGGATATGCCACTTTTTAAGTCATTTATATATTGCCTGCTCCAATGTTCTAAGTGGCTTCAGAGAATTCATAGATGAAGTGAAATGTTGGGCACAGTATTGTACCCTATAGGAGTTTGCTTGGCCTGAAAGATATGCCATGTTATTTTCCAATTTCTTCAGTACTATGATTTATTAAATACAGATTTTGGTGGTCTGCATGAAGCAATCCTAGTATGTCTAAACAGCAGTGAAACAATAGGCATGCTGGCTAGAGTATATTAGTAACTGAAATAGTATGTTCCATCTTTACTTCTGCCACTTTTTTGTGGTGAACTTGAAAATGAAGATACAGGTGATACCAAGGAATGAGATAACATGGGGCAAGGGCTTTTAGACAGAAATGTACTTTAAAACGGGTCCCCAACCCCCTATCCCACAGATTGCTACTAGTTCATGACCCTTTCGCAACTGGACCACGAAACCAGACAGGTTGGAGATCGTTGCTTTAAAATATGGATTCTATTCACTTCAATCATAGAAATGGTATCATGAGCAAGGAAAACCTTACCTCCCTCTGAGCAGATGAAGAGGAATCCACTGAGTGCTAACATCTAATGGGATTTGCCCTTTCAAAGCACTGTTATTTGAAAACATAAACCACATAACTCTCATCAGCAACAGCAATTCAATTTGAAAAGATGAAAATGAAGCCTATATTGCTTCGAAATCATTGTGGTCTTTCACCGTGTGCTTCATGGGTGGGGGGGGGGAATCATGGCTGCATGAATGAGAAAACAGAATAAAAGGGGAGGATAAGATACTGACGTGTAGCCCCTTACTATCATCCAAAGGAACCTCCAAATTAATAATTTTTACCTTAAACTGATTTCTAGGCTGCCCCTGTTTGTTGCTTAATTTTTTTCTGTACTGTCTTCTCAAGACCAAATCATCATTTGGGGCATTGAGCTGTTTCTTCCCTGCCAGTTTTGGAATTAACAAATAAAAGATGTATAGTATGGCTCAGAAAGCAGATGTGAGTTCATTCCCAAACCCAATGTGACTTGTTGCCAAATTGCAATTTCCAAGATTCCTTACAATATCATAGGTCTACTGGAAGGTCCATTCAAAAACTTCTGAAGGACCATACAATAGCAATATCAGATCCTACTGCTGTATAGAATCATGCTTGATTGGAAAAATAGCAACTAATTTCTAATTTATTAAAGGGAAAAGGGAAATGATAACTTGATTCAGAGTACCTCATTCTCTGGTTCTACTCATTTTCACTAATAGAAAAGTTTTCTGCAGTCATCTTGGCTAATGTATGTACTTTAGAAGGCACTGCTGACAATCTATTTATTTTCCATTTCAACGCAATGTACATCCGTTTTTTTAAATCTTTCAAGCACTAAATCTTTGTTATGGACAATACATAATCAGAAAAGCACTTTCACATTTCTGTACTTGCAAGGCAATAAACAATATGATTTAGAAAAGCCTTTTCACGTGTTGGCTTTGCTGCATCATCATAACAGCCTGCCTTAAACAGGTTCTTATGGGACAAAATCTTTAAGCAAATAGTAGATTGCCTACAAATAAACATTTCTTCACTCTTTAGAATATATGGATGCTTTAACTCACAACCAGTATCTAAAAGGATCTTACCATACTGAATCGTAAACTTTCCTTAAAAATATTTCTCACTTTAAACAAGCTATATACATATATATCTAAATGTCAACGCTGCTTCCAAATACTAGAAAGGCAGAAATTTCACATTGTGACAAATAATCTGCACTTAGCCCATCCCTCCTCCTTTCAGTGAACTTCACCCAAATGAAGATTGAGTGAAACTATTGCTTTCAAAATCTGTTATATCTATGTGACTTTCTGCTAGTCTGGTGAGTAAGCATTAGGTGGAGAATCTGCTTGCCCTACAGGGGTTTGAGAAGAGGCATCATCCAATTCTTCAAAATAGATAAAATTCTTATTTGATGGAGAAAAAAGGAGCAAGGAAATAGTATCCTTTTCTCTTAACTAAAACATCAATCTTTTAAAAGAAGCACTTCCAAAAGCAACAAGAACAGGTTCAGTCTCCTTCCCTAGCAAATGTTACAGCTTCAAGCTACCCTAGGTAGGTAGCTAACTAGCTTCTAAGCCTTGTTTTCTGCATTGCGTATTTGTACTGATAGATGAATTTTCAATAGTGGCCCAAACAAAATGCCTGGGTTTTTCCCCCATGAACTGACCAGAGCTGGTATAATAGCCTTAGAATTTCTCTTAATTTGTAAAACCTTAAGAGATCATCTTCAGCATCATTAACATGTAAGAGTTCCACTACAGTTTCCTACAACTGTACTCAATAGCTTAACAGGGACTTACAATAGTATGAGGGTAGATAATTGGGTCAAAGAAGAATCTTGATTTTCTACAAAACTAAATTGTGAGTAGAGTGGAAGGAAAGTTTTAGTTCTGCCATTCCCTGTTTCCTTCCAACCCTTCCCCCTCCCATAACCTGGATGCAACACTCAAAATATGGCACAAATCATCCTTTAATACAGCCAGCCTGGCTGCATGTGTCCGTAGGGGCTGGGACCGGTTCCTTTGGTGTACCCAGAATTGTGCAAATAATGTCCCACATCCCAGGCCCCCAATATATCAACAGCCTGGAAGCATGAACAAGAGCAGGACCCAAAGCCACCTCAGTTAGTCTCATAGGAGGAGAGCAGAGCAGCATCCACTGGCTCCATGCAAGAAGGACATGTGAATGATCGCATCAGCCAGTCATCAATGCAGTTTACATGGTAGATGTGTAGACAAGGCAGGAATCGGATGGGATCTCCATATACAAAATCCAGCATACAGATTACACACCTAGAGAAGTAAAAAGAGAAACTGAATGCTAATACAAAGGTTGCAAGATGGTTCCCCAGCCATCTTGCTTCTATTTCCTACCCAATTTGCTGCTTGGTAAATTTCAATACAACTGTAAAAGACTAGTTGCTATATTGTTTTGCCTTACACTTAACTTTAAAGTATAATATCAACCTCCTGCACTGAATTTAATTTATGATATTTGAAAGTTCTCCTGTATTATTTTTTCCAAGTGGAAATTTGCAAGAACTATGCTGCTTTCTTCCATGTATAAGCAACATGTTCTAGACTGACAAAAATTACACATAAATAATGAAGATTTTTAACGTTATTAGGGTTCCTGATTTCTAGTTTACTCTGTTAGCCAGGAGATCAGAATATCACTGGTTTAATCTACTCCCATCCCATTCTCCATATCAGTGTCATAATAACCACAAAGAACCACAAATGTCCTATCCAAAACAGCAATTAACACTGTTGATGCAGGTATCACTCAACTCTGGCTTAAATGCCAGAGCAATATACTCTAGCTTACTAGATGATGGATTGTTTAACTTGTCTCTCCAGAATTCCTAATCTATAGGAAGCAAATTGATTATTAATCTTCCTTACTAGTAAAATATGTTTAAGATATATTTTTAGTGCCCTTTCCTGCACACAGCTACATTTTTTGTGTTGCTGTCCGAGTTTGGTTGTTTACTTCCAAATATTTCACTACCCCACTAGGTAAAATCATCAGTGCTAGGAGTGTAGGGTTTGCCTTATTTATGTGCAATAGCTTGCCCTGCCAGTGTTAGTGGAGGTGTGGTTTTCTCCTTGGTAGTTCCTCAATTAGGGTATTATTTTCTGCTTGTTTGTCTGGTGTTAATCTCTGCTTATTTGGGTATTGGTTGCTGAAAAGGATGTGCTCTAGTCTTTTTGTTTCCTTTTTAATGCCTCTTTGGATTGGTGGGTAAAAGTGGTTTATCCCTACATGTCTACTTATGGCTGAATACCAAGGCTCCAGAAATTTATCAGAATACCAAGCTTCCAGGAATTCCTTAGAGTTTTTGATCTAGAACAGAGGTCCCCAACCTTTGGGGCACCTGGGACTGGTTCCACGGAGAGAGCTTTTTCTGTGAATGGGGCTTTGCTTGTTTGTGTGGACTGGTTGCTGGCATGCCATGGCCCGGTACTGGTCCATGGACCGGGGGTTGGGGACCCCTGATCTAGAATGCTCAGTTTCTCAATTGAAGCTATGGCTGAGTTTGGTAATGTGTTGTGAGATTAAGGATTTTTCACTGTCTTCTGACTGCTCTAGTTGGTATTCACAGATGTGCTCTGTTAGTCTTTTGCCTGTCTGTCCTACCTATCATCATACACCCGCCAACACTGGCAGGGCTGCTACTATATATGAACAGATGTAAACCTCAGTCTCACTAGGACTGATGTTACCTAGTCAGGTAATGAAATGTCTGCAAGAAAGCTGAGAGATCACCAAGGATTCAACAGTTCAACAAAGAGGCACATTTTTTTTTCTATTGATGTTTTGTGTTGGTTAGTCCTCTAGGAATGGAAAGGTCTGGGGCAAAAAAAAACAGGTAGTTTTTTTATGCCTGGTGAAATTTGGAACTGACTTTAGGCATGTAACAGGAACCCAGTTTCAGCACACTTTGAATTAACAGAGTATATGCAGAACCTCTCTCGGCCCTCTTTGTATGAATTTCTATACTTCTATGATTTGTGTTGCTACTACAACTATTTTACATCACCTATTAAAAGCATACCAAATCAGTTGACAGATTTAATCGTAACTGGATTCCCTTTAAATTTCTTGATGCAAAATTGTAGCCAGTCTGTGACTAGGTAGTCAACTTCAAATGCTAGCATGTTTTCAAGAGATGTCATATGCAATCATTACTAATCCCCTTTTGGGTGGAGATCTGTATCTCCTGGGCCAGAATGGAATAAAAATTACCCAATACCTTGTGTATATTCACCTTGAATATCACTCTGGATAGTTTTCTGTCAATATCAATCAAACATAGATAGCCTTTTTGATCATGAAACCAGTAGGACACTGATCCTCTGCTCCATTTTCTGAAAATTGGGAAGAACATTTCACTTGTGTGTTGTTATGAACAGGTCACCTAAAGGGGATCTTCATGTAAACTGTAGTAAAATATCTCAGTATAGGATCCACTTCCCTTAATTCAAGCGCTGATGAATTGGTTTTACTGTTTAGTAATCTCTACTGATATGGAACATAGATATATATTTGTTGACATCATTACAGTAGCTGTACATCTTCCTCTGAAACCCCATGATTTCTATCCATCCTACCTGATTATATAGGCTTTGCTCAGAACACTATCCATATGACACAATTTACCTAGTGTGAAAATGCCTTCAGAGGCATTCCTACAATCTTAATCCATTTGTTAGTAGACCATACTAAACTATGATCGGGCCATAATTCCTGCATTAACTTATTTGGGAGTTAGGCTCCCCACCTCATTAGGATAGTTTCTGTTGATGATTTGATCAGAAAGCCAAATGGCTTTCCCTCTGCCAATTTATGATTAGCCACCAATGCAATGATTGGGTTACCTTGCTTGGCATTGTCTTGTGCAGATGGGACTGTGTCTAGGCTGGAAGGAACTACTGGAGTGATCTGGAATGGAATTGGGCCTATGGTACTGAATCAAGAGTTTATTATCCTTGTAATCTTGCCAGCATCCTGAGAGTTGCCCTTTTACAGGTTAGCCCTTACACCAGTGGTTCTCAACCTGTGGGTCGGGACCCCATTTGGGGTCGAACGACCATTTCACGGGGGTCGCCAAACAAGGCTATCCGCCATTTTTTCCCCCTTTTCTTTGGCCACGCCCCTGGCACCCGGTGATGTATAAGTGGTTGGGGGTCACCACAACATGGGGAACTGTATTATGGGGTCGTGGCATTAGAAAGGTTGAGAACCACTGCCTTACACTTTTCAAGCCTTGAGGGTGTTCTCCTGAGACAAGTATTTTCTCTCCCTCCTGCTGATTGTGATCTGCTTTAATAATATAAATGAGCTCTTAGTGGTTCTCAACCTTCCTAATGCCACGACCCTTTAATACAGTTCCTCATGTTGTGGTGACCCCCAACCATAAAATTATTTCCGTTGTTACTTCATAACTGTAATTTTGCTACTGTTTTGAATCATAATGTAAATATCTGATATGCAGGGTGTATTTTCATTGTTACGAATTGAACATAATTAAAGCATAGTGATTAATCACAAAAACAATATAGCAATGCTGGCTGGAAAAGCTTACTCTTCCTTGCTCAAAAATGCTGGGAGGGAGGGAAGGGGAAGGAAGGAAGGAAGATTGAAGGGGAAAGGAAGGAGATGGAGAAGGAAGGAGATTGAAGGGGAAAGGAAGGAAGGAAGGAGAAAGAGATTGAAGGGGAAGGGATGGAGATGGAGAGGGAAGGAAGTGAAGGGGAAAGGAAGGAGATGAAGAAGAAAGGAGACTGAATGGGGAAGGAAGGAAGGAAGGAAGGAAGGAAGGAAGGAAGGAAGGAAGGAAGGAAGGAAGGAAGGAAGGAAGGAAGGAAGGAAGGAAGGAAGGAGAGAGATTGAAGGGGAAGGGATGGAGATGGAAGGAAGGAAGGAAGATTGAAGGGGGAAGGAAGGAAGGAAGGAAGGAAGGAAGGAAGGAAGGAAGGAAGGAAGGAACGAAGGAGAGATTGAAGGGGAAGGGAAGGAGATGGAAGGAAGGAAGCAAGGATGGATCTTTGGAGAGGCATGTTTTCCCAGATGGTGATGAACTGCAACTCCCAGCATTCCCCACTCTTCCAGTGCTTTTTAGGGCTGCTGGGGATGGTAGTCTGGAGCTCCCCATCCTCATCCTGGCACCTCTTCCCCTCTCCCACCTGCCCCCCCGGGATCTGCCCGCCCCTCTAGCCTCCTGAGCGCCATTGCAGCGGCGGGATCATGGAAGCCCCTTTCCACGCCGCGCAGCCCTTCATCGCCACGACCCTTCCCCGACTCGTCACATGTGAGAGGGGCGCAGCTGGAGCGCCAGCTCCCGCTTGTAAGGTGCCGCTTCTCCCCTCCTGGCCCATCCGGCTGGCCTTCGACGCACATGCTGGCATCGCTCTCTTCCCCGCCGCCTGGCTGCTTCCGAGGCCAGGAGGCTGGCGAGCCGGGAAGGAGTCGCTCCTGCCCGCTAGCCCCAGGGCTGCGCCGGGCGCCAGAGGGCCGAGGTGGCCTCCAACGGTGAAAGAGGTGGGCCGGGCAGCACGGGGGAAGCTCCGGCGTGGCATGGACGGTGGCCGGGCGCAGAGCGCGGCCAGGCAACCAGGAGGCATGGGGTAACCAGGCAGCAGCGGCGGAGCAGCCCAGCGGCAGCCCAGACCCAGCTCAGCTTGGCCACCCACGCAGCTGAGCCGGTCCGGGGCGGCGTCAGGGGCACGTGTCCCCCATGAGCATTGCCCGACTTCCAACAGTCAGCTGGGAGTCAGGTCAGCGTCCGGACGTCGGTGGGGAACTGGCAGGGCCACTACACACCGCCCGGCTCCCGACAGCCAGCTGAGAGTCGGCCCGGCATGTGCACGTCAGCTGGGAGTCAGCCCAGCCTCCGCTTGTCAGCCAGGCTCCTGGGAATCAGCTGGAAGTTAGCCCAGCTTCTGGCAAGCAGCTGGGAGTCAGCATGGCTGCCACGGGATGGCACTGCGGCGGTAGGAGCAGGCACTGTTGGAGGAAAAGGGCATCCTGGAGGTGGAGGAGCCGGCGGAGGAGGAAGGTGGCGGCAGCCGGATAGAAGAGCGGTGTCTGGGTTCCTAAGACCATCGGAAATATGTGTTTCCCAATGTTCTTAGGCGACCCCTGTGAAAGCATCGTTTGACCCCCAAAAAGGTCGCGACCCACAGGTTGAGAACCGCTGTCTTAGAGAAATTCACCATGAAATCATGCTCATGATTTCAAAGCATCAATATCAGGCTGTTAATTGGTTTCTCTACAGAAGGTACTCTGATAAACAATTCATTCTAAGATAAAATGATGGACCATCATTGCCATCTCTCTAGTACAGGGGTGTCAAACTCAATTTCATTGAGGGCCGCATCAGCATTGCGGTTGCCCTGGGGGGGGGGTGGCCAAGGTGGGTGCAGCCTACTGGTGGCCATAGAGTGGATGTGGCCTACTGGGTGGGCATGGCCATCTCTACATCGTTCACGTCAAGGGTGCCTATGGGGGCCTGGGCAGGAGTGGGACAGATCTGAGGGTTTCTGGCAGAAGGGGGTGGGACCGGGGTAAGCGCCAAGGCATGGTCCATTTCTTCATTCCTCATAAAGGGTGACACCTCCCCAGCATACACCCAGGGGCTGGTTCCTCGCTGTTTCCAGATGGCCTTGTGGAGCTAAGACTGAATGCGTTTCAGTATAGATGTAATGTAAAACTGTACATTGGCTCCCGGCCGGCCTGGGCCAGGCCAAGGCAGTGGGGGCCATTCCCTCACTGTTTCCAGGATGGCTTCGTGGGCCACATTAAACCACTTTGCGGACCGCATCCGGCCCCCGGGCCTTGTGTTTAACATAGCTGCTCTAGTAAATACTCTGGATACTAAGGCCAGTCCAAAGACTAGTGCTTTGAACTTGAATTTGTTCTTCCTGTATACAGTCTGAGGCATTTCCAATGAGACAGCCTGACTGGGAAGTGTAAATAATGCTACAACAGGTTCTTGTATATTAGGAAATATTCTAATGTAAGATAACAAACAATTAGGGCTGGCAACTCAGGCATTAAATGAGTGAAACCACAACTATGCTTATGACATTGGTTCAGCTTTCCTTTGTTTTACAGACCCACAAAGGTTGTAAATGTGAGGATTGGTCATTACTTTTTCATAATTGTGTAACCATGAATGAGGCAGTCACTAAGTGAGAACTACTTGCTTTGCCTATGCTATGAGCATCATCTTCAGCAACTAAGAACAAAACCTGTTGCTTTATAGATAATCTTCACTGAATAGCCACTTATTTAGTGAGTGTTCAAAATTATGACTTTGCTGAACAAATGGAGCCTCATAATTGCAGCCATTGCAGTGTCCCCCTGGTCATGTGATCACAATTCATGCAAAGTCAATGGGAAAGTTGGCAAGAGATGTTCCCATGACCACGGGATGCTGTGACTATGCAGGATTTGCTTGACAGCGGCAACTGGGATTGGCGCAACTGTTGTTAAGTCACATGAAGTCATGCCTTATGATGTCATTTGGCAATGTCCAATCCCAGTCCCTATTGTCATAGTTAATATATTCTAGCTTTAAAAAAACATACCTTACTGTATACTCATATCTAAGAAATCAAAGCTAATGTATGTATAAAAGTAGTAATGACTTTTTTTCCCACTTCAAATATACCATCATCAAATTTTCCTTCACGTTCTCAGTAATACTGAGATTCTGAAACAAATACTGTTCTGCAAAAAAGCACAGTTCAAATTTCTGGATCATTTTGACTGTCCATGATGAGAATTATACTCCAACAAATTTAACAGAGAAAGTTCAGAAACATGCAGCTCATTACAGGTAGTTGTCACTTACCTTACCTACCTTGTTTAGTCAACATTCAAAAGTATAATGATGTAAAAAACAGCTTTTTGATCAATCCTTGTATTTATGACTGTCATAATGTCCCATGGTGACATGATCACTATGGGGACACTTTCTCATCGGCATGCATTATTGACCATTACAATGTACCGTGATCACATGATCAGCATTCACTTGCTTCACAACTGGCTTCTCACAAATAGAGTTAATGGAGAATACGGAGGTAAAATTGAAGTTGTGGTCATGTGATAGTAATAGTAGTAAAGTTGGAAGGGACCTTGGAGGTCATCTAGTCCAACCCCCTGCTCAGGGGGTTGCTTAAGACTGGGTTGATTTGCTTAATGACCAAATGAAAAGTAATGTAAGCCCATTGCAACTGCTTGCAACTGCAAGCTTACTTATGAAGTTGCCACTCCCAATTGTGATCACTAATTGAGAATTACCTGTAATTAATAGTTTATTAAGAGTTTAGCATAAGACCTCTAATAAAGCACTGCTGTGTTGATGACTTTGGGAATAGATTCAAGAGACTTAAGTACAATGTCTGGAAAGATGCACAACGCATCATATCCTCTGTTATCTAGCAGAATGCCTATGTTAAGTACAGTTTTTCTTTAGGGCAGCAGTAATGTTTTCTTAAAAAAACAAAGGAGGAAAAGTTTGTAAGCTGCCCAAAGTTGCTTTGGTTGAGATGAACAGCTATATAAATATTGTAAATAAATTGTTGCATTTTGGAGAGCCATTTCTGCGTAAAGTCAATAAATTCTAAAGGATATTTTTGCATTCATTAGCAGTTAATCACTATAATACTTTCAAGGTTTGTTCTGACTTTACAAGGTACATTTAAAGCATTGTGCATGGAAACATACTCTTTGATTTTCTTTTCTGATGGCTCTGAGCCTGGATCAAATATTCCTTTAGGAAGGTGCTGAATTAGTCCAATCCTTTGAGCTATCCGGATTTGCTCCTCTTCTGTTAGTTGTGTGGCAAGACGTGCCTGGCTAGGCGTTGGATGATACACTGGAATTGCAGTGTGATCCTAGAAAGTCAGACAACAGTGTGGCTGAACATTTACTATTCTCATAAGTAACGTTACATGGATTCATAATTACACATCATAATACAAGCAACAATTCCCATTTCTCTCAGATTGCTAGAAAATTTAAAATACTCACTCCTTTAACATGCGCCCACTCTAACAAATGAAAACAATCCAGAGAAATCCTACACTGACACATACAGCTATTTATTGTTTTGACACAAGAGGACTGGACTGTAAGATAATATTGTGGTATGCCAGATGGGCTAAAATAAGTTTTCTAATGAGCGTCTGAAGCTTTTCTACAGGATCAGTCAGCTGTTTCAAATGTCACAGAAGCTCCTTTTTTTCTACAGTACACACATCCGTTATGAACCATGCAAACCATTAATTCACCACTAATGAGTGGATCCCCTACTTGTTTTCTAGTCTTGCATTTAGAGCAAACATTTTGATTTTATTAGCATACAAAGATAATTTCCCAATTTCTTTCCAGTATTAATAAGTGCATTTCTCCTGAATCACTTTATTTTGAACTTATGAGGCAAATTAGGTAACAAACATGCACAGAATTTTCTGTATCGTACACAGAAATCCTAAGTAGCACTGCTCCATTCAGAATTTCAGGAGGATCCAAGAATTACAATGCTGGTTGAAGTCAACATTCAGCTTAATTTTGTAATTTGTCCAATAATTACTAATTAAAATTTACACAGTAAGAATATCAGAAGCAACTATACACTAGCAGTCAACATGTGGTACATGTAACTTGATGTCTTCTCAACATATGGGAACATAGCTTCCACAAATACTAGTCAGCATGGCTTGGGGAATAATGGGAGACATAGCCTAATAATTATGGAAGGTAACAAGCTGGAAAAGGCTGACATACACAACCGCTGCATTTGAACCCCTGGGATCATAAAATGTTATTTATTTTTTAAAAAAGCAATCTATGCTGTACAATTATGCAATAATGAATTCCATACAGCTGGCTTGTTTTTGGTCTTTTTAAACATCAGTCTTTATTAATCTCTGCCTATTTATTTCAGCTGAATGTTGAATTGTCCTTGTAAAATCCTTACTCACATGTACAGTCTCTTTTTAAACATCCACCATAAACAATGTAAAGGGAGTTATCGCTTTATTCCATTCCCTGCTACTTACTGCACAAATTGTTCATACCTTGGTTAAAGAGGATAGTTAGTTTTTGGCATAAGATGTTATATGAACATGACCCATAATTAAATGAATGATTCAGTGTATTGTATGAATCTAGTCAATTGAGTAAGCTGTGAATCAGATAACCATGAATTAACATGTACTGTAACCCAGTACATTGTAGGGGGCCACAATATCATCGCAGTAGGTCTGTGAAAGCTTGAAGAAATGTTATGATTTAAATCTTAAGTCTTGGTGGTCCATGGTCATGGTCTGTGGCCACAAAAGGTATTTAAAAGGAGTCTGTGGTGAAGAAAAGGTTGAGAGAACCAGTATTGTAGCCAATTTCAGTCAAGTCTGTAGTAACACAAAAAACTATTCTCTATTTCTCAGTCTTCCCTGTCTTTTCTTCTTCTATAAAACAGCAACTCCCCTTTGGAAAAAAAGTAGCCTGCACGTGCAACAGCTTGTGAAAAGGTAAAAGAAAAATGTAATTGCTCTAAAATCTCTTGTGTTTTCATACACAAGTAATAGAAATCAGAGGCAGCTGAGACAACTATTCAAAGAGTGACACCAATCAATGTATGCTAGGTAATCTCTGAACAGATATAGTGGGACATGAAATCTAAAGGATTTGTTTTCTAACCATTCACAAAGAACAGGGTATGCATATTTAACAAAAATAGGCTGGAAGCATAACACATGCTTCAGATCTTTATTTGCTTTAGCAAACAATCCCTGATAGCGTTTTTGTAGCATGGTTACATTCCAGTTTCCGTCTATCCAATTTAACTTGCAATTCAAATTTGATAAGAGATCCTCATCAAAAGCTCTTGGGTAAATTTAGAAATAATGAGATGAGGACTTCCTAACGGCGAGGACAATTAACCAGAAGTCTTCAGAAGTTCTAAGTGCTTCATCACTGGAGGTTTTTAAGAAAAGACTGGACAGCCACCTGTCTGAAATGGTATAGGGCAGGGGTGTCAAACTGCCGGCCCATGGGCCGGTTGCATCATGCAGAGGCTGAGCCAGTCCCACCTCCAGCAATGCAGCAATGTGGCAAGTTTTACACCTGTGGTATAGGGCAGTGATGGCAAACCTTTTAGAGACTGAGTACCCAAAAACTGGCCCTGCCACAGCTCCACCCCGTCCCGCCCCCACCCCACCTGCCTGCGGGGCCACTCACCACCTCCAGGGCCCGCCGCAGATCACTCAGGTAACCCAGCAGCGTCATGGCGGCCACGCCCTCTGCCCGCGCTCAGCATCAACTGTGCGATGGGGCGTGAGGCTAGAGTCTTGTCTACGCTGCCTGGCGGCCATGTCTTTGGCTGCGCTGCTCCACGTGGGCCATGCTTGGGGGTGACTCTCCTCCAGGGAGGCTGCTGGTGAGGAGGGGATCGCGGGGGGAGGCAAGGCTGGGGCAACGGCATGTGTGCCCACAGAGAGGGCTCCCAGTGCCACCTCTGGCACCCGTGCCATAGGTTCGCCACCACTGGTATAGGGTCTCCTGCTTGAGCAAGGGGTTAGGCTAGAAGAGCTCCAAGGTCCCTTCCAGCTCTTTTCTTATTTATTGACTTCCAAAGGGCAGAAATAAAAAAGTAGATCCCTCAAGGTCCTGATAGTTTTAAACTTGTCCATAAATGATCATTATTTAGAGGAGAGGAAATGATGCAGAAATATTCAGGGCAATAAAAACTAAAAGGGAAGAAGTCCAGAAGAACCTTTTTAAATGGAGTGATTGGGCAGCAAAATGACTAATGTAGTTCACAATTTATCTAAGTATAAATTAATGAACGTTAGGGCAAAAAAATCTAACTGCATATATATGCAGTGCAGGTTGTGATATCTGTAATTAGAAAGAAATGGACAGTTGTCGACTAGTGTTGATTCAGGGTTTGAAGCTATGAAGGTTAAAATTTAGTGCTAGAGATCATTATGGAATGGACTGAAAATAAAACTGCCAACATTGTAATACCTGTTTCTGTTTATTTCTGGCATACCATGAAGAGTTCTGTCTGACATTTTGAGATGTACAGTATATAATAAAACTAGAAAAAATACATAGTGTAGGTAGGGCTTGACTTACAACCACAACTGAGACCAGAATACCAGGCACAATTCATTATGGCAATAAGTTGAAGCACCCACATAACCAGATTTGATTTTATAAATATTTTGTGGTGGTGGTTAAGTGAACAGAGTGGCAGTAAGTGCACTTGTTTTGCAAAAACTGCCAGAAACCAGGAATAATTGCAAATCATAGTCATATGACCACAGGCAAGCCTGTGTAATGTGGTCATGTGACCATAGGGCTGTGGTGGGACGGCACATTTTACAACAGCCAGAAGTGCTTTATGGGCCACAAGGCACCCACTCCAGGCCCATCATAATTTCAAATAGTTATTAAGCGTCCAATTGTAAGTTGAGGATTACCTGTAGTCAGAAACTGTTCGCTGGGGGACATTGGGACAGTCATTCTCAACTCAACTTACCTCACAGGATTGTGGCTATAGAGAATAATACCGTAGGAGGCTGGAGCCTTATATACGCTATCCCGAGCTAGTATATGAAAGGCAATGTAGCAATGAAATTAATTTTATAAAATGAGGGGTTCTAACATCTTCCTTGCAAAAAACAAAAAGCTAGAACTTTAGGGAGCAACTGAGCACATGACTGAAGAAAATAAAACCACAAATGGTAAACAGAAAAACAGAGATTTTTGTCCATTTTTCAAGGTAGCACCATTTGGGAGTGTCTATGGAGATTCTCAGTCATCCAGGTCATAGTTATCCCAAAGATGCTTTTTTTCAAGAGGCAACTGGATTTTCTTGTTTTTTCTTTGAAGGTGTTTCATTTCTCATCCAAGAAGCTTCTTCAGCTCTGAATTGGATGAGAAGTGAAACGTCTTCAAAGAAAAAACAAGAAAGTCCAGTTGCCTTGTGAAAAAAGCATCTTTGAGACACCATTTAGGAGTTATCCAATGCTGCTGACATGAAAGAGATGTAGACAGAAAAAAACAAATATTTCATATAATATATAATTTGTAGAAGGTGACACAACCACTAGCTTGGGTACTTTTTAAAGGGGATTGATTCATGAAGGAGTTTTTATGAAAATTCAACATTGGGGCAGAGGCATCATGCCTCCAAATACCATGTATAAGGGAATAATGGTGACAGAAAGGTATATCTTAATTTGAATGAAATGACCTAATCTATTCCCATTCTTTCTCATACCCTGGATACCTACATCTCCACATATAATTTTAAGTAAAAAGCTTTCCCTCCATAGATGAAAAAGATTAAATACTTTCACTCAACAAGACAGTAAAGTTAATGGAGTTGTTCCTTTACTTCCCTTCTTCCTCCAAGGCAGATTTTTTATGGTGTTTTATACTTCCACAATATCCCATATACAGCCAGCATGTTGAGTATTTTATGCTGATTATGAGTTGTTTCAGTGCAGACCATTTGATATGTTAACCTAGGTTTGCGAGCAATATATATTGATGCAGTTGCAGTCACGCCTCTCACTTTCATACTTTACATTTTAAACTGTAAAGAGCTTAGTTTTTTAGAGCTGAGTCTCCCAGCGCTAAAGAAAAGTCATGAACCAAACTGTTCATGGATTAAGAGACATTTGATTTTTGGTTTCTCCTACAGAATGTACCCACAGGCACATTTGTTGTCTTTCTTCCTGTCTCATTCATGATGTTACAGGAAATCCAATAACAGCTTTTTTGGGTAACTTTTCTGTGTTTTGTCTGCAGAAAGTCTGTCGTCCAGCTTGTGGTTGTTCCAAAAGTGCTTTTTCAAAAGACAACTGGACTTTGTTTTTCCTTGAAGATGTTTTGCTTCTCATCCAAAACTGAATAGAACTGAAGAAGCTTCTTGGATGAGAAGGGAAACATGTTCAAGGAAAAACAAAGTCCAGTTGCCTTTTGAAAAAGCACCTTTGGATTTCCTGTGTTTTCTACTTCCTTTTTTCCTTATACATACAATATATTAAAAAATAAAAGACAAAATGATTGCACAATTCCTTTGCTTCATAGTACTAGGTAGACTTTGTCTGGAAGTCCCCACTGCAAACCCATTACATTCTCTAATAAATTACCCCAACAACTTTCCATTTCCCATTTCTTGTAGTAAGTTACTGTTTTTTCATAGCTGAATGATAGTTCCTAGTTCTTTATTTAGACTATTGACCATGACTTAGCTTAATTCCATTAATTTATGTTTCATAGGATTTCTTTTTCTGATCGGGAAGAGTAATTACAAGAGTCCAAATATAGACTGGCCTATACCCACAGCAGCCCAAATGTTAACAAGGCAATAGTCTTCTCTTCAACCAAGGGAGCTACCACATTGATGGTTTGTAGCATAAAAACAGTATTGTGCAGGTGATATTTTATATTTTTGTCCTTAAAAGGTATTCCATAATAAGGGGGAAAAACAGGAAGTAATGAGAAAACACAGGAAGGTTACAACAAGCAGACGTCATTTTCTGGAGTCTAAATTTTCAGAAACAAGGTAGAACAACAACTGCATAAGAAAAACCTCCTCTAGAGCCACCCGAAGTTTAAAACCATGTTTCCAAGCCATGGTCAATACTTTGCAACAAAGCCGGTCCTCACTAAATGAATTCATCCTTGTAGCATCTGCGGAATAAACAGAGGGTCAACACTGCAGCAACACCTGTCCTTATGTCCTACGGTCTAGTTGAAGTGTGGACCGAGTCAAGTTCTCCATCATGGCTCCGGCCACCCCCAGTCCATCTCGCGTTACTTGCCCCCGAGTCGCGACTTTCCCGAATGTTACCCGAATTCCTCCCTCTCGTCTGCACGCCAGCCCCTCGCGGGCTACTCAAAGCTGACCACAACTGGCGAGAGCATGGGAGCATCATCAGCCCCAGGGCTTCGTGGCTCCCTTCCCCACCCCACGCGGTACCTGGTCGGGAGGCGGCGGGGCAGGAAGGGGGGGTGGGTCTCCAGGCCCAAGACTCGCCCCATCGCCGGTAGAATCGTTGAGTAGCGACAGATCATCAGCTGCCTGCGAGGAGAGGCAACCCCCCATGCCCGCCCGCTCCGGGCCACTGCCGGGACCGGCCCGGCTAACCTCCGTCTACCAGCTCTAGAGGGAGGGGGGAGTGGCGGCAGGGGAAGGGGGCCTCGCTTAGCATGACGGGAATTGTAGTTCTCAGCTCCGGGAGTCTGCGCTTGCGCAATACCAAAGAACTCGTTCTCTCGAGGGTGGAGAGTGAGACGGAAGATAGGCGTAGTACTATTCTGTACTTCGCTTACAGCCTCCTTTCCTTTCAAGCGAATGCTGAATAAGACAGGGACCGCTGTACAGTAAATAAACTGGTCTTACTGTATGGTGTTAAAATATGTAGCTTTATGCAGTAGTAGTAATAAAGCTACTAAACAGCCTCCATCTCTCTGATTTTTGAGATGTATTACAATATCAAATCAACAGTGGCAATTGCATTATAATTTTTTGCTACCTAAAAGCATTTTCATTTCTGAGATTTAAATAATGCTTCTAATGAGTAACATTTTATCTGGTGGTTGACTAAGAAACTGTAGAGCATCTTCATACATTCCTCAGACACATGTGAAACCATCAATTTGGGCAAATCTCTTGCATGAATTGTTTTCCTGTTTTCTATAACTCTCCTGTCATCCAACACACAACTACTTTGCGATCTTGGTATTGGCTGAGCTTGGTTTTCTTGTGAATGGTTCATAAAGAATCTCTATAACATTGTCAATGCTTTGATGCAAGAAGTTTTTGTTGGTATTTTATGAGGGGAGGGTTCTACCTGTCTATTTAAATTAAGGTGACCAACCGTCCTCCTTTAGAAAGGACAATCCTCCTTTTGTAAGTTCCGTCCTCCCTCAAAAAGTGTCCTCCTTCATGTCCTCATTTTCGATATTTGAAGACTAATCTGCAGGGCTTTTTTTTCCCTCATAGAACGCTCAGAACGGCATTCCGGAACCTTTTTTTTTTTCAACTTTTGCATGAGCTGTGCTACTCCCACTATTGGCTTTCGAAAGCCAATAGGAATTGCTGCTGAGCGCGCCAAAACACCGGGCTGGCAAACTTTGCACATGCCAGTTGTCTGTATTATTGTTGCATTGAATAAAATGTTTCTTTTATTTACGATATTTTTTTCTTCAATTTATTTGTATCCTCCTTTTCATTGTAAAAATGTTGGTCACCTTATTTAAATAATTACATTATTGTAGGTTTTAACATTAAGATTCTTTAAAAAAGAAAGGCTATATCCTTCATTGTGCATTTCTCTCCTATAAATTTTGTGTTCTTCTCTTAGATTGGGCAAGGCTTCTGCCGCCTGAAAGAAGCCATATGGATCTGATATTATTTCATATATACCAAAGAGGAGGGGAACAGTATGCACTCTACCTGTTTAATGTAACTTTAATGAACTTGGAAAAATTCTGAAGATATTTGTATTGACTTTTGGACCAAAACTTTCTGGCCCAATTTTTTTTCATATCTTACGTTCTCATTTTGTAGAATTCTGTTCTTTGAAAATAAAATATGATTTAAACTTTTACGTATAAGTTTATTTCTTAAGGAAGCAAGGGCAAATAGTCAAGATTACTAGGCACAATTAAAATGTTAACTACTAAAAAAGCTGATACACTTTTGCTTTGTAATTTTTAAAGCTCCATCTGTTAATCACAGCACAGGTAATACACTTCTAATGTAAACAGGATGTAATCTAGGTTACATATGAATATTCTCCAAATTTTATAATTTCAGGTATTTGGCTCCCAGTCCTATGAGAAGACAGTACTTATATCAGCATTTGTGCATTTCCTGAATTTGTGCAACAGATTAGATTAAAATTAGATTGCTTTGAATGTGTTGTGTGAACCCATGAAACTAAAGCAATTTGTCATTGTGTAATTACAATCACTATTTTTAAAGTGTTCTATCCCTGAGTCATTAACAGAATAAAAATATTTAAACATGAATCACTATCTGTTCACATAGTTTAAATCTATAGTTGCAACAAGTCACAATACAGTAATTGGTTAAAACAATTTGTAGCAATTAAAATGCTGAACAAAATCATTTTGTTTGTAAAGTTCCATTACATGCTCAGAAAATAGTTGTTGGATTCTCACACCAAACTATTTCAAATGTGAGGTCATTGTTGTCAGTACATATATATGTGACAGATAAAAGAAGAGATGTAAGGATAACATACTTGCAAATATAAAGTGAGAATTCAACTTCAGAGAGATAATACTGTAAGTCTTCTATCAGCTAGAGACATTATGTCTCTCCAGACTATTCCCACTGTGATACTTTTTGTACTCAATTCTTTAATCTTTTGATTAACAATATTAATTACAGATATTCCATAGTATACATTAAATGCTTCTTTTCCATAGAAATACACTTGCTGCTAAATCAATATAGAAAAACATGAAAACACACTGCTTTACTTTATAGAAGACTGTATCATTCCTCTGGTTTTCCCTATGGGACTGCAGATCTAAAGACTACAATATATAGTAGCATTAATAGGAAGTACTTGGGCACAATCTTCCACAGCTTTTTAACCTTTCTTATGATGATAGATTCTGAAAGTCTTGTTATCATAACTTGCTACTTCAAGCACAGAGTATTTTGTGATGAAATGGTGCCCATGGCATGCTGAACCAAAAATTAGGTACTAACATACAGGATATTAAATTCTCACAGTATTCTAGATCAGCAGTCCCCAACCTTTATGGCTTGGCGGCCCGGCAGGGGGAAAGAGGCCGCTAGACTACTACTTGGTCATGGCCTGTTTGGAACCTGGCCACACAAGTGGCATGCTGGCAAGCGCACAGCTCAACTAGCATGTGTGGTGGGCTAGCATGAACACTCAGGAAGCTCAACTAGCACCTGAACTGTGCACGTCGCTAGTCGAATTGCTACTAGCTACTAGCACAACCCATTTCCAAACAGTGGCCCGTGGCCTGGGGACCTCTGTTGTAGATTTATGTTTTTGTGAGAATTCAGACTGCCAAATTTGTCAAGCACAATTCCTTCTGCTCCTTATGTGAGGAGCCCTGACAAGCATATTACTGGTGCTTGAGAGGGGCTGAGTAAACAATAGTTAAAATATGTGTTAACATGTATGAACATAACCAAGATTTTCTTGTTGCATTGTCAATATGCTCCAGAACTGTTGAATTTTGTTTCCATACAATTAAACTCTTTGCATGACAATCCATTAACTAATCCACCATTTCATATCTTAATTTCACACAGCACACTGAATCTAAGCAATTTTGGATTTGAAAAACCTTTTGCCTAAAATGTGGTGGGATAATTTCCAACTCAGTGGCTGCATTTGCAAACAGGCTTTTCATGATTCAGATCAGTTGCTTTAACGATAAAAGTAACAAGTGCAGGAATATGCGTTGTACGGTACTTTAGGTCTATTTTTATTGGCTACTTGTGGATTAGCGTGCTGTGCAGGTGCAGGTGCAGGAAATTGGATTAATTCAGTGAGCCATGGTTCTGTTAATCGTGGGTTAGTATTCCACGTGAAGATAGGGCCTATCATCACCTGTAGAAGGAAAACAAACTGTTTGCCTCGTTATAAACCAGATAGTTTACGAAGTCATTCGAAAATAACACTCTTTCCGGCTTGGGACCATTCCTCGCAAGATCAGGTTGTGCCACGTGACCACTAGTACCCAGATCCAGGAGAAGGGGCGTGGCTACCGCCCTTTCTTGTGCTACATGATGTACTTTCTTCCTCCGACGTGCGTAAGCGCTTCGGCTTTCTGTCGCGTTTGCGCCGGGACACGTGACAGGCAAAGACGGCGGCCGGGCCGGCTCACAGCCCGCGTGTAGCGTTCGCTTCTGGCTTGCCGCCCCCTTCCTTCCTTCTTTCTCTCCCTCCTTCGGAGCTGACGCCGCGGCTTCAGCCTGGGCACGCGGGGAGCGGGCAGGTACCTTGTTGTGGGGGTGATCGGTGGAGGGTCAGGAACTCCAGTATGAGGGGATGGTGCGAGTTTCGGCCTAGGCAGGAGTTGGGTGAAGGAGAGCCTTCAGGAGTCCGGCCCAAGCTGGCCTGAAGGTGCTGCGGTCGGATGGCGTGAGGAGGGCCGGTGGTGGAGCCGGACTCCCGATTGTCTGAGGAGACGCCAGCCATGCTTGAACGGGGTGGGTCGGTGGGCGCGACGCTGCTGGCTGAGCTTCTCGGCGTGGCTGGCGGGGAGCAACCCAGAAGCTTCAGTGGCGGCTGGTGGGGCCCTCGGGTCTCGGGAGCGACCGTGGCTTTTCGGGAAAGGGCTCAGGTGCCCCCCAGTGGCTGCTGCCCTTCCGTGGTGCCTCTGTGTGGGAGGTGATGCTGCAGAATCCCGGGCGGGCGGAGAGAGAAGCAAGCGCGTTGGGAACTGCATGGGGAATGTGCTTCAGAAATGCAAGACAAAAAAAAAAAGACCTTGGCTGATCGAGAGCGCGGGTTCGCTTTAGCCCAATATCATCTTTCCCCAAACAAATTGCCCAGGTGCTTTCGAAAAGCTCAGAAAGGGCAAAAAAGTAGTGCTTTCTTTTATGATGCGCTTGTCCTCTGCGCCCTCCTTCCTCCCGGTACTTGGAGATAGTCTTTAACATGGAGGCCTCGTTTAATCGTTACTGATAGTTGCCTTGCGGGATCATGGAATAATATAAGGATTTCCTGGGTCCTGCCCAGGGTGCACTGAGTGTTTCAGTTGATTTAGTCCGTTTTTCCCCATCAGAATAACTGCTATAGAATGGTAGAATAGCTTTTTTTCTGTTTATGATCTCCTTTCAAGCATTTATGCTTGATTTTAAGAGCTTACCTTAGGAGGAGGGGAGCCTTTTTTTTCTTTGTTACTATTTAAAATTATTGGGAATTTTTTGCCAATTTGCAAGTACAAATGTCTGCTATTTAGCAACTCTTCATTCTTCTATATATTTCTTTAGAATTGAAGGTTCCATGTACTGATTTCTTTTTCATACCAAAGCTTGCCTTGTGTTTTCTGTTCTTAGGGCTTTATAAATAGTTTATCCTTAAGTACCTGTTTCCAATAATACCCTAGGTTTTACTGTAAATCTTTTAACCTTGTTTTGGAATAGTATCCTGCTATTCAGTCCAAAAGTAATAGAAAGTTTCCTTGCATTAGGTCATGGTAATATGATCTTGGTGGTGAAAGGAAAGTCCAATGCTGTAAAGATTTTTTCTCCATAGGAACCTGGAATGTAAGATCCATGAATCAAGGCAAGCTAGACGTAGTCAAAAAAGAGATGACAAGACTGAACATCGACATCTTAGGAATCAGCGAACTAAAATGGACAGGAATGGGTGAATTTAACTCAGATGACCATCAGGTATACTACTGTGGGCAAGAATCCCTCAGAAGAAATGGAGTAGCCTTCATAGTCAATAAAAGAATAGGAAAAGCAATACTGGGATACAATCCTCAAAATGACAGAATGATCTCTATTCGAATCCAAGCAAACCATTCAATATCACAGTAGTCCAAATCTATGCCCAACCACTGGTGCGGAGAGGATGAAATTGACCGGTTCTATGAAGCCCTACAGCACCTTATAGAATTAACACCAAAAATGATGTCCTTATCATCATGGGGGATTGGAATGCTAAGGTAGGAAGCCAAAAGATAACCGGAATAACAGGCAAGTTTGGCCTTGGAGTACAAAATGAAGCAGGGCACAGGCTAATAGAATTTTGTCAAGAGAATACGATGGTCATAACAAACACTCTTTTCCAACAACCCAAGAGACGGCTCTACACATGGACATCACCAGACGGTCAACATAGAAATCAGATTGACTATGTGCTCTGCAGCCAAAGATGGAGAAGCTCTATACAGTCAGTAAAAACAAGACCAGGAGCTGACTGTGGCTCAGATCATGAGCTTCTCGTTGCAAAATTTAGCTTAAATTGAAAAAAGTAGGGAAAAGCACTAGGTCACTCAGGTATGAACTAAATCATATTCCTGATGAATATACAGTAGAGATGACAAATAGATTTAAGGAATTAGATCTGACAGACAGAGTGCCTGAAGAACTATGGATGGAAGTTCGCAACATTGTACAAGAGGTAGCAACTAAAACCATCCCAAAGAAAAAGAAATGCAAGAAAGCAAAATGGCTGTCTGAGGAAGCTTTGCAAATAGCTGAGGAAAGAAGGGAAGCAAAAGGCAAAGGAGAAAGAGAAAGATACACCCAATTGAATGCAGAATTCCAGAGAGTAGCTAGAAGAGATAAGAATGCCTTCTTAAATGAACAGTGCAAAGAAATAGAAGAAAACAACAGAATAGGGAGGACCAGAGATCTCTTCAAGAAAATTGGAGATATGAAGGGAACGTTTCATGCAAAAATGGGCATGATAAAGGACCAAAATGGCAGAGACCTAACAGAGGCAGAAGAGATTAAGAAGAGATGGCAAAACTACACAGAAGAACTATACAAGAATGAGCTTAACATCCCAGATAACCACAATGAGATGGTCATTGACCTCGAACCAGACATCCTAGAATGTGAAGTGAAATGGGCCTTAGAAAATCTGAGCAACAACAAAGCTAGTGGAAGTGACAGTATTCCAGCTGAGCTATTCAAAATCTTAAAAGACGATGCAGTAAAAGTGCTACACTCAATTTGCCAGCAAATTTGGAAAACTCAACAGTGGCCACAGGATTGGAAAAGGTCAGTTTACATTCCAATTCCAAAGAAAGGCAATGCCAAAGAATGTTCAAACTATCGCACCATTGCACTCATTTCACATGCTAGTAAAGTTATGCTTAAAATCCTACAAGCTAGACTCCAGCAGTATGTGGATCGAGAACTACCAGAAGTACAGGCAGGATTTCGAAGAGGCAGAGGAACTAGAGATCAAATTGCCAACATACGCTGGATCATGGAGAAAGCTAGGGAGTTCCAGAAAAACATCTACTTCTGCTTCATTGACTATGCAAAAGCCTTTGATTGTGTGGATCACAACAAATTGTGGCAAGTTCTTAAAGAGATGGGAGTACCAGACCATCTCATTTGTCTCTTGAGAAACCTATATGTGGGTCAAGAAGCAACAGTGAGAACCGAACACGGAACCACTGATTGGTTCAAAATTGGAAAAGGAGTCCGGCAAGGCTGTATACTGTCGCCCTGCCTATTTAACTTATATGCAGAGCACATCATGAGAAAGGCAGGGCTAGATGAATCAAAAGTTGGAATTAAGATTGCCGGGAGAAATATCAACAACCTAAGATATGCAGATGATACCACTCTAATGGCAGAAAGTGAAGAGGAACTAAAGAGCCTCTTGATGCGGGTGAAGAAGGAGAGTGCAAAAGTTGGCTTGAAACTCAACATTAAGAAAACCAAAATCATGGCATCCGGCCCTCTCAATTCCTGGCAAATAGATGGGGAAGAAATGGAGGTAGTGACAGATTTTATTTTTCTGGGCTCAAAGATCACCTCAGATGGGGACTGCAGCCAAGAAATTAAAAGACGCTTGCTCCTGGGGGAAAGCTATGGCAAATCTAGACAGCATTCTAAAAAGCAGAGACATCACCCTGCCAACAAAAGTGCGTATAGTCCAGGCCATGGTTTTCCCAGTTGCAATGTATGGCTGTGAAAGTTGGACCATAAGAAAGGCTGAGCGCAAAAGAATTGAGGCCTTTGAACTATGGTGCTGGAGAAGACTCCTGCGAGTCCCTTGGACTGCAAGGCGTTCAAACCGGTCAGTCCTAGAAGAGATCAACCCCGACTGCTCTTTAGAAGGCCAGATCCTGAAGTTGAAACTCAATACTTTGGCCACCTAATGAGAAGGAAGGATTCACTGGAGAAGGCCTAATGCTGGGAAAGATTGAGGGCAATAGAAGAAGGGGACGACAGAGAATGAGATGGCTGGATGGAGTCACTGAAGCAGTAGGTGTGAATTTAAATGGACTCCAGAAGATGGTAGAGGACAGGAAGACCTGGAGGAACGTTGTCCATGGGGTCGCGATGGGTCGGACACGACTTCGCAATTAACAACAACAACAAATATGATCTTTTTAAAAATGAGGGTATGGGAACATATGACATAAAAAGCTTACAAAACAATAGAAGAAAGGAGGACTTTTAAAGGAGAAAGAGCAGGTCCCATGGATTTTTATAATAAAAGCAATCTTGATTGAAATGTAAAGAAAAATACAAACAGATCTAGAAGTTATAGTTTTGTTTGGTCCTCTATCATAGAATATTGGGTGTATGTAGGAATCTCACAAATGTGTATAATTGAATATGAAGGGTTTTTTCTCCTGAGATACAAAATAGCAGAGCTTGGAAATAATTGGACCACTTCATGAGAGATAACTGGGTTGTCTGCAACAATAAGCATTTGACATGTATGAGTTCATGTGCTCAAACAGACTGAAAAATCTGTTACATTTCATGGCAAAGCTGGTCATTTAAATATATTGGGATGAGGAAGGAGATCTAGCAAGAGTTTAGCTAAAGGTCTGAAAATAAAGCTGGAGGAGAAGGAGTTAAATAAGTTGCTGAGTTTGGAGAATTTATAGTTTTTTTAATCTTTAATTTACCATTTTTGAAAGATGGTAAAGTAAGGCATCTGGCTTCTTCTCTTCATCCCACATCATCTTCCGTATTAACTTCCTTTGCTGTCTTCATGTAATTTTTTCCCATTTATTTTAATGTAAGTCCTCCTTCCCTACCAGATTTATATAGAAAAACATGGAAGCAAATAGTTCCCTCTGCCCCACCATGACTAAATGTTGTGTGCTGAGTCATAAGTAGCTTTTGACTGTAGTGCCTCATATTTTTCTAGTAGCCTCTAATTGATTTTCTTTGAAAAAAATGTCTTCGATATTGTAGATAAAAGTTCCTACTAGATTTTATTTGTTCTGTCTTGTATATTCTTCTGTTTTCATAAGGAACCATAGCAATTTTAATTATAAAGTTCATGTAGAGTATTACAAAGTACTTTGTTGATGAAATATGAAATCTTTCCATGTGAGAAACTCTTTGGCTGGTCTTCAACATATCCTCCACCATAGAAATATTGAATTAAATTCTCATCTTTCTTTATTAATACAATGTGTTTTTAAGCCCCCATAAGCCAAATCTTAGATGTACATTGCATCCTTTCTTCCTAGAATATAAGCTAGGCTGGAATGAAGTAAAATTTATCTGTGTGGATTTCCTAAGTCTGGTTTATAAAGCAATGATACCAAATGTGTGTAGCCATATAATTTTGCATGTAGATTAATTTCTAGGTTGCATTCTTAAGGAAGTTTGCTGTTAGCTTTGCTTGTATGTGTATAACTGCTTTTAATTTATGTTTTAATAATTTTTCTACCTACAGATAGGGAGTTTTCCGTCATGGACTGGCAACCAGATGAACAGGGTCTCCAGCAAGTTCTCCAGTTACTCAAAGATTCCCAGTCTCCAAACACAGCAACCCAGCGTATTGTGCAAGATGTATCCTTGAACTAATTAGCATTGCTACAGCATTGCTTGAGATTTAAAAAGAGAACAAAATGCAGGCAATGAACTTAAAGAATAGAGGGAGAAAAATGATATGTCACATTGGGGAATACAGGTAACCCTCGACTCATCACCACGTTTACTGACTGTTCAAAGTTACTATGGCACTGAAAAAAGTGATCTATGACTGTTCTTCACACTTATGACCATTATAGCATCCCCATAGTCATGTGGTCAAAATTTGGGCACTTGGCAACTGGCATGTATTTATGACAGTTACACTGTCCAGGAGTCATGTGATCACCATTTGTAACCTTCCCAGCTGGCTTCTGATAAGCAACCTCAGCTGCATGAGTCACTTAATTGCAATGATTTGTTAACAGTTGTGGCAAAAAAGGTCATAAAATGGAGCAAAGCTCACTTAATAACTGCCTTGGTTCGCAATGGAAATTTTGGGGTCAATTGTGGTTATAAGTCGAGGACTACCTGTAATTACTGAGATAAACATTTTATTAACAACTTTCCCAACATACTATTTTCCAGATATTTGGGGCTGTAATTCTTGTATTCCTGGACTAGCAGTAATATTGATTGGATTTATAATTGTAAGGACCCACTTCAATTAACCACCCAAGAAAGCAGAACTCTTGAAACTGACAGTCTCAAAAGGATACTTTTATTAGGGGTCAGTGACAATAGGGAAGGTATAGTTAAACAAGCAATATTCCTCCTCCCAGCAAAGTCACAATGTTAATTTGAAATCCAGCCAATCCACAGGTGGTCTGAAGAGCAGGTGCATCTCAAGGTCTTCTCCAATTTCATTTCTCTGTAACTGTCTCCCTGATAAGGGAGACACATTCCTTTCTCAAAGGGATGGAGGCAGGAGGAGAGAGTAGAAAGCGAAAGTTATCCCAAGCTAATGCAAAGCTCCCCCCCCCCCAGCAGAATGGCAGGCCCCAAAAGTAGAGTATATATATGTAAGGAAAAGAATAAGGGTTTGAGGACTTGACAATAATCTAGGTCACTGGAAGATATCACAGACTCCTGGTCTAAAATAGTGGTAGCAGAAAACAAACCTGAAAGTGGTTCCTCTGGCAATGTCCTATTCTTGATGTAGCCTTCTGTAATGGGCTGACTGGGAGATTATGGAACTTGCATTCCAGCATATCTGGCAAACACCAGGTGGCAAAAAGCTGCTGTCATAGGGCAGTATGGTCTTCTATTAGTACATCTGTGGCTGAAAAAAAAAAAGGCTTTTGGAGATTTTTAGTTAGAACATATTATGAATGAATTCTTAACTAATGCTACAGAAACTGAAACAGCTCAACCAGTTCCCTGATTTCAATAACTATTTGATATTTGTTCTGACACGACTGAAATCTGAGGGTATGTCTATTAAATCTATTACAACACATTTTTTTTTAAAAAAACTATATTATATAGTCTGAATAGTATTGGGATACAACACCTAATTTATAATGTCTGCTTAAAGTAATTGGCCATTAGAATATTTGAGAAAATTAGATTTTGACTTAAGTGATACGGCATGTTTAGCTTCTGAGTAACGTTGGAAAACTGCCGGATTTAACAACTTAAAGGAGATTTCCCTTTTAATGTGTGACTGATAATTTGGTGCTCTATATGGCTTAGAAAGCAAAGGAGGATTTCAGGAATCAAAAAAGTCTAGCTTCCTTTGTTTTATTTAATGCTGCTCCCTTGGAGCTATGCTCCTCCAAAATGGCAGAGCAAGGGTTAATAGGCTGAGCTTTTGGAAGAGCTCCAATGAAAGAATCTAGAATAAGGTAAGAAGAAGACAAGCCCATTGTAAACATATAAATTAACTTGCAAGAAATCCTATAGATAAAGGTGTTCTGTGACTGATGACCAAAGGTCTGTATGCCGTGATTTTTAAGTATACAAAAAGGATTGAAGTTGTTTGGATCTTTACAATAATTTGTAATAAGCTACTGTTTGTATTAGAAACTAGTGAGACTTCTGAGTGAAATAACTGTAATTTACCTTTTACCTCTTAAAGCTTTGGCAGTTTTGTTGGATAACTTAGGAACAAAGAATCATTTAATTCTATACACAAGATTAATTGAAATGCCCTCATTTATTTTTGTGAAAACTGGGTTCATATAGCACAAGTTGCCCTTATAGTCACCCAGCCTTACGTTCTTTTTTAACAAAATTTAATCGATGGTACTAAAAGGCTAATATTATTAACTCTTAAGTTTTCATTTTTGGTATCCAGGCAGTAGTGTTTGCCCTATCAGTTATAATACTTTGGTACACTGAAACTAAAAAAGTACTGTTTTGAATAATCCATGGATCTTGATTTAAATTTTAATTGAAATAATATGATCTTCAGCTCTGTTCTGAATTATAGTCTAATAAATATAACAAGGAAAACATAACTTGAATGGAAATTGATATAACCTAGCTCAGAACATCAACAATGGTACTGTTACATTTCTTAAAATCTGGAAGTGTATATATCACATAAGACTAAAGAAAGAACACAAATGCTGAATTGCATTGTAGAGCCATAATCCAGTCATTCTGCTAAATTTGTTGGCTAAATGGGAGGTCAGACTGTGACCCTTTTCAACACAGCTTGGTTAATTAACTTTCTCCCATTATAGCAGGATCAGATGTTAGAGTTCAGACATAGTTTTGCAGTCCAAAGTATATGAGAGAATTATAGGTGCATAATCTTATGGATGTCTTTAAGACATTCACAAGGAAGTTAATGAAATGCATGTGCATATGCATACATAGACTGCATTACTTTTTTGGTATACGTAGCTTCATTGTATGGCAGTCAGCCAGTTGTTGAATCCAGTTTTTTTTTCAGTGTCTTTATTCACATCACTTCTATTTGTTTTTTGTATGTTATTACTTAAAACATTTCCGTAATTTTATGTAACATCTCGTAAAATTTAGTTTTAATCCCGCTGATCTCTTTAAAACAGATGAACCTACCCGTTCTCTGAGTGGCTTGATCCTGAAGAACAATGTGAAAGCTCACTATCAGAGTTTTCCCCAGCCTGTTGCTGAATTTATTAAGCAAGAGTGTCTTAATAACATAGGAGATGCTTCTTCTCTTATAAGAGCTACAATTGGTGAGTAGTGGTAAAAAGCTAAGGATGAATTACTAATTAGAATTAATCGGTGCTATGTTTTGGATATGAAACAAGTTATGGATCATATTGGAATGTGAAAATAGTATCTGTCTGCAACTTTGTGCAGCAGCAGTGTTTTTTTTTTTCCAGGATTATATTGAAACTGCAAATAGCAGCTATGCATATCAATACTGGATAGAGACATAGGTACTTTGAAGAGTTTCAGATAGGTGCTATTTTCTCTCCTGTATACTCCCAGCCATCTTTTAAACATTATTTCTGAAGAGCTGCTCTTTGTTATTAGTAGGGGAAGGTTATACTAAATTAGTGCGGTGAAAGTGTTTTAATTAGAAGCAGAATTATTTAATAAGATACTACTTCAACTTGTAATTGTCAGCTAACTGTGCAAATTGGAACTTGCTTACCTCCCTCTGTGTATAGGAACACTTATAAATAGTAGGGTGATGGGGCTCATCAGATATGAAGCAGGTAGACTGTGTTTGTCTGAATTTGTCTGCATAGACCTTAGTCATAGCATGGCATATTCTCTTTAGGGGAAAAAAATTATTTAAACCGTAAATGTTTTATGTACCCCAATTGTTGGCTCTCCAAAAATTAACATGTAGCATAAAGGATTTGCACACTTTACTTAAGTTACCTTTAAGTAATAGTTCCTCCTAGTATGTCTCAGTTGCTTTAACAGTCTTAGCATGTTTTTTGTTAGATTAGTTGAGGAATCAACAGCTCTCAGCCCCAGTAAACAATAGGTAACAGAAGCATGTTGGGTCATAAGTAGAAAATTCATCTATTTTTTATAGCAAACATTATAAAATCGAAGTTCTTATATGAGAAATTGGCTTGTGAGGTGATCTTGTAGTTTGTTTTTTCTTTCGGCAGGTATTCTTATAACAACAATTGCTTCCAAAGGAGAACTGCAGATGTGGCCAGAGCTTCTGCCCCAACTCTGCAATTTACTTAATTCTGAAGATTACAACACATGTGAAGTGAGTGGGGCAACTGCATAGAATTAATTGATGGCTTGAAGCCAGCAAGATGGTCTTAACTATGGCTATAGAGTATAGATTTGGCACTGAAATTTTCCTAAGAAAGCTAGTGTAAGTGATGCCAGAAGCCATATTTTATTTAGTGTGTTAAGGATTTTTCAGTTTTTGCTAGGTATAATATATTAATATATTGAACTTCTAATTTATTAGTCACTTCCTGTTCATTGGAATCCTATGTCTTCTCAGTAATCAGCTATTGTGAGTTTACTCTTTCTGATGAAAGATGGCAGTTTTAAAATTAGATAGACAGACAGAGAAGGTTTCCCCTTTCAGTCTTGTCCAACTCTAGGGGATGGTACTCATCTCTGATTCACAGCCGAAGAGCCAATGTTGTTGGAAGACATTTCCATGGTCATGTGGCTGGCATAACTATATGCTGTTACTTTCCCACCAAAATGGTACCCTTTTATCTACTTGCGTTTGCATGCTTTCAAACTGGCAGGAGCTGGGGCCATTAATGGAAGCTCATTCCATCACGCGGTACTGTCTCAAATGCCAACCTTGCTGTCCACAAGCCCATCGTCTTAACCGCTTGGCGCTTGTGCCCCCTCTAAGATAGATAAGATGGAATAAGATAAGATATTGGTGTTTTTAGTATTTATGAAGTTAATGGAATATTTTAAAAAGCCTAGCTGGTATTAGAAGGTGTTCACAATTTTTTGAAGATGTAATGTCATATTTCAGAAATGTGTTCTTATGTACACAGTATGATACAGGTAGTCCTTGACTTAAAACTGGTTGGTCAATAACCGTTCAGCTGACCCATCCTAAAAGTTACAATAGCTGCCTCACCCCTACCCCACATCATGTGATTGCATCTGGGGAACTTGACAACTTGTATTTACAACTGGTTGCAACATCCTGCAGTCACATGACTGCATTTTTTTTGCTGTTTCTAGCAAAAACCTCACCCATTCAGAAGAATAGATTTGCTTAATGACAATATGATTCACTTTATGACCATCCTGAAAAGAGTCACATCTGACCTATGACTGAAATTTGGAACTCCATTGTGTTTGAGGATTACCTGTATTCTTGTTTTACTGTGCAATTTTTCATCGTAAAACTTCATAATTAAAATGAGAGGTATGTGAAAAAAGAGGTAGTTGGGCAGTATCAGATGCAATTGGTACTCTCAAAAAAAATCAAGTTAAACATTTGCATCTTGGAAATATAGGTATTCTAAGAATATATCCATGTGTTCACAGTTTTTACTGATTAAAAGAAATACCGAGTGTTTATTTTTTAAAGAACAATCCAATTGGTACTCCTCCTGCAATCTCTTTAGCTATGTAGCCACTAGAATGGCACATAACCAGGTTGTTGCGTAGGAAGTCTGGCTCTGGGTAAGAGGACAACACGTTCCTTCAAATTGGCAGCTTGTCTCTTCTCTCTGGCACAGAGTGAATACCGCTCATGTTAGAAAAGCAATTTGAGGAGCAGAGCCAAGCTGCAGGCGATCAGATGAATTTTAGATGCTCTTTGCCTGTTTTTCAACTCCATATATTTGTTACTAAATATTACAATGCTCTATAGGGGGCATTTGGTGCCTTACAGAAGATCTGTGAAGATTCTGCTGAGCTCCTGGACAGCGATGCCCTCAATCGGCCTCTTAATGTCATGATCCCAAAGTTCCTTCAGTTCTTCAAGCATTGCAGCCCCAAAATTAGGCATGTATCTGTTCTAGCATCAGTAAAACGTTTAGTGGAATGTGCCATTTTGGATTAAAATTAAAGATAGTAATTAAAGCTTTTTGTAATATATTTACTGCTTTTTGATTGAATAAACCAAAATCATATTGCTATCCAATTTCAAATATTTTATTTGTCATAAAATTAGTAGTAGGTTTGGCAAGTAGCTCAGATATCTATAAACTAGTCTTACTGATCTTTGGAGGCTCCAATTAGGTTGATTTCCAATTCTCAGTTTTCTTAGCAATCTGAAGAGTGCTGACAGTCAAGCTCCACTCATTACAATAATTAACCAGAGTACTTGAGGGTAATTCAGCCACAATTTTCTAAGTTCACATGATGCTAACCCATTTAGAATGATTTTGCAAAGTGCAGTGACCAAGTCGTATTAAAAAGAAAGGACAAAACATCTGATAGTTTAGTGTAATATGTGAATCTAGATAGCTTCATAAATCTATGACACTAAGCCAAAGGTTCTGGTTGAAATAAATCAGGAAATAAATGAGTAGTATAAATGGAAGCAGTTCCCTTGTTCCTGGTGGGATTTTTTTTTTAATTTCTTTACAAATAATGGAACTAATTAGAAACCACCATTAACTGTAGGTCTCTAGTTTACACATAACAGGTGATAGAGTAAATTGGTAATAAACAATAATAGATATGTGACCATTGGGTTTTGCATCCTGAATTGCTTGGAATACAGTTTCCAATTGAAGAAAATGTTCATAATCACAGTTTTCAGATTAGGCCCCTTGATTACATAAGCGGAAAAGCAAAGTTGATAGAAAGTGCTGCTTGTCATATCCAGGCTTCCAAAAGCAAGATTCTTCTCTGAATGTTCCGTATAGAGCAGGAGTCTCAAACTGCCGGCCCATGGGCTAGATACGTCATGGCGAAACTGTGCCCACCCATTGCTGGCTATGGAAAAAAAGTTGCAATATGTTGCAACACGTCACGTGACATTGCAAGTTGGACACCTCTGCTATAGAGTGCCAAGTGTGAAAAAGAACATTGTTATATAGTGACATATTTTAATCTTTGGAACTATCCTTGTAACATAGTTACCACTTTAGTAATGTAAAAATATGTTTTCTATTTTGTTAGGCTTTAATAGAATGAATCAAATTATTTTGATCATCAGTTTTATTGTTAATTAATTTATGATGTTTGCAGTGTCCCAGGGTCACGTAATCACTTTTTGCAACCTTCTGACAAGCAAAATCAATGGCGAAGCCAGGTTCACTTAACAACTATGTTGCTAACGTAACAATTGCGTTAATAATTGTGGCAAGAAAGGTTGTAGAATGGGGCAAAACTCACTTAAATGATTTGCTTAGCAACAGAAAAGTTGGGCTCAATTTTGGCCATAAGTCGAGAATTACCTGTAGAAATAAGTATTGTTAAATCTGATCTATTTTTAGGACAAAATATTGTTGTCCAGAACTTATCTCAGATTATATCATGTTGTTAGTAAATTACTGAAGTCAATAGCAAAGGCTAAAGCAAATGTTATTAAAGCTGTTGTTTTCTGTTCCTTAGGTCACATGCTATTGCTTGTGTCAACCAGTTCATCATGGAGAGGGCCCAGGCTTTGATGGATAACATCGATACATTTATCGAGGTGAGTGGAATTAAACTAGGTCAACAGTTGCTTTGAAGGTTGAGCTTTTATAGTCTACTTTATGTATTAGGTGTTTTATGGACTTATCAGTATTATAATTTTAGAGTATAGATGGGTAATTCCCAAATCCCTTTTCTCCAACTCCCAGATTCCTTCCAACTTGCAACACTTCCTGGTGAGCAACTATAATAAACTGATAAGTTTCTGATAGACTTTACAGACTTCTAAAAATTAACAATGCATCTTTAAAATTAAGACAATATTCCCTTTGTAATGTCATTATAACATAACTCTTTATGGATGAGAGGGGAAACTTGCAGCTCCTGACTTCATGAGCGTTCCCATATCCAGGTAAATTCTCTTCCTTTAATTAAGGGGAAGTCACTTCATCTTAAATAAAAAGAAATCTTCCAGAGATTTTCTTTCTGATTATTGCAGTTTTTGGATCAAGTACCCTGAAACTGGAAACATACCAAATGTTTTCTGTATCTGAACAATGGTAGGAAGAAACTGTGGAATTGTTTTTTGGAAATTTATTTACTGGCTTATGTGTAGATGAGGAGGCCTCAAGATTTTAAGAAATGCCAAAATTCTTCAGAGCAAAGTTTGATGTCATTGAATTAACAGTTCTTTAACCTTGCAACATATGATCAGATTTTCTTCTGTGATTGTTATATTTATTAACTATTGTAACTATAGGGAGTATCAGGTCTTGATTTTTTTTTGTCTAGTGCTTAATATGATTTCTTAAAGGAAGATGAGGATGTCAACATTTTCATCCTTAGTTTTCCACGTTTTAGTAATTTCTTTTTACTGCAGTTACATATCCATGGGCAGAGGCAGCCTTAGAAAATACAGGGTCCAGTTCAGAGAGAAAGGTATTTGGTTCTTAATACCAACATATTCCTTTCCCTAAGTTTAGAAAAATATAACATGGCCTCAGCTATGCATACTGAGGTCACTGTTTTGCTGTTTTGTGCTACCTCTGTACTTGAAAATAGGCAGACAGTGTCTGTGAAAAACTTGAATGTTCATAGGGTGTACAACAAACAGTAAGCTTGAGGCTTTTCTGTTTTCTTTCTGTACACACTTGTTTTTGCTTTACTAACTTCATTGTCACCATGTGTCCACTTATTAGAAAGACTTTGGCACTACTTGCACTTGGCTTGAGTTGCATGCAAAATAAATGCATTTCCGTATTGACAAGGAACAGATTTTGATGTTTTTCCGCACAGAAGGGAAGGTTTTCTCTCTAGGCTGCAACAGTTCTAGAAGATCCAAGTATTTGTCCAGTTCTTGAAGATGGCGTTTGATTCTTGACTCAAAGTAATTTTTCCCCCTTCTTGGCAGCACTTATTTGCCTTGGCAGTAGATGAAGATCCTGAGGTTCGAAAGAACGTTTGCAGAGCATTAGTAATGCTGTTAGAAGTGCGAATTGACCGACTGATTCCTCACATGCATAGTATCATCCAAGTAAGTACTCTTGCTTTGCGGAGTTGGTCCCTCTAAACCAAGGATAGCAAACATGCATGTCAGAGGTGACATGCTGCAACATTTTGGGTGTCACGTAGCATTTACCGATTTCTGACAACTATTCACCCTATTGATGTTTACCAAACGTAATGTTTACAATGATTACCAAAGAAGCTGAATGAATAATGATACAGATATGTGACCCTGCTCCATCCAGTCTGAACTTTTTGTTTGCATTGTGCAAAATTCTTCTGGAAGTTGATATTTGGTCACCAGTTTTTTGGGGAACAGAGACAAGAAAGGGATAATGTGTGCTAGCCACTTGAGTTGCTCCACTGGTTCATAGAAAAGTTCATTCTCACTGATTTATGCTACTTATGTGATAAGTTCCAAGCAAATACATATCAAGTCACTATCAACTGCAGGTAGTCCTCGACTTACAACCATAATTAAGCCCAAAACTTCTGTTGCTAAGCGAGATATCCGTTAAAAGTGAGGTTTACCCCATTTTCAACCTTTTTTTGCACAGTTGTAAGTGAATCGCTACAGCTATTAAGTTAGTACACCGTTGTCAAGTGAATCTGGCTTCCCCATTGACTTTGCTTGTCAAAAGGTTGCAAAAGTTGATCACATGACTCCAGGACACCGCAACTGTCATAAATATGAGTCTGTTGCCAATACTCTGAATTTTGATCACATGACCCTGGAGGATGCTGTAACAGTGATGTGAAAAACAGTCACAAGGCACTTTTTTCAGTGTTGTTGTAATTTCAAACAGTCAGTAAATGGAACGTTGCAAGTTAAGGACTACCTGTATTCTCTATTCAAAAATGAAATTATTTACTTCCAAGCTGGGTTTTCTTTCCCTCCAAAGCAGTGGTTCTCAACCTGTGGGTCGGGACCCCATTTGGGGTCAAACGACCATTTCACGGGGGTCGCCAAACAACGCAGTCGCCATTTTTTCCCCCTTTTCCTTAGCTGTGCTACTCCCTTTTATTCTATTGGCTTTTGAAAGAGTCTAATTCTATTGGCTTTCAAAAGCCAATAGGAATTGTCCAGGCTGTCTCTGCCCTGCTGAGCCCGCCAAAAGTCCCATTCTGCAAACGGTGCTGCACCAGTTGAGTAGTTCTCGACTTACAACGGTTGGGGGTCGCGGCATTAAAAAGGTTGAGAACCACTGATCCAAAGCCTTCAGAATTAAAACCCACCAATTAATATTCCTTCAAGTACAACTCTCATTCTACAACAGGAGAAATTAATTAATTTTACAAGTCATTAAATAATACTACTAGTATAATCATAATGAATGCTGGAGGGTTGTTTTTTTTTAAAGAAAATATTTAAGAATAGTCACTAAATGAGCTGCTGTAAGTCAAGGAATACCTATACTGCTTTTTGCAGGAATTTTAGTATTCTGTAAGACAGATCTAGCAAATACAAAGCAAAAGTAATGTTTTTTTGAATCAAAGCTTTTATGTCCCTGGTTTTATCTATTACAGTATATGCTTGAGAGGACTCAGGACAGTGATGAAAATGTGGCATTGGAAGCCTGTGAATTCTGGCTGACGTTGGCTGAGCAACCCATCTGCAAAGAGGTGCTATCTTCACCTCTAGTACAGTGAGTAATTGAATAGCAGCAGTAGTGCACTGTCTACTTTTTGATGCATGGACTTTGTTTTCATGTAGCAAGTGATTTGATATTTACATTGTGAAAACTTGCATATGATTCCGCTATTGTATCTTTTCTTAACAGAAACTTTGTACAAAAAGGAGGCCAACTAAGACTTAGCTGCCACTAAGCTGATTTTGCTTATCTGAGTTTCAGCTAGGCTGGATAGTTTATATTAAAACTGCACATTAAACACATATAGCTTAATGTATATGTTTGTGAGCTTTTCTTAGAGAAACCAATAGAATAAAATAACAGAACATTGAAATGAAATGAAAATAGTTAGTATATATCCCTTTGGTCCAAAGGGGTATTTTCAGGAGAAATGGTCCACAGCTATTTCATTCCAGATGGATAGTGTCTCTCACCATAAACTAAACTTTAGACTTCACCAAGCCAAATGTCACTGAACTAGTCATTAATAACTAAGATGGGACAAGACGGTTGGTCATGTTATATTTCTATAATCTTCACTTATTAGTATGAATTTACAGAACTATAAAATTAGAAAACCAATCCCTTGTTCAGTGCAGAATACACTACAACATTTCTGACCAATAAACATCCAGGCTCTTTTTATGAAAGAGAAATCACCACATAATGTAATGGCCTATTTAACTGAGTAACAGTTCTTACAGTATTCCTGATTTCTGGCTTGAGCCACCTTCTTTGTAGCTTTAACCCATTAGATCTGGTCTTGCCCTAGGACAGTGGTGCTCAGCCTGTGGTCTGCAGACCTCTGGAGGCCCCTGATATCGTCACTGGGGGTCTGCAAAGGCTTGAAGAAATGTTATGATTTAAATCTTGAGTTAAGTCTTAGAGGTTCACGGCCATGGTCCATGGCCACAAAAGATGTTTAAAGGGAGTCCGTGGTGAAGAAATGGCTGAGAACCATTGCCCTAGAATGTTTATTACTTTTTTTAACCACAATTCAAGTCTGAATGGACTTTAAACTTTACTATTACAAACTGTAGTTCCTTGCCTAGCAACAAAAGCCAAGATACCTTGTGTGAATACTTCCTTGCTTTTAAAAATAGTTAAAATATTTTTGAATTCTCAGAAGCTATTGAAATTTAAATCATACATTTCTCATTCCTATTTGTCAAAGCTGCTGTTATCCATATTGTTCTGGGTCAGGATTTCACCGGATAAACTACTCTCTCATTTTCTCTTAATAGATTGATTCCTATTTTGGTGAAGGGCATGAAATATTCAGAAATCGACATCATATTGTTGAAGGTATTATTTTAAACCATCCAAACAATTTAGGAATATTATATTGCTTAATTTATTAATTTTTTTTCTTTTCTGATTTTTTTATCACTATTCCTAGTTCTTTACTAAGCCAAGTTAATTAAAATGATATTCTGTGTTGTATAGTAACTTCAATACAGCTTCATTGTTTTTTATGCCATTTTATTGCTGAACATCCTTCCGGGTGTAGTGGAAAACAACAACAACAACAAAAAAGATAGTAGACACTTGTTTCTATGAAACTGAAAAAGTACATTATCTATTTACAAAAAATATAATACACGCACATATACATACAGGTCCCTTCATGTCAGTGTTGACTCCTGAACTAGTCCTTGCAGTTTTCTTGGCAAGATTTTTCCAGAAGTGGTTTGCTATTGTCCACTTCCAAGGGCTGAAAAAGAGTGATGCCCAAGGTCACCTAGCTGGCTTTTTATCTAAGGTAGGATTAGAACTCCTGGTCTCCAGTTTCCAGCCTTGTGCCTTAACCACTACGCCAAACTGGCATTCTTAATTTATATATCAGGTAACAAAAAAGTGTTATATAGCAATAAGTCAGATAGTATGGATTTTTGCCTCTTAAAGACAGGTTATTACATATTTGTAAATGCAAGGAAAAGGCTGAGCAAATGCATTTATGGAAATGATGCATGACCTTCAACCTGACAGCAGTGATGGGTTGTTATATTCGTACTGTCTGATCCATAGAAGCATTGTGTGAAGCCTCTTGAGAAGCTTGTAGTTCACTTCACTCTATCAAAGTTTTAAGTCAGCAATTCGAAGTATTTTCATAAATTGACTTCCATCAATCAAATACAGATGGCTGCAAGTGAACACGATATCCATGGACTTGTTGGTTTCTTACCTGAATCTATTCTATACAGAGAGTAACCATGTAGGTTTCAGAGAATAATTAAGCTCCTTCATTGAAGAACCAGTGGAGTACTATACGGTGTTTTGCTTTCCTAGCAAGAGAGATTCCCTAACAAATGAGATTCCCTAAGCTCTTTCCCTTCACTTACAGGGTGATGTGGAGGAGGATGAAGCCATCCCAGATAGTGAACAAGATATTAAACCTCGCTTTCATAAATCACGCACAGTTACTCTGCAGCACGAAGAGGAGCGGTTGCAGGATGAGGAAGATGGGGAGGATGAGGACGATGACGATGACACACTGTCTGACTGGAATCTAAGTGCGTAGGGGGATTAGTATTAAACCGTGCTCTAGGGCAGGGGTCCCCAACCCCCAGTCCGTTGACCAGTACTGGGCCTCGGCATGCCAGCAACCAGTCTGCACAAACAAGCAAAGCCCCATCCGTGAGATGCAGGCAGCACACAAAACCACGCACCCTCCAGTCCACAGAAAAACCTCTCTCCACTGAACCGATCCCTAGTGCCCAAAAGGTTGGGGACCTGTGCTCTAGGGATCGAGAGGAGTAAAATGCCGGGGATGTGGATTCTGGGAAATAGTGCATGTGGGTCAAATGGAGAGAGTGCTATATTACGACCATGTTTGAACTTGAACTGCAGCCCTGTGTAGATGAAATGGTTAATGCGTTTTCTACTTTGCTGTTATATGGAATTAGATGATAATTAGATGTAGAAAATAGGTTTTACTGGGAACCAGTTGTTACTCTTCTTTTTGGCTGCCCCTTTTTAACTCTAATTTTACATCATCTTGGCAGGGGCTTGAGAGAAGAGCATATACTTAATTTTCCAATAGATACCGTTGAAATCAATAAATGACTTTCTGACATAACAGGGTTTAGCGCAGAAGCTCTTTGTACTTATTGATGTGAAAAGTTTTTCTCCTTTCAGAATTTGTGTCATTTCTGTCACATGGCCCATTCCTTTTGCAGGGAAGTGTTCGGCTGCTGCTCTTGATGTGTTGGCCAATGTCTTTCGAGATGAGCTCCTCCCGCATCTGCTCCCACTACTCAAGGGGCTGCTTTTCCATCCTGAGTGGGTCATCAAGGAGTCTGGAATCCTTGTCCTAGGGGCAATTGCTGAAGGTGAATCCTGAAGTTATTCACTTAAGCCAGAATTTATTTCTATTGAGGGACAAGGACATTAGTGATCACTTCAAAAAACAACAACAGGGAATTGACAGTTTTAATTAGTTTGCCTGAGTACGTCTAGATCATATACTAAAAACATCTTTTGCATTTCTAGGCTGCATGCAGGGCATGGTTCCTTATCTCCCTGAGCTGATTCCCCACTTGATCCAATGTCTGTCTGACAAAAAGGCCCTGGTGCGTTCCATTGCTTGCTGGACCCTGAGCCGCTATGCACATTGGGTTGTAAGCCAACCCCCAGACATGTATCTCAAGCCTCTGATGACAGAGTTGCTCAAAAGGATTCTTGACAGTAATAAAAGAGTGCAGGAGGCTGCTTGCAGGTAATCTGCTCCTGGAATGCTTCAGTTATCTGTGAAGGACAGCATTGGAGACTTAAGCTTTTTTTGTCGTTATCAGCACAAATATACTTTCTTATTTATTTACTTATTTATCTGTCTCTTGTTTTTCTATTAATTTGTAATCAAAATGGCTAATAATTAAAATACAAATAAAACATTGATGATCCTTTACTACCCATAGTTCACTCTGCTTCGATGTAGAAATGTCTTTATGTAGAGTACCACCTGATTATTGTTATCTCCTAGGCTTGATAGGGAGCTTAAAAATGCTTACCGGCAAGAAAGGTACCTGGAAACCTTGAGCTTTCATCTGTAGCCCTGAATAAAACTAGGATCTGTAGCATGAATGGGGTTTTTTGGGACCATATTACATTTTCTAATGCCCTGTATTCCTGGCAGTTTGGCTTCAGATCATGACTTCTATTTACCATTATGTCAGTAGCAGTTTTACATTGGATTCTTGGAAAAGTGTAACCTCATTTTGCCTGCCTATTACAATCCTGAGGGGGAAAAAACACTGGAAGAACAATGATTATTACATTGCCAGCCTGCATCCAGAATATATGGTTTGTGTGGACTGGCCACCCATATTCTAAAGCAGATCTGAGCTATAGAACTCCCCTAGTAAGGCTTTCTACTGTTATCTTGAGGCTTTCTTTGGATATGATGAAGAATTTGATGACTGAGCTCTTAACACACGATGAGTCATGTATTCGTACTGTCTGATCCAGAGAAATGCTCTTATATTTCAGATCAAAAATAGTAATTAGGCTATCACAACAAAACTATTTTTTTTTATCCAAAAAACCCCCCAAGTGTTGGGTTGACTTTTTGTTTCTATCTGTTCACTTCCTGGGGCTGTTCTCCTTTGGGTTTGTATTAACTTCCTATTGTTGGTTTTTTTAGTGCTTTTGCCACCCTTGAGGAGGAAGCTTGCACAGAATTGGTCCCATATCTCAGTTTCATTCTGGATACTTTGGTTTTTGCTTTTGGAAAATACCAGCATAAGAATTTGCTGATCCTGTATGATGCAATTGGCACTCTGGCTGATTCTGTTGGACACCACCTCAACCAGCCGGTCAGTACATGTTTTCCTATTGGCAGCAGCGTCAGCAGAAACTGCTAACATTTAATGACTGTGATTAGTTGAACTGTCTCTCTATTTCCTTTCCCACTTGAATAAAATACTATTTAGTGCCAGGATTCTTGAATATAGGCAAATCCAGGTTGTGATTTTTTTGTTTTCCACTCAATAGGATAACATTAGGGGGAAAGGGATCTGCTACTTATGTCTGTTTTCTTTAAAACAGAAATCCTTAAATTAAAATTTGATGGTACACAAAAGAGTGTAAACCGTAGTGGGGCGCCTCTTTTACAATTCTTGGATTTCCACCAAACCTGTTTCCTTGATGCTAATGTCCCACAAATGGGATTTCTGGAAAAGAAAATGTATAAATATTCAGTTTATCTACTACTGACACGAGGGGATTTCCTAATGACTTGCAGAACATATGGAAAGAGTTAGCTCAGTGGAAGCAATCTTACCCTGTGTGCAGAAAATCCCACATTCTGTCTTCGATATCTTCAGTTAAAGGATCTCAAGGTAGTCCAGGTTCTAAGGTAGAATAGACCAGGATTATGCAGATTCTGAGGTAACAGATAAATACTATATTTGTGGGGGGGGGAAATCCCCCCTTGAATTGAAGAATCTTTTTGGTCACCAGGATAGAATGAATTCAGAGTTCTTCCACCTCAAAACGAAAACAGAAAACAAACTCCCCCTAATAGTTATGATTAGCTTCTTTATATTTATGCTGAGTTTAGAGCAGTGGTTCTCAACCTTTTTAATGCCACGACCCCCAACCGGTCGTAAGTCGAGGACTACTCAACTGCTGCAGCACCGTTTGCAGAATAGGACTTTTGGCAGGCTCAGCAGGGCAGAGACAGCCTGGACAATTCTTATTGGCTTTTGAAAGCCAATAGAATTAGACTCTATTCAAGAGAGTCTATTCTATTGGCTTTCAAAAGCCAATAGAATAAAAGGGAGTAGCCCAGCTAAGGAAAAGGGAAAAAAAATGGACTGCGTGGTTTGGTGACCCCCGTGAAATGGTCGTTTGACCCCAAATGGGGTCCCGACCCACAGGTTGAGAACCACTGGTTTAGAGCAAGAAAGGAGCAATTCTTATTGCCAATGTTAAATAAGTGGGAGTTGTTCTATTGCAAACCATTCAAAGATCTACCAATAGATCAAAGTTTACCTTCAGTCCATCTTGAAAAACACGTAATTGGGACCAGAATTTCCATTCTTAAGCGATGAGATTGTAATATACGACTGCATCATGTAGGGATAGCAACCCCTGCAGTTTCGGTTGAATCATTAACTGAAGCCCATTAGGTGAGGCAATTTCCTACCCACTTTCCACAGTCAGACACAACAGAGAAGCTAGCAGGAAGTGGCAAATTCCTGGCAGGCAGGTCAGTGCTTGCTACCAGATGAAGGAGGGACCAGGCAGTACGGAGGAGGGTCAGAGAGAGTACGCAAGATTGCAGGGAGGGTTGGGGAGGCAGTGCATGAGGGACACAGGATGGGGAGATTATATGAGGGTATGAGAGGATGCATAAGAGGTGCAGTGTGGGTTGAGGAAGATGTGTGAGGGTGCGCTAAGAGGTTTGCAAGAAGTGTGGGTTGGAAGGTGCAAGGAAGTGCGAGTTGCAATACAAGTTGGAGAGAGTGCACAAGGCGGTGCATGAATGGTGCATGTCAGGGAGGGTGCGCAGGCTATGTACAAAAGTCAAGGTGCCAGTTGGTGAGGATGTGCAAGTAACCAGCATGACGCAAGTACAGAGGGCTGAGGAAGGGTGTGCAGGTCAGGGAGGCTTACTACAGTGACCTTTGACCTTTCCTGCTGGCTTCCTCTATGACCTTATGGGTAAGCAAGCAGGGAAGATTGCAAATGATGATCACATGATTGCAGTGTGCTACAACTGGTTGTAAGTGTGAACTGGTTGCCAAGTGCTCAGGTTGCAGTCATGTGACTATGGCCATGCTGGGATGGCCAGAACTACGAGGACCAGTCTTAGCCATCATTCATTCAATGCCATTGCAACTTCAAAAAGTAGCTGAATGAATTGTATGTTGAGGACTACATGTAGACTGTATTGAACAGCTGGTGGCCTGCTTCTGTATCAAGTGCATCAGGAAACTGGCCTTCCAGTTGTTACTGAACTGCAGCTCAAAACAGCCTTCAGTAGTGATTGGGGGGTGGTGATTCACTATTAGAAACAGCCAAGGTGTTACAGGTTCCTACTACAGATTTACATAATGAAAGGTAACGGCAACATTCAGTTGGTTGGCTTCTTCCTAGTCATGATTAATCACTTCTCCTTTAATTTTATTATTATAATCAAAATCACAAAAGCCAGTTACTATGAGTAAGAACTGAAATTTCTCCAGATCGTATTTTTTCCGTCTGGTACTTGTGTTTTTATGAATAGATGCTCCTATCAATGCAATTATTAGCATTTGCAAATCTGGTAAACATTACTCAATTGATTTGAATTCCAGAGGAAATCCCAATGCCAGAAACATATATGACAAATTAAAATAGAGACTGTTTGAATCCATAATGTACTGAATGATTTTTAGTTCTAAAGATTCTGGGCTGGTGCTGGCAATGGTTCCAACTGAAATGTGGTTGTAAATTGCCTTATTTTTTTTCCAGGAATATATCCAAAAGTTAATGCCTCCACTGATTCAGAAATGGAATGAGCTGAAGGATGAGGATAAGGATCTTTTCCCCCTCCTAGAAGTAAGTAGCCAATTAGCTACTAATTTTTTGGATGGGTTTTAGTGTCTCAGATGATATGACTAATGGCATTGTGCATGAAAAATGGACTTATCTGATGCTCTGTTTAAAGATAAATATCTTATCCTTGTCTGTAGGTCCTGTACTCTGTGGAGCTACATGTTGTGTGTCGTTTTAGCAAAACGAGAGAAAACTGATATTTATTTTCATGTTTGATCTCAAATTCCTGATCTCAATATTTAAGTATAGAAATGTACATTCAACATGATCTTTCATGTCTTTTCATGCACTGTCCATTCACTTCTACAGTGTTTGTCATCTGTAGCAACTGCTCTACAAAGTGGCTTCCTACCGTACTGTGAACCGGTCTACCAGCGCTGTGTAACACTTGTGCAGAAAACCTTGGCTCAAGCAATGGTATGGCAGTATTTTCTCAGCAGTATCTGAGAAATTTGTCCTAAGTTCCCCAAACATGTTTCTGTTTTGGAATCACGGCTTGCTAATGGATGAGAAGTAATGGAGCAGATTAATTCATCATAAAAAATATTTGATCCATTAGGTGCCTGAATCTTAATTTGCCAGTCTATTGTTTTAATTTGGTTTAGAACTGGATGGTGTGGGCTACATTCTGTAGAACAGTGTGGAACAATTTGAAAATTCAAATATGAGTTCATTTAGATTTAATCGAAATACACTGAATAATTATTGTATTATTTTTTTTTTATCTACTGTGTCACAAACTACAATTCAGTGGAAATTTCTGGAGGGCTCCTGGGAGCTGCATATGGTTGCAAGTTGTCTATCTCTTATAGTAGCAGAACTGCTCTTTTCAATTCGTTCAGGAAAACTTAAAGTGTAATTGATATGTCACCTTTTTTTTTTTTTGCAATAAATTATATTTTTTCCAACACAGATGTACAGTCAACATCCTGATCAGTATGAAGCACCTGATAAAGACTTCATGATAGTTGCTCTTGATCTGCTCAGTGGTTTAGCTGAAGGTCTTGGATGTCATGTTGAGCAGCTTGTGGCCCGCAGCAATATAATGACTCTACTGTTCCAGTGCATGCAAGTGGGTGGAAGTTTTACATGTTTGGCTGTTCAGCCCAGAAACAAGTTACTCAGGGCTCAAAAAATAAATCATGTCTTGAATATTAGTCTAAATATTGCAATAAAAATAGTGAGCTGTTATAATATATCTTAGCATGATTGCAAGATTGGCATGTAGGTAGTTCAGAGGAAGTATATAGCATTGCATGTTTTTAATTATTTGCTTCATAAAAGCATTCGAAAAATGGAAGCTGTAAATACTTTGGAATAGTTACCACTTCACGATAATTTTGATAGCATATTAAACAGAGAGAGAGAGAGAGAAATGGTGGGAAGGATGTATGTGTGTGTAAATATCATTATTGAAGAAACAGAATAGATTAGAATTATCCAGCAATGCTGTGATGATAGGGAAAGTAATGTATTTTAATTAGTCAGACGCAAATTTTTAAAAAGAAGTGAAAAAATTACTTTTTCTAATGGGGACTGGAGTAGATTAAATAACTTTTAGAATAGAATAGAGCTGGAAGGGACCTTGGTGGTCTTCTAGTCCAGCCCTCTGCTCAAGCATTACCATTTCAGATAAGTGACTATCTAGTCCAGGGGTGTCAAACTCATAATGTCACGTGACGTGTCGTGACGTGTCGTGACGTATGATGACTTTTTTTCCATTGCCAACAATGGGGTGGGTGCAGTTTTGCTGTGATGCATCCAGCCCGCGGGCCAGCAGTTTGACACCCCTGATCTAGTGTCTTCTTAAGAACCTCCAGTGATGGAGCGCCCGCGATTTCTGAAGGCAAGCTATTTCACTGGTTAATGGTCCTCACTGTTAGGAAGTTTCTCCTTAATTCCAGGTTGCTTCTCTCTTTGATTTAATTTATAAATATACATAATATTTTATATTTAAGTGAATCCAAAAAACTTAACAAAATTGGATAATAAAAAAGGAATTCAAATGGCTAGCTTCAGGTATTTGTCCCAAACTTAGTTCAGCTTACTTCAGCTTTTAATATAAATATGGCAAATTTTTAATCTGAGAAAAATTAATCAGCTGTATGGTAGTACCAATAAGGCAAGAGCCTGGAGTAGGACTTAAACAAGACTGGCACAGGTAGCCCTGTTTCTGTGTCTGAAATAAAATGTAATCATGTAGCTGATAAATTCGCACGTTAGGTTTATGCATCCTATTAGATCTTGTACTTTTATAATTTTGTTCACTTCTTACACAGTACTGTGGTTAAAATAATAAATAGAACTTTTTTTCTCATATTTCTTCTCCTGTTTATAGGATACTATGCCAGAGGTTCGGCAAAGCTCCTTTGCACTCCTGGGAGATCTTACCAAAGCCTGTTTTATGCACGTCAAGCCATGCATAGGTAGGTACCCTTTTCCCCTAAGGCCTACAGAGATTTTTTATGATGGTAGCAGTCTCAGTATTGATGCTTTTAAATATCCCAGGTAAGAAAAGCAAGAAAGGTACATGGGTGGGAGAGGTCAGAAGGATATTATGCTAATTGTTAACATTGACTTGTATGTGGTTTATGTTCCTATGCTCCTGATAAAAAATGATCTTTGGCATTTTCCTTGCCCATTCTAATTCCTAGTTGTTGGGACATTTTGAAAAGTACAAATTCCAAATATTTTGATTTCTATTCCACTTAAAAGAAGCTCCCATTAGATAAAAGATAGTTCAGTTGAAGGCAGTATAGTAACAACTAGTTAGTTTCCTGCTTTAGTGAGAAAAAAGGTTAAAAAGAAAGTGATAATTCTCCCAGCCAGTTTTGTGTAGGCTGAGAACTAAAAGATGGCAGATGTACAACTGATCTCTATTCTGGGTTTTGTGCTGCTAGCGCACAGAAGTAGATTAAGAATTAAAGAAAGGGATGATTTGATCAGCTTGGTCATATTAACTTTTAACAAGTAATACTGAAAGAAGGAGGAGGTCTGCCAAATCAATGACTTTGATAAAGATTATTCTGGAGTTACTACACATTAGAGACTTTAAACTGAAATATTAGATAGTTGTTGTTTAGGCTAAAATGGAGCCCTTTATACCAACCCATTTATTGGAATTTGGCAAAAATGATTTTAAAAATTTACTGCTTCCAGGTGAGAGCTAAAAAATCAGTGATCCAAATATTATAAATGCGACTTGTAATGTTGCAGTTGAATACAGTATGAGTTCAAATTTAAGTGTTCTGTACTGATCTTTTAGAACTAAGGCTAGGATGACAAGGTAGACCACAACCTATTTCTTGGTAAGCTAGAAAAAGGTGGGATTGACAGTATCACCACCAGATGGATTTGTAATTGGCTGACAAACTGTACTCAACGAGTAGTCCTCAATGGCACTACATCTGCATGGAGGGAAGTAAGCAGTGGGGTACCACAAAGTTCTGTCTTAGGCCTAGTACTCGACAGTATCTCCATAAATGACTTAGATGAGGCAATAGAAGGGGATCTCATCAAATTTGCAGATGACACCAAGCTGGCAGGAATAGCCAACACTCCAGAAGACAAGCTCAGAATCCAAAAAGATCTTGACAGATTTGAACAATGGGCCCTATTTAACAAAATGATATTTAATGTGAAGAAAAGCAAGGTATTACACATGGGCAGGAAAAACCAAAGGTAGAAGTACAGATTAGGACCTGGCTCAAAAACAGTAACTGTGAGAGGGACCTTGGAGTCCTAGTGGACAGTCACTTCAACATGAGTCAGCAGTGTGCGGCAGCAGCAAAAAAAGCTAATACAATCCTTGGTTGTATAAACAGAGGCAAAGAATCAAAATCATGTGAAGTATTAGTACTGCTTTATAAAGCTTAGTAAGGCCACACTTGGAATTCTGTATCCAGTTCTGGTTACCACATTACAAAAAAGATGTTGCAACTTTGGAAAAAGTGCAAAGAAGAGCAACTAAGATGATTAAAGACCTGGAGACTAAAACATATGAAGAATGGTTTCAGGATTTGGGAGTGGCCAGTCTAGATAAAAGAAGGACTAGGGGGGACATGATAGCCTTATTCCAGTATTTGAGAGGCTGCCACAAGGAGGAAGAAGGGGTCAATTTATTTTCCAAAGCACCAAAAGGCAAGACAAGAAACAACTGACTGAAACTAATAAAGGAGAGAAGCAACCTGGAATTAAGGAGAAACTTCCTAACAGTGAGGACAATTAACCAGTGGAACAGCTTGCCTTCAGATGTTGTGGGTGCTTCATCACTGGAGGCTTTTAAGAAGAGACTCTGGACAGTCACTTGTCTGAAACCATATAGGATCTCCTCCTACTTGAGCAGGGGGCTGGACTAGAAGACCTCCAAGGTCCCTTCCAGCTCTATTCTGATTGATTTTTTAAAATAAAAGATACATTAATGAGACATCTGAATTTTTCAAGTCCAAATCTAGAGCTGCCTAAATTAAGATTGAAAGAACTAACACAGTGATGGGATTGCCCGTTCTTTCTGTACAGAATCTTTATAATGGTTAGTTGTAGTCTTAGTATTCTTTATTATGTTGATAATCAATGCTGAGTAAACATATTTTCTCTTTAGCTGAATTCATGCCTATCTTAGGGACCAACCTGAATCCAGAATTCATTTCTGTGTGCAACAATGCTACTTGGGCAATTGGAGAAATATGCATGCAAATGGGTGAGTGTAAAAAAGTGCCCACACAAATATGGGTGGGTAGACTACTATAGCACTTTGGTGTTGTATTCCTTTCTGGTTTTTATATGAGAATAATGTCTCTTTGGCATTTTAGGGTGATAGACTTCTTATTGCTTAGGTGATGTATTACTTCATGAAACCTATTTAAGTTGTGCTTTTTGGTGTTTAATTCTGTTAGTCCCCCAATGAGATTTTCACTCTCACAGTCTTGAGCCATTGATGCAACTGTTGTTAATGATGGCTGTGATATATTTTGATAATTTGATAATATAATTTGTTGAGGTGCTGTCCCAATGCATGGAGGCTGTGTGAGCCTCAGTGGGAAGAAACTAATGCAAACTCAATGCCACAAAGACCAAATGGCTGTAGATGTTGGAACCACCTAGATCTGGGGACCTTATATCTTTATTCATGGATGGAATTGCATTTGTCCATTCAAGATTGATGAAGCTCTTGGATTTAAGAAAGCAAAAAGGCCTTTGCAGAGCTCCATCTGGAGAATCAATTGCATCCTTTCCTGGTTGAGAGGCCTGCCTATAAAGACCACTTGGAAATTGTTCTGCTTCGTGAGCTATGATGATTGCCAGTGTTTCTCCAGGTACAATTCAAAGTGGTGATGATGGCCTAGAAAACCCTAAATGGCATAAGGCTTGATTATTTGTGAAACCATCTTTCTCCCATGGTTTCTTCCCACCTAGCTGACAGAATGTGCATTCTCTGAGTCCCCTTAATAAACAGTGCCATTTGTCAGGAAGCATGCCTTTCTGTGACTTGGTGCCTGGAATCTGAAATGGCGTCCCCTCTGAGATCTGAATGGTTCCCACCCTAATGGCATTCTGGAAGCTCTTAAATATCAGGGTGTTCTCCCATGCTTGAGTTAGGTTGGATTGAACCCTTTGCTAGATGTGCTTGCATGTTTTTTTGATGATGTATATCCACATTCCCCATTTTCATTTGTTTGAGTCAGCCTAGAGTTGGATAATGTCAAAGTCAAATAAATACATAAATAATAGGATTAATTTCTACTTTATCTATAGTTGTGGCCTACCCCTAATTGTAACAGGACCCTTTTCTTATATTTGATTTCTAGCCTTAAATGGTGTTGTTAAGACTGATATAAGCTTTTCTGGTCATTGAATCCAAAATCATTTTGTTTATGCATGAAGAAGCAGCAAGATGTTAAATTGGAAGACATTCAAATATGGAATCTAGATTTCTACAACTAAGCATGACTCAGTTCACTAATTTCTTTTTACCAGGGGCTGAAATGCAACCATATGTTCAGATGGTGCTGAATAATCTCGTGGAGATCATCAACAGACCAAATACTCCTAAAACTCTTCTGGAAAACACAGGTGAGGGCATTCTGATTTTGTATTAAATGCATTTGCTGTCCTAGTGATAGCTATCATTGTTTACTAATTCATAAATAGATTTATTAATATTGATTAGATTTCATGGGCAATCCTTTAATATGACTATCACTCAAGATTATGCTTTAACCACCAATTCAGAAGAAAATGAAGTTGATAACCTGTATGATCAAATCCATGTTGAAAAAAACAGAACATACAAGCAAAGTGTGTTGCTTGTGATTAGAATGCCAATGCTGGAAACAAAAAGAAAGAAAATATCATTAAATAGCATGATTTAGGAAACTAAAATGAAGCACGGGACCAACTTATCAATATGTGCTGTTCTAATGATTTCATGGTTAACACTCTTCAAACAATGAAAATAATGCCTCTATACACAGACATAATCAGATGGAGGATATATAAATTCAGTTCGCTACATCAGGGGTCCCCAACCTACTGGGCCACGTCTGCTTGGCCATCAGGCCACGTGAAGGGATGGAATTGAAGAAATTAATAAGACATAACCATCAGATGGAAATGTGATTAAACCCTAGACTTCTATGGCTGTTTCTTCACTAAAATTTCACTAATTTCAAATGATTTTTGACTTACTAAAGGTTTAATGGAATTAAAAAGTTGTACAGGTAACTAATTTGATACCATTTACTAGTGTGAAACCATCTTTATGTTATGTGCTGCAGTATAGTAAAGCTAAGGTGGTATACTGCCATATACTTCCATTGATTCTGTCCACCCATTTCTTATTACTACAAACTGATAAGACACTGCTTTTGTGACAGGTTTGTTTCTTTGTCTTTTCTAGCCATCACAATTGGCCGCTTGGGCTACGTCTGTCCTCAGGAAGTGGCACCAATGTTGCAGCAGTTTATCAGACCTTGGTTAGTATTTATGAAGAGGCGTAGAAGAGACTTTGGGGCTTGCTTTTCCAGGATTAAAAGAGACTGGGGACATCTCAGATTGTCAAATATTTGATCCTCTAGAACAGACATGTCAAACACAAGGCCCACAGGCCAGATCCGGCCCACCATGTGGCTGGGTCTAGCCTGTGGAGCTGCACTGGAAACAGCAAAGGATCGGCCCGAAGCACCTCGGCCCAGCCTAGGCCAACCGGACACTGATCTATAACCTGATTGCGTCTATCAAAGCCAGAACGCACTCAGCCTTAGATCCATGGGGCAGCCCTGGAACCAGCGACAGGCGCTCCTGCTCTGCCCTCTGAGCACACGTGCAGGAGGCAGCAAGCAGATGGACTCCGGTGTCTCTGCTGGCTGTCTTGCCCCAGAGGCTGACTTCACCCAGGACACCAGCGCTCGTCGCCTCCTATGCGCACACCCAGGGGGTGGGGCAAAGGCGGCGGGGCAGCCCCTTGCTGGTTCCAGGGCTGCCCCGTGGATCTAAGGCTGAGCACGTTCTGACTTTGATGGACGCCACCAGGTTGTAGATCAGGGCCACCCCCTCTCCCACCAGCACCTCCATGATCCGCTCGCTGACCTAGCCACACAGCCACGAGGCTTCTCTTTCACAAGGACCAGCCCCGCCCACATGAGATAGCGATGGCCAGTGGCAGCATGGCCACTGGCAATCTCTCCCCCTCCCATTGTTCCTTCCTGAGCATGGAGGAAAGAAAGACATGGGAATGAGAAGCAGGAGAGGAAGGAAGGAAGCAAGGAATGAGATGGAAATGAGAAGGAGGGAGACAGTGAAGAAAGAGGAAGGAAGGAAGGAAGGAAGGAAGGAAGGAAGGAAGGAAGGAGAGGCAACTTGGTTGGAGATGCTCCAATTCACGCAGTTCTGATTCAATCCTGAATCCATTGAGACTTTGAGTTCAAAGAAGAAAGCAATTTTGTGTTCTGTTTTGTCATAGACAGAACTCTGTTGGTAATCCAAGTTAACATTGATATTCTTGAATTGTGAACTCTTAGGAAAGTATCTCCTCCTTGTGTGTTGCAAACTGCCATTTCCAGTGGGGAAAACAGGACAAAGCAGAATGGGGGAAAATATTTTCCTTTGCTATATTTCCAGTCTGAATTAGACCATGGCAGGGTCCCTGCAGGGCAGCCCTTTTAAGGATTATGTATTAATAGAAAAGCAACTAACTTACTTCTGTTCCTAAATGCTAAATCTGTTGCACATAAAAAAACAGAGGAGCTCTGATCAACTATCACAGCCCCCATTTTGTCAGTTTTGTTGTACTGTTGTCTGTGGACACCCCCACTAAATGAAAGCATGGGATAAACTGAGCCTGGTTTGTTCTCAGTCTTTTAAGTGGCCACAGACTACTAGCAAAAGTGGCATTTGATCACAAGGCATCGAGAAATGTTTCCCCTTTTGCATTTGAGCATCCAAGAAGGGACAGGAAAGGAGAAAGGGAAAGAGGAAAGACAAAAAGAAGGAAAGAGAATGAAGAGGGAAGGAAAAAGAAGAAAAGGGAGAAAGGAAGGAAGGAGATTATAATGAGAGGGAAGGAGGGTTTGAGGGAAGTCCTGCCTTAGCACTTGGCCATGAGCAGCCCTGCTGCCCTTTCGCCATCCTCTTGTCCCCTCTTCCTGACCTTTCCTGGTGGTCTCCCATCCTATTTCTGAGGATGCTTTGGTTACAAGCATCCTCACAGGGAGAGGGAATGGGCCTCCCTCTGACCCACACATTTTTCCCTCCCGCACACAACATGAGCAACTTGGCCAAGGAGAGCAAGCCAATCAGCAACAGCCATGAGCAGATAAGCGCAGCTGGGCACCACCTTGGGAAAGGCTGGACTGGGCGCTTGCCGTCCATTGTCCAGGGCTCTGGGCAGCCTCCATCACTGGGGATCCTCCACATGGCCTGAGAGGGACAGAAAGGCTCCTTTGGTGGACGAGGGTATAGTCCTCGCCCTGGTCTCGCCTTCCTCAACTGGAGACAATGGATCCCCCCAACCCCCACCAGACCACCACAGGCGCCCCCCAACACAAGCGATGTTGAGCTCACTACGCCCACCCCTGCTATGCCCGCCACGCCCATCAGGGGTCCCCAAGTCTACAGTTGAAATACGTTTAATGTCACAGTTTTTCTTACAGGACGTGTAAAGGAACGATCCTAAAATTAGCATTTATAATGTATTTTTTTTTTGCTTGTGGTTTTACTCTAAATAATGATCAGAGTTTAAATTGAACCATAAGCCCTATATAAAGAAGGGTGCTAAGTGAATATTTATATGTAGATACATTAGTGGAAGAATGTATACTTAGCAGAAACTGGGTAAGAAATCTGTTATTTGACTCTAATAAATCTGATGATGTATCTCTGCCAAAAATATCAATCTTAGTGCATGGTTTTGGAAATGCATTGGTTTTGGTCTTCCCCTCTTTCTTAACATATGAAAGATGTATTCTTGTTCATAGGTGTACATCTTTGAGGAACATTCGTGATAATGAAGAGAAGGACTCTGCTTTCCGTGGCATCTGTATGATGATTGGAGTAAACCCTGGTGGAGTTGTACAAGTAAATAAGCTTTAAACATTAAATTCTTTGCTTTGTTATATATGCTATCCCAGGCTGAACAAGAAGGTAGATCTTGCTGTACTGGTAAATCTACTGTTAAAATAATTAAGGATGTTTGACTCTCAAATGCTTAGCCATAGCAGCAGTCAGTTATGAAAAAGATTTTTACATGAGGAGACAATTTTTAAATTTTGCATGCGTCTCCCTTGCTAGATTCCAAACAGATGCATTTCTAGTTTTCCTAAAAAGACTGATCCTATTACCTTGAACTCTGCCAGCCTAATTCATAATAATCAGACATTTACTCAGTCCTGCATGAGTTTCCATTTCTTATGATCTTCATTGCTCATTAATTGATGTTCGAGCTGGCTGTTCCATTCTCTGCAGTATTTTCAGATGCTCATTAATATGTAGAAAACGAGTCAAAAACATCCAGTATATTACATATAATAGTTTCATAAGATCTTCCTTAGCTTAAGGCAGGCTTGCCAGGTTTCTTAACTTCACACTGGTTAGGTTTTTGATTTCACACCCTATACTTTTGCAGAACGATAAATTTGATTTTGCTGGCTTGAACTATAATTTGTACTGAATATTTTCTTAAGCATTGTCGTATTTTTCTAGGATTTTATTTTCTTCTGTGATGCTGTTGCTTCATGGGTGAGTCCAAAGGATGACCTGAGAGATATGTTTTATAAGGTAAGTCATCATCATAGGGAGAGGTTTGTTGGACAGTATGCTGTATTAAGAGTAGTACTCGTTATTTTAGAATTCCTTTTCCTTTAGTAAGTCGATGTTATTTGTTTATATGCTCATATTGTTTCCTAATTTATATCTCTGAATTTTCTTTCTGGGTTTTTTGGAAGCTGTAGATCAGGGGTGTCAAACTGCCGGCCCGCAGGAGGGTTTCATCATACCGGAGCCGCAGCCACCCCATTGCCAGCAATGGCAAAAAAGCTCCGATATGTTGCGTGACGTCACGAGTGTGACATGTCTGCTGTAGATAAATTATAAGCAGGTTTTTTTTAATTATATTTTTTATTAATTTTTTTACACAAGCATAAGTCATTCAATAGTTGGTAAACAGTGTGATGTCTGGGTTACATTTGTTAAAAACAGTCCTTAACAATTAATTTCTAGAGTCTGTATTCCATATATCAATTTTGTTTACTTCCTCTTTCCCTGAAACATCCTTTTTTGCAAACATTGCGTTAATACAATTCTTGTTGTTTAATAAATGACAATTTAGTATATATTTTTTCCGATATTTCAAAAAAATAATCCTCATATTAATACATTTCTTTTCTTTCCATTCATTTGGATTACCTTATCATCAATCATGTTACAGACTTTATTTTAGTTTATTTCTCCCACCAAATTCTAAGTATTTTTACTGGTAAAAGTTTTCTCAGCGATTAGTTACATTTACATTGACAGACTTGATTCTATTTTTTCCATATAAGCCATCTCACATTTTTATGTTTCTTAAGTATTAAATATAAGAGTAAAAAGAAAGGGGAAAAGAAAAAGAATGAAAAAAAATAAAAATAAAAAAGAATAAAAGAAAGCAGTAATAACGGAACATGGAAAATAACATAGTACTTAAAATATATATCCCTCCTAGATTAATAGTATTTGTTTTCTCAAATTTCTTATTCTTTTTAATCATAGTTAAGAATATATTTAATCTTTAGACATTCTATTCAATAAATCTAGTCATCTAAACCCTTAACTCTAATTCAAAGCATTGTGTGCGTGTGTGTGTGTGTGTGTGTGTATGTATATATATACACACATATACACTTTTCTTGAGTTCAATCACCTTTAAGTATCTAAAACATTTCATCCTTCTTAAAGTGTTCCAATATTCCTAAACAATAATCATCATATTAATACATTTCTTTTCTTTTGTCATTTGTGCCTTATCGATCCTGTTACAATCCTTATTTTAGTTTATTTCTCCCGCCAACTTCTGAATATTCTTACTAGTAAAGGTTTTCTCAGCGATTAGTTACATTTATATAAGCCATCTCACATTTTTACGTTTCTTAAGTAATGGATATAAGAATAAAAAGAAGAAGAGTGGAAGAAAAAAGAAAAAAAAGAATGAAAAAGAAACAAGAAAAAATAAAAAAGAAGAGAAAAAAGCAGTAATAACAGAACATAGGAAATAATATAGTACTTAGAATATATATCCCTCCTAGATAAATAGTATTTATTTTCTCAAATTTCTTATTCTTTTTAATCATAGTTAAGAATATATTTAATCTTTAGACATTCTATTCAATAAATCTAGTCATCTAAACCCTTAACTCTAATTCTCATACACACACACACACACACACACACACACACACACATATTCTGAGGTTTTCGCGGGTGTTTGTAGGTCTTTGGTTATTCGGGTTTTCTCCCACGTAAAATTGGAAGTGTCTTGGCGACGTTTCAACAAAGTCCCATTCGTCATCTTCAGGCTGGTGTTTTTGGCTTCGTGCTTCTAGGACAGTGGTTCTCAACCTTTTTAATGCTGCGATCCCCAACCAGTCGTAAGTCAAGGACTACCCAACCGGTCGTAAGTCGAGGACTTTCCCGTCCCGGGAGCGCCGCGCATGCGTGGTGCCGCCCCCTGCGCCGGCCAAGGCGTAGCTGGCAAGGGGCAGCGACGGCGCAGGGCAACCACCGGCTGGGCCACCAGCTGGCCCAGCCCAAGGGTGGTAAGGCACCCACCGGGCCCCGTGCGCGCCAGCAACCCTCCCTGCGCCCGCCGGCCTCCCACCCCTGGCCCTCTTTTACTTACATTTTTAGTAGTTGCTCAGCAGGGAGGGGTGGAAACTTCCAGACAGCTCGCCTTCGCTGCAGACAACTTGCAGCACTGTTTGCAGACTGGAGCTTTTGGCAGGCTCAGCAGGGCAGAGACAGCCTGGACAATTCCTATTGGCTTTTGAAAGCCAATAGAATTAGACTCTATTCAAGAGAGTCTATTCTATTGGCTTTCAAAAGCCAATAGAATAAAAGGGAGTAGCACAGCTAAGGAAAAGGGGGAAAAATGGCGGACTGCGTTGTTTGGCGACCCCCGTGAAATGGTCGTTCGACCCCAAATGGGGTCGCGACCCACAGGTTGAGAACCGCTGTTCTAGGAGCAATGTGTGTTTGTAGCTGTTTCTTCCTTTTAACTGCCAGTTGGGGTATGAACTGATTGGGTGGGAGCTTGACTGTGTTCTGATTGGGTGGAGGTGTGTTCTGATTGGTTAGGGGCTTGGCTGTGCTCTGATTGGATGGGGGGTTGGCTGTGCTCTGATTGGATGGGGGAGTATTCTGTTTGGGTGGGGGCTTGGCTGTGCTCTGATTGGATGGGGGGTTGGCTGTGCTCTGATTGGATGGGGGAGTGTTCTGTTTGGGTAGGGGCTTTGTTGTGCTCAGGTTAGTCTGAGTTGCAGGGGGATTTGAGATGGTGAGCTGGGTTGCTGTTGTTTGGCTTCGCGTTCGTGGTTGTGCCTCATCTTCATGATGGGTGTCAGTTTGCTTCATGTATGGATTGGAGGGGTTTAAAGTGGCTAATAATGCAGCTATGGTCTGGCTTCTGGTTTGTGGTCGTGCCTCATCATCGGTGTGAGTTTGGGTTTGCTTTTTGCGTGGATGTGTGGTGGTGACATCCTTTGTGGTTTTTGTGAGTGTGGGTCTGGTGTCATTCTTTGTGTTAGGGACTCGTTTGTCAATAAGGGCGGGTTTCCAAATGGCTGGTAGGCGGGAGGTATCATCTTGTTTGTTCATGCTGTGTGGGCGTTTTTCTATCTCGATGGCTTCTCTGATTATTCTGTTATTCAAGTGTTCAGTTTTGGCGATAGTTCTGATCTTTTTAAAGTCAATTTCATGTCTTGTGTTGTCCTCTGTTGTGTTCTCCTGAAGATTTTTTTGAAGTGAACTTAAATTGGAGATAAGTTGACTTATACTTTCAAAGTTGTTCTGTATTTCTTTGTGGTTTAAAATCATTGTCCTTTGAATAGATTGCAGCGTATCGTATATTTCCTCTTACAAAACATCCATTGTTTCTGTAAATATCACTTTCTCTGAGCAGCTGAGGTTACTAAAATTTTGAAGGTCACAAACAAAAGCTTTATACCTCCTCATTCACCAGTAGGTGTCAGTGTTGGATCATTTTTCAGTTTTCTAATCTTTTTTTTTTCTCCTTAAAGAGTTAGGTTTGCCACTTCCAATAGCCAAAAAGAGGGGGGAGAATCCCTCCCTTTTTTCACTCTCGGAGGTATTTTTGCTTCTTGGGAGTTCTTTTTTTTTTTTCCAGGAAAATAAGTAGAATAGAGAAAATTAGTTCTTACCCAGCTTCAAACACACTGTTTACAATCAGTTTAGGTAGAGCTTCTTTGACTTGTTTGACTTGTAGCTAGGGCTAGACAATGGAGTTAGCTAGCCTTTCTTGTGTTGGTTTCTGGAAGGCATTTCCTGGACTGATCGGAGAGACCGCTGTCTCTCCTAGATCCCTGGAAATACCTTCCTTCATTGCCACCTCTCCGGGGCAGCTTCTGGCCCATTTAGGGTCTCCAAACAAGAAGAAACTCAGCTGAAGAGTTCGGCATCCCAAGTCTCTCAGCCGATGACGCTGCTGGCCGGAACAGGAAGTCATATTATAAGCAATTTTATATGAGAGATAGGGTTGGGCTAATAATGGTGTGGTTGTAACGGTGTGCCTTTTTCTTCTCCCCATTGAGTGATAATGTTATTTTTTCAGATTCTCCATGGTTTCAAAGATCAAGTTGGGGAAGATAACTGGCAGCAGTTCTCAGAGCAGTTTCCTCCACTTCTGAAAGAGAGGCTTGCTGCATTCTATGGTGTTTAGGCGAAGCAGCAAAACCATACTTGGTGAGTCCCAGGAATGTTGAGTGAGATTCTATCCCCACAATTAAAAGGAGAACGGGTAACTAAAAGGGGATGGAGCATTTTTTTTTAAAGAAATCTTGTCTCAAGGATGAGAAGTTGAGGAGAAAGGGATAGATCAGGGGTAGGCAACCTTGGCTCTTTTATAACTCGTGGACTGGCTCAAGAATTCTGAGAGTTGAAGTCCACGAGTCATAAAAGAGCCAAGGTTGCCTACCCCTGAGGTAGATCTTCCAGCTCTAATCTCTAATCCATACTGATTTTGAAGATCCAGCCTTTTCATTTTACTATATGAATTAGAATTAAGAAATATGCCAACAAGACTTTAATGTCCACCAGAGCCGGTGGTATTGATTTTTATTGCTTCTGAATTGTGACCAGTTCCCACTTCTAATTGTGGCTGTACTAATTTAACTCATGACTCTACACGATGAAAGTTAAGTAACTTTGGTAAAATGAGATGTGGAAAAAAAAATGGTTCAGTCTTGTGAATTCAGTGGGTTATGGGCTACTTTTTTTTAATTCCAATAATCTTCTTTCTTTCCTTAGGTTCCTGTGTGCGCTGGGAGGGATACTGGGAACTCGTCCATAACCCAGTGTTGCAGATCCCTGTTAATGGGGGGTTAGGGAGGACGGGAAGAGCATTGTGGGACATAAAATGACCGCTCCCCATCTCCTGAAATTTACAAAGTTGGGGGGGGAGGGTGGGCCTCCATAACCAATTGAAACAAAAACCAGGGTATCTCAGTGGCAGAAGGAAAGGTCTCTTTTATTCAGAGGCCATCATAGATGGAATGGGGTGGGGTGGGACTCGGCCCTGCGCTGAGAAAAGGGAGCAAACTTAAACTGCAACACTCTTGAGAAGGGGATCTAACTAGGGGCCATCATAAAGAACTAGCTAATAATAATAAAGGATAGGTTTAAGATGTTAAAAAGGATTAAAAGCTACAGTGGTTTAAAGCCAGCTGATGAAAAGGGAAGGGTTAAAATGTAATCCAAGGGGGTTATACTACTGTATATTTCCAGTCACTGGGATTCAAGAGATCAGCTATTCTTCACCTTTTCAAGACTGCATGGTGACCAAGAAGTAGATTAGCAAATCTGTGAGTAGTCCATAATGACTAAGTGTAAGCATTTTCATCTAGGAATCTTAAAGAAACCCACAGAATCTTTTTGCCATAATAATTGCCATGGCACTGTGTGCTAGAAGTGATGCTCAGTGCAAAGCAGCCTATGACCTTGCAGGGACCTGCTAGCCATCTAGGGAGCAGTCTTTTTCATAAGAAATACCGTTGGAGAAGCATGTCTTCATTTTTTAAAGATGCCACAGTGCGATGAGTCTTTTACCCTGTTGTTCAGCTGTTACTTTGTGACACTGCTATTATATTGCTTCAGTTGCAGGAGGCAGGAAGGAGCAAGGTGGGAAACTTAATTTCACCTGGGAATGACTACACAGGCCAAACATGGGCAGAAAACAATGCTTTTTTTTTTTTTTTTTTAAATGGCTCGTGGCATACAACGTCCTGCACTCTTCTGATCAGAGTGGTATTTTACATGATGGTAATTTACATTTTCTGTCTTAAGGACTTCTTTACCACATTCGCCATTCTGGCCTACAAAAGAAATAGTAAACATAACAAAGTACAGAAGAATGATTAAACAGGGAATCCTCCAGGAATGATCAGTGAAAGCTTGTAGCTTTTGCTGCGTACTTAATGGAATTGCTGTCTTAAGAAATTCTATTAGATCCAATTGCATCATTCTCTGAAAATGGGGGATTACTGAATGCTTTTAACATAGTTAAAAAGCCATAGATTTTTAATAGGAAATGAAAATGTTGAAGTAGAAGCCCATTTTCCCAAAGGCAGCTAGGATGTGAGGGAAAGGGAATACTGCTTCACCTTTGGAAAAATGAGGAATGCTTGAGGAGAGGTAATACTCAAAAGGAACATTCTGCAGAATAAACAAGAACAAGATCTGTGCAAAGCAGCGTTTGTCTACAGACAGCTTGGTGACAAGGAACAAGTGAGCTGTTCTTAGCAGATCCCAATGGAACTTCGGCAACATCAGGATTAATAGCCAGACAACTAGGTTGAACTGTGCCTTGTGTCCTGCATTGCTTCTGAGGGTGGTAAACAAAAGTGGTGAGACTACTTAGATGTTAAAGATTTATGTGACAAAAAGGACATCTCTTTTGGGGGTTAAAGTTGTACTTTCTGACAGTAACTGATGGTGATACTTTCAGTACTGTGTATGAATTTTTAAAAGTGTATTTGTGAGATTGCCCAGTAACTTAAGCTTCACTGATACACCTATCTACATTTTTCTTTATATTTCTGGCCTCCATTTCATATGTTAATAATGCTTGCAGTTCTTGGAATTTGACATAGAACTTGCTGGGGCATTACCATACAGGCCTTTGTGCCAGAAAATCATTTCATTTTGGAGATGGCACATGCCTAGGTGAAAGCTGCTATTCTCATTTTTGGATCTGATTGCTAGGAGGTGGGGCACGCCCTTCCATCTCTGCATCGCCTCAAAAGGTCAAAGAAACAATAGTAAAGTTGCAGATAGCAAACTTCCTGAATTCATCTTTTTAATAGTATCAAACTTGAGCAGGTCTCTGAAAGCAATCGGCTAGTTCTTTGCATTTTAATTGTTTTATTACAAGTGTTCCTCCTTGTGCTGTAGTCTCCTTGTCCTGGGGGGAGGGGGAGCAGAGATTCTATTTGGGTAGCAATTGGTTTTTAAATGCATGGGAAAGAAATATGCATATGTGGAGGTGGAAGCCTGGCTTATACTTTGAAACCAAGTGCCCAGGAATATGAAAAGGCGGCTGTGAACTGTTCCATCCAGTGAAGTTTAAGCTACTTGGCCTGACTGCCTCTTGAAATGGAATTTGTCTTTTGTACAAGTGCTTCTAGTATTGCCTCCTGTTTGTTAATCCTGGATTTGTATATTTGTAAATGTGCCGTAATGTTTCCAATGGTGGAACTGCAGTGTACCTAGTGTTGAAGCAGCTGCTTGCACCTTGCTCAAATGAGATTTTTCTCATTTTTATGTATAATTTTTTGTCAACTAAAAAATTCCTGTGACTCCAGTTTCCTTGTTTCTGACCACTTTCTTTGTCTTAACTTAAATGTTTTTCATTGTATTTTCCAATGTACTGATTCAGTGTCACCCCCCCCCCCCCCAAAATTCAGGTGGGCTGAAGAAACCTGAATTCTGTATTTCCTATTGCTTAATTTGTATTAATTTTTCCCTTGAATTGCCTTGTTGAGAATAGTACTTCAGTGGTGGATGGGGAACTATTTTTTCAAGTAACTTCAGTTTGTTGGTAAAAAGATTTGCCTTTTCAAATTATAATAATACAGTTTGTTGGTAGAATGAAACACTTTTTGAAAAGATGCATTTGAGCAATGTGGAATTAGAATTCTAAATTATACACAAACCCAAGATCATTTCCTTTCTAATACAGATGTATGTGCTAGTGGAGCTGCTGGAGCCCTTTGAAAACCATTATTTTGCAGTAAGTTCAGAAGATAACTAGATTTATGCAAATTCTCAGGCTTTCAGAAGAGAGGAAAATTAGAGGTCAGGATAACTATCTTGTGCTGTGCCATTAAAATGAGACAGCTGTAGTAACTTTCCTGTTTCTTGGACTTTTGGTATTAAATGTAATACAATATACATCAGAACTTAAGTAGCCTCTAGTTCAGGGGTCTTCAAACTTGTGGACTTCAACTCCCAGAATTCCTCAGCCAGCGTCCCTGGCTGTGGAATTCTGGGAGTTAAAGCTCACAAGTCAAAAGGGCCAAGTTTGAAGACCCCTGCTCTAGTTCTAGCCACTTTTCTGACAAGATTTTGTGTTTCATCATCTATATTAAAGATTTGTTACTACACAAGTCACCTGCAGGAATTTACTAATTGTATTTTATCTTTCTGGACAAGGTTGTCCTGCAGTGCCTTTAAACTAGATGGTAGTCATGCGTGTGTAATGTTTCGTTACCAAAACATATTTCAGTTGTATAATTCATTTAAACAAAAGTAAAATGTTTGTATATTTTGTGCATGCATTTGCAGAATATAACTTTATACTACATACTTGAACATGCACATAACTTCATCCATACATTTATTCATACACATATTCTAAAACTCTTACAAAACAGTCCTGTCCTGCTGAATTTCTGCTTCCTCAATTGTCTTAATCCCTCGTCAAGGTGTTAAAGAGCAGTCCGTTTTGCTAGTACAACATTTAAAAGAATGTTTCTGCCATAAGCCAGATAATAAACAGGCAAGTTTCGCTAAGAGTACGGTTGAGGCTGCAGGAATGCAGCTGCTGCCCGTGGGAACCATTGTTTTTAATTAAAAGAGTTGTTACCTAAAAGTTCCTGTGCGTACACTCCACACTTGGAACCCACAAAATCCGAGATGTGTGAAAGCTCCTCCCTCACTTAAAAGGTTGCTTTGCGTCATCAATTGGCGCCGGACGTGGTTCCTTGGAGACGAGACGCGCAAAGGCGTCGTAGCGGGCGCGACCTGTCAAGGCAAAGCTGCCTTAAATCGATGGTGTTGGTTCTTCGCTTCCGACGAAGCGGGGGAGGCAGGTTGCCGGGAGAATTAGCTCGCTGCTGTGACCAAGGGAGCGGGAAGCAGGACTCGGCGTTGGGATTAATCTCTTACTGTGTGGAGCTCTGCATCTACAGAACGGAGATCTTCCAACGGCGTTAAGGCGGGCGTGACCGCTGAACGGAGGGATTGTATTCGGCAGCAGAGCTGAATTTTTCACTTGCTGCACTTCCCGGACAGGTACATGATAAGCGTGCATGGAGGAAGCAAGCGAAAGGAAGGCAGCAAAAAGAGCAGTTCCTTTTTTAGAATCGGCTTTGGGTGGGTCTGCGTGGGGAAGAGCAAGATAGGAGATTCGGTTTTAAAATTTGTTTGCTAAAACAGTGATAAAAAGTGAGAGAGAAGCAGTTGTTTTTGTGAGATTTGTACTCTGCCTCTGGGGTGTTCAAAGGATAAGCCATCTTTCCGGAATCTGTTCCAGGAAGCTCTTAGCATATTTGTGGTTTTATTCATTAGGAAAAATGACAGCCATTTCAGAATACACATTTTCCTCCTCCTGAACTATGCTTTTCCCATAGGAGTATACGATTCCTGATGTAGCTGGGAACCATAGCATTATGATTGGATCATGCAACAGTTTTTATTTCTGTGGAGTCAGTTCTCATTTTAAGATGAAAGCTCGGAAGTCAGAATGAGAATAACTTTTCTAATCTTACTCTTTTCTCGACCTATGAACATTATTATTTGAAAAGAGATAAAACCAAATAAGATTTCTACATTTATCATTCAGAAGTCCATCTTCTTGTTAATAATCTAGGAATGTTTTGAACGTTCAATAGATAATTTCTTTTTACATCTTGTTCCTTGAGCATCATTTTAAAATTTTCAGGCTTAAGTGTGGCTATAATTCATGCTCTCAAAACTTCCTTTGGCTGCATAAAACTTTTGTATTATTAATTGAAATATATATTTCTAATAAAATAAGGTATCTGGTTTTTATCATTCCTTATCTGAATTGTTTGTTTCTTGCCTTCCTGCAGCAATGGAAACTTCTGTTGAACAACAAGCCTCTGACAATGACTCTGACACAGAGAGCAGAATAGATCCAGATACCCAGGCCCTGGAGTATGTTGAGCGTGTTCTTGGAACTTCAAGTCAATCCAGGCAAGCAACCCAGTGTCTACCTCCAGAGCCTCTCTCAATAGGTGGTAGAGTCCGAACATCAGACCTCAGATCACCTCTAGAACTGATAAAATCTGTTGCTGAAGAAACTGCTTCAGGGCTCTTGTCTCTTCCTCTAGAGTTGATTTTAGAAATCTGTTCTTACCTGCAAGCCAGGTTTGTTTTGCACGTCCTTCCTTTAGTCTGCAAGACTCTAAGGGATATTGTGCAAGATGAAGTCACTTGGAGAATTCGACTTTTAAAAAGAATTGGCAATTGCTATCCAGTTGTAGAAGGTAGGTGGATTCTCTTTGTAGCTGTGGTGACCTATATTTTAGCTTTTCACAAGCAGCTTCTCAGATAATTAACTTTTGATTTTAGGGAGAGGTGGAATTGGTGTTTTAAATGTACATGATGGGGGAAGAAAGAAGCTAAAATGAGTTTTCCTTGTCTGAAAAGAGGGTTATCATTAAGTAAAATGAATAGGAATTTCACTCGAGCTACTTTTCCATTGCTGTAATTTGTAAATATTGCTGTAAATATTCTGGGTAGAACAATAGTAAATATTTCCTAGCCTGCTTTTCTTTCATTTTTGGAGTGTTGCAGGTAAGCTTAATAATATTGTCTTTAAACTGATAGTACCAAGTCCTTTACGATTTAAAGACAATGTCTCATTAGTTCCCAAATTGAAATATTAGAATTTATCATGTCACTTTTGCAGTGTTGCAACTCCTGCTCCATTATGTAGAACTCCAGTGTTTTAGTATCTATCTTTTTTGGTGTTTAAATTATGTAAACCATGTTAACACTTATAGGTAAAACCACTATGTAAACATAAATTGCTTAATTTTGTTTTTACACCAAACAAAGGAAATCTATATGTTTTTATTTTTAGCAGGTAATGATTTTAACTGGCCAACAGCTTGCATTGAAGTAGAGGAACACCTCCAACAATGGGCAGAGAGTGGCAAAAACGCAGAGTATTTTTCCCTTACTGAAGGGCACTTTGCTTCTGTTGATTCTGTACTGCTCCTTCAGGTAAAAACCTGTCTCTCTTTGCTGCTATTAATGATTCAGCTTTGTTCCAACAAATTATATCCTTCAATATCCAAACTTTAATTAAAAGGAGCATCTTAAAAAATGTTCTGCGTTTTCATTTTTCTGTGAAAACTTTGAGAAATAACTAACAAAATTCATCTGGCCAAATAGAGTTTCCTCAATGTTATGCTCCATTATAATCATAACTATCTCTTAGTAGAGCTGGTTGTGTATTTGTTAGCATTTTATATGATTCTTTAGACATAAATGCTGAGTAGAGGATTAACTGTGGCCACTTCCTTTTTTAAAAAAAAAAATCAACCTTCCTTTGTCTATCACTTAATCTAAACAGTATTCCTTGTTTGCTACTATTGCTTTCCCATCATTTTTATTCTCGATTAATTACTGCTAAAGTACTGTATTTGTCAAGCCATTCTGATATTGTCTTTATAATGGGCTTTAAGTTTTATCCTTATTTCTGTTTATATAGCCGCCTATCTTACTTGTAGGACTCTTGGTGGCTTACAGGTAAAAACAGCAGAAAAATAAACTTGTATAAATTAAAACAATTAAAACAATAGCTTACAAAAATAAAAATGCAGAAGAATATCAACCAAAGCTCATAAGCAATGCAGCCATCTTGCAGGCTCCCCACATCCGTTGACTCCAGGGATTTCCTAAAGGCCAAGATTGGACACCAATCTGACCTAAGGGGACATAAACTTCCAGACAGTAGATGATATAGCAGAAAGGGCTCTCCTCCTCTTGGGTCCTGTTATATACAATTCCTTCATGCACAGGATCCACATTATGTCTTTTCTGCTGGATCTGACGGAATGGGTAGCTGTAAATGTAATCAGGGGAAGGTGGTCCTTCAAACAGACAAGCCTAGTGCCTTATAGGGATTTGTAAGTCATTGCCAGTACCTTGAATTGAACCCACAAGCAAACTGCAACCAATGCAGCTCAGGGAAAAGAGCTATAATATGCATCAATCTTGGATTCATGTCACTGCCCATACTTTATTTTATTTACTTATCAAATTTAGAAATCACCCATTTCCCTCACAGAGAGATTCTGGCCAGTGTACATATAAAATATTGCCATATTTTGCACCAGCTGTACCTTCTGTCTGCTCACTGTGATACTACTATTCTGAAATATGAGGACACTGACTTGTATCGTTTGATTAGCATTTATTTTTATTATCTTATCCAGGGTGGGGAGCTGTGTATTTCTGGCTCTCGAGACCGAAATGTCAACTTGTGGGATCTAAGGCAGCTGGGCAAAGCACCAGAAAAAGTTCTAGTGAAAGTGCTGGGGACAGAGCGCAATGGAACACACAAGGTAACTGGAGATTCTGAACCAGAACAATACATTAAACATAAATATTAAGCATTATTATAGAAATTCTGTATTGTCAACCCCTAAATTTCCCTCTGATAGCCCCATTCTATTGTTTAAACCAGAAAATAAAGTGCAGTGGGTTTCTCTGTGTGTGATGTGTATACAGGTAATCCTTACTATTGTAATTGGGCCCTCAATTATAGTCATAAGTAATTATAGTCATATAGCAGGTCACCACATGGCCAGAACCAATTTTATGACCTGTTTTGCAGCGGTCATTAAGCAAATGCAGCCATTACAAAGTGAAAACTGAGGTCATTATGCAAACCCATTGTTCGCTATGGGGCAATTTTGCTAGAAACAAGAAGTAAATGCTGGTTTCCTGCAAAATTGTAATTCATAATCACGTGCCTACAGAGTGTTGCAAATGACTGTAAATGTGGACCGGTTGCTGAGCGCCCAAAATATGGTCACATTGGAGAGCAGACATCAGAATTTCAGAACCAGGTCATAACTAGGTTCTGGGAGGGACCAATCACAACTTCAAACAGTTGTTAAATGACTTGTTGTACGTCAAGGACTACCTGTATGTGTATGACATCACTCATGATTTGGGAATTTTCTAATTAATAGCAGTACATCCCTATCTCTCTCTTTTGAACATTAAACCTTTCCCTTTTACAAACTTGCTGGGTGGCTTCTTTGTCTTTTACTGTAAAAAAAAATTAAAATGGCCCATGCCTTTTTATGGCTAGTTACAAAGAAAGGTGTAGGTAAATACATGAGGTATATGCTATGCTGGCAGCAATATGGCCTATTGCTTCCAAGATGGCATTTAGAAGACCTTTCAGTCCTCTCTAACCTCTGAGCAAGAAATGACCATTCCCAATGAAAAGGAAGGGAAAGCTTCATAATTTTACTATTGTGATGCCTCAGAAAGTCTACGCACCCCTGTTAAAATGCCAGGTTTTTGAGATATAAAAAAAATCAGATCAAGATAAATCACTTCAATTTAATGTAAATTGAATTTAATGTAAATTTAATGTAAATGTAAATTGGCAAGAGGGACATATTACCACATGTGGTGGGAGTGCTCAAAAGCCCATGACTTTTGGAACAAGGTTAAAAAATGGCTGGAAGAAATACTAATGATAGAGGTAGAGCTAAAACCAGAACTCTTCCTACTAGGCATAACTACGCAGAAATACAACAAAGGGATACTTTACTCGATGCTACATATTCTTACGGCTGCTAGATTGGCGTTTGCACAAAACTGGAGGAATAAAGAAATTCCAACAGAAGAAGAGATTTTATATAAAATCCTATCGTGTGCTGATATGGATAGGCTCACAATGGAAATGAAGGACAAGACAGAGTCAGATTACTTTGAAATCTGGGACAAATTCTATTGTTGGTGTGAATCAAGAACTGTTCGGGTTTTAAGTTAGTGTTAAGATAGAGATATATAAAACTTTATGTTAGTATATAGAGAAACAAATTAGAGACTGTATTGTATAGAAAAATATGTATATAGAGAGATTAAGAATTATATGTATGATGAGGAACAAATTGTTAGGAATATATACACTGGAATGTTACGTGATGTCCATCTTTGTTTTAACTGTTTTATAAATAAAAATCTTTTTTAAAAAAAAGATAAATCACTTCAGAATCATTTCCACCTTTTACATATAAGCTGTAGAATTCAGTTGAAAAACAAATTGAAATCTTTTAGGGGGAAAATAACAATAAAAAAATTACAATAACGTAGCTGCATAAAGATGCACACCCTTAAACTTATACCTTGTTGAAGCACCTTCCTGACAGCATTCAGTCTTTTGGGATAGGAGCTCATCAACATGGCACATCTTGCCTTGAGAATCTTTGCCCACTCTTCCTTGCAAAAGGGCTCCCGTTCTGTCAGATTGCAAGGGCATCTCCTGTGCCCAGCTCTCGTCAGGTTACCCCACATGTTTGCAGCTGGATTCAGGTCTGGGCTCTGGCTGGGCCATTCCAAAACTTTGAACTTCTTCTGTGAAGCCATTATTTTGTTGATTTGGAGGTATGCTTTGAATCTTTGTTATGTTAAAAGGGAAACTCCTTCATCTTCAGCATTTTGGCAAAGGCCTGAAGGTTTTATGTCAAAATTGACTGATATTTGGAACATTTCCTAATTACCTCCACCTTGAGTAAAGCCCAAGTTCCAGTTGTGGGAAAGCAGCCCCAAAGCGTAATGCTGTCACAACCCTGCTTCACTGTGAATGTGATGTAATTTTGGGTGATGCGCAGTGTTGGTTTTGTGCCAAACATACTTCTAGAAATCATGACCAAAATGTTTATCCTTGGCCTCATCAGACCATAATACATTTTCCCATATGCTTTTGTGAGTGTTGATGTAGGTTTTTGCAAAACGTAGCCAGGCTTGGATGTTTTTCTTTGTAAAAAAAGACTTCCATCTTGCCACCTACCTCATAGCCCAGACATAAGAAGAATATGGAAGATTGTTGTCACATGTAGTATAAAACCAGAACTTGCCAGACATTCCTGCAGCTCCTTTAATGTTGCTATAGGCATCATGGCAGTTTCTTGGATCTGTTTTCTTGTTTTTTCATCAGTTTTGGAGGGACAACCAGTTCTTGGTAATGGTCACTATTGTACCATATTTTCTCCACTTGTTAATGATTATCTTCACTGTGCTCCACAGTATATCCAATTTTTTTTTGTGTCCTCCTGTCATTCTCTTGACCGATACCTTCCAACAGATACCTTTGATGCTTTGTAAACTCTTTGCAAACCATGGTTTTTGCTGTAAAAGGCAATAGAGTAAATATCAGAAAAATCCTACTAGAACAGCTGAACTTTATATAGGCCTGATCAGGGTCATTTTAATTAATGGCAGATGTGTATTGAATACTATTTAATATAAGTTGAAATGTGATTGGTTAATTTTGAACACAACTACATCTGTACTTACAAGAGGGTGTGAACACTTCCAAAGTCATATTATTCTAGTCTTTTTTTTTTAATTTTCCCCCTTAAAGATTTCAGTTTGTTTTTCAATTTAATTGTACACTTATATATTATATTAAAGGTGAAAAGAATACTGAAGCAATTTATCTTGGTTTGATTTTTCTACATCTGAAAAACCTAACATTTTAACAGGGGTGGGTAGACTTTCCACTGTAGGTCAAAAAATTGTGAATACAAAATTGAAGCCACGTTTCTGTTCTAAAATGATGTATATTTATTAAGCTGCTGGAACTTATTTTATGTATAACAGGAGATTTGTTGTCTTCAGAGAATGAAAGTTCACAGTTTTTCTCAGTTATAAGTTTTGCTGTGTGTAGCAATACGAGAAAAAAAATCAAAGAGTTAGAAAAGAGATATTTTTGTAGTTCACCTGGAAGTTATTTGATGTAATTATTGTTATTGCAATGTGTAATCATTGGAAAGATTAGCTGAAGTTTGTTTGTGTGTATGTGTGTGTGTGCGTGTGTGTGTCTGTAACATTTGTTAAGTGAGGGAAAATGGTCATAAGTCACTTTTTTCAGTGCCGTTGTAACTTCGAACAGTCACTAAACAAACTATTGTTAAGTCAAGGAGTACCTGTTTATATACCAGCACAGTGTTATTAAAAACTAAAGCAGGGTGATGTATTTTGTCCCCATTCACCCGCCTCTTTTTCCCCCCACCATCTAGGGGTGGGTTTGGTCCCTGGCTTCATGTGATAACCATGTATGTTCAGGCTCCTGGGACAGCACAGTAAAGTTATGGGATATAGCCGCTGATGGAAAACAGTTTGGAGAAATCAGGTACTGTTGCTGTTTATCTTCTTACATTATATATATTTAGAAGGCTAAATGGCAAAAAGAAAACTAAATTCAAAAAACGGAATTAATAATGACCGGAAAGTAGATATTGGCTTCAGTCCTTAATTGGGGCCCCAGACAGATTTAACATCCTACTCCCTAAAAATAACATCAAATCATAACCAAAGGCCTAAAATAGTACAAGTATTCAGTCTTGAGTTATATTGAATGTCAGAGAATTTCACCTAATTTTTTTTTCTTGTATTATTTCCCAAGGATTTATTAAAAAGACTAGATTAATGTCCAATTAATATTGTACCGCCATATTGATATATATATATATATATATATATATATATATATATATATATATATATATGTAGGTCTTTGGTTGTTCGGGTTTTCTCCCGCGTAAAATTGGAAGTGTCTTGGCGACGTTTCGACGAAGTCCCATTCGTCATCTTCAGGCTGGTGTTTTCAGCTTCGTGCTTTGAGCAGCAATGTGTGGTCTTAGCTGTTTCTTCCTTTTAACTGCCAGTGGGGGTATGAACTGATTGGGTGGGAGCTTGGCTGTGTTCTGATTGGGTGGAGGTGTGTTCTGAATGGTTAGGGGCTTGGCTGTGCTCTGATTGGCTGGGGGAGTGTTCTGTTTGGTTGTGCTCAGGTTAGTCTGAGTTGCAGAGGGGTTTAGATTTTGGGCTGCCTTGCTATTTCTGGCTTCGCCGTTCGTGGTCGTGCCTCCTCTCATGGAGGGTGTCAGTTTGCTTCATGTATGGATTGGAGGGGTTTAAAGTGGCTAATGAGGCAGCTGTGGTCTGGCTTCTGGTTTGTGTCATGCTCGTCATCGGTGTGGCTTTGGTTTGTTTTTTGCGTGGATGTGGTGGTGACATCCTGGTGGTTTTTGTGAGTGTGGGTCTGGTATCATTTTTTGTGTTAGGGAGTCGTTTGTCAATAAGGGCAGGTTTCCAAATGGCTGGTAGGCGGGAGGTATCATCTCGCTTGTTCATGCTGTGTGGGCGTTTTTCTATCTCGATGGCTTCTCTGATTATTCTGTTATTAAAATGTTCACTTTTGGCAATGGTTCTGGTATTTTTAAAGTCAATTTCATGTCCTGTGGCTTAAGGTGTTGGACCAGGGAAGATGTTGGTTTCCTCTTTTTTGACTGAGTTCTTATGTTCTTCAATGCGTGCACTTATTCTTCTGTTGGTTTGTCCAATGTATGTGGTGGGACAAGTGGTGCATGGGATTTCGTATACTCCTTGATTTTCTAATTCAATTTTATCTTTGGGGTTTCTAAGGATGGTGGATATTTTTCTGTTTGTGCATCAGTAGATCCTCCATAAACCCAACATCAAACAGCATTCTGCACAAACAGAAAAATATCCACCATCCTTAGAAACCCACATCTTCCCTGGTCCAACACCTTAAAGCCACAGGACATGAAATTGACTTTAAAAATACCAGAACCATTGCCAAAAGTGAACACTTCCAATTTTACGTGGGAGAAAACCCGAACAACCAAAGACCTACATATATATATATATATATATATATATATATTCACTTTGTATATCTTATTTCTCTAATATGCATATTACCAGCTTGCAAGTGCTTCTAGAAAGTTTAGAATTTTTTGCTCCCTATCTTTGGGTCCGTCCCCTTGTATTTGGCTGCGAGATATTTCAGGCAAAAAATCTGTAACTTGGATAGGTACAAGTCTACAAAGAAAATTCCAGCTCACTTACATATTAGCTCACCCTATCACAGGGAGAGAGTTTATTCTACATAAATACATTATAGCTATAAAAACCATATTGTGTAAGAACAGTGCAACCTTGTCTAGTCTTATATTTGTAGAATTTCCACACTGACATGCTGGTTTTGGATTCAGAGAGCTGGAGGTTGCAATTTTAATGAAAACTAACATAGTGGACCGTTGGATCCAGATTTATCAGATCTTAGTGTATTTGATGTTTCATATAATAAACTAATTTCTGTGATGGCTTACTTCTTTATGCAGATGGTGCAGATTGCCTCATCTGCATTAATTTATGATATTTGATGAGTTATGCAAATGCCAAAATCACGAAGATGATATTCTTATCTATTAAACAAAGTTTCATATTTAATGTTATTCATATATATTTATATCAGTATTTATGAACTGCATACTCCCTTTGCTCAATTAGTCCATTAAAATTAAGATTCTCTACAATTCAGCATGTAAATAAGTCCTCTATTGGGCCTTCTGATTTGCAGTCACAGGGAATGAAATTAGGCAGGCAGAATTGTTAGCTGACCCTGCAGCAGGTGTCAGTGTGGTTTTTTTCTCTTGCTTTCCCACCTGTCAGTTGTAGTAGATCATGGGTGTCAAACTCAGCACGTCATGTGACATGTCGCAACATATCGTGACTTTTTTCGTATTGCCGGAGCTGGAGTGGGCACGGCCTCCGAATGATGCAATCGGCCCATGGGCCAGCAGTTTGACACCCTTGTAGTAGATGATGACAGCCATTGCAAGCAGCAAAATGGGGACTAGCTAATTTATGTTGTAAAAAGTGTCAGTCTAGAAATAATGAAAAACCCAAGGCTGAGCAAAGATTTACTGACTTGAATGTGTGGTCATGAAATATGCTTCTTGACCTATCGCCTGATCCTTTCCCTTTGGATTCTAGAGAGAAAGCAGCTGTATTGTGCCTTTCTTATTTGCCTGACATTTTGGCCACAGGAACTTATGACAAGAAAGTGTCAGTCTATGATCCACGAGGTTAGTACCCATTAGTACCAGTTGCCTACTTTCAAACAATCGTTGTCGCCGTAGTTAAGCCATACAGGTCGCTTGATTGCGTTTCAGCTACTTGGTAACTGGCTGGCATTTGTGACTGATTGCAGCATCCTCTGGTCATGTGATTAAGTTTTGGGGTTTTTTGCCATTTTTCAGCAAATATGCCCATTGGATAAGCTGGAATCAGACTTAAAACCATGGGTTTCACTTAATTACTCTGTGGTTTGCTTGATGATTGCAGTGACTTGCTCAACAACCATTGCAAAAACAATCATAAAATTGTGTCTGGTGACATAGTGACTTGACTTACGACTTCAATAACTTATACTCAAAACTTCTGAACTCGACTGCAGTCACAAGTCATAGATCACCTATATGTCATGGTATTCTTATCTCTATGGACCAAGAGCAATCAGAAAAAAAGGATTATTCCATCTATCTAGACAGATCTAGGCATATTGTGGATGCTCCCAAATAATTACTATCACGTAGAAGGCTTGCCCATTCACAAAATGTCCATGAACCAATCACAAAACACTCAATTATCAGAAAGCAAACTATTATTCCCGTCATTCTCTCTAGCCCCCGAAGATGCTTTCTACTTCTTTAACTTAATACTTACCTTCTTCTAGAAAAGACGTTTCATTTCTGGATGTGGTTGCAGTCATCTACCATTTTTATTTTCCCTGTGGCCAATGCAAAGCCTGGAAGTACAATATTGTTAAAAATAACTGTGTTTTGCAGCATATTAGTTTCCCATTTATTCATGTTTAAATTAGTATAATTTTGTTAAAAAAATTAAATTAGGCAGGAATTAACCGGTATCAAGAGGCATATGGGTAGCTTTGAGTACATTGCCTCCCTACAGCTACAATTAATTTCTGAAGACTGCCAACTCAAGCAGGAAGCTTTATGGAAGAAAATTATAATTCCCCACTATGATTATTTGGGTATAAATTGCTATGGTGGGTAATGCATGCTATTTTTCATTAGGAGTGGTAAAACGGAGGAGCTGGCAAGAGAATTCCTAAAGAAAGCTCTGCCTTCTTTCCTGCTTGCAGTTATCCTGATAATGAAATGGCAAACTCAATGTGGAGGAAGAATTGTATGTGGTTGTAGTTGAGCAAGCCGCCAATTTTATAAGATTTATCTTGTGCAGGTGACTGGGCTGTTGTGATGCATCTCTTGGCCCTCTCCCACAGCTGCTTATGCCCCAGTGATGAGCCGCAGGCTTCACTCCAATGCAGTCCTATCCCTTGTAGCTGACGAACACTTCATTATCTCTGGCAGTGAGGATCGAACGCTGGTATGTTTTGACAGGCGGACCAATAGTGTGCTTCAAAGGCTTCAGGTGAGCTACTCAGCTTCGATCTCCTTTTCATGATAAAACTAGCCAACAGTTTTATAGAGGGGGGAAACCAAGAAAAATTGAATCCTTAACTATTCCATACAATTTTACTATTCTTCCCTAAACTGTAAATTGAACAGATCTGATAGAAGTTAGATAGACATTAGAGCAGGGGTGCCAAACTGCTGGCCCACAAGCCGGATGCGTCATACCAAAACCGCACACACACACACACACCCCATTGACGGCAATGGGAAAAAAGTTGGGATATGTCGCGACACGTCACGTGACATTGCGAATTTGTCATCTGCCCATTAGAGTATAGGAATACAGTACAAGTACAGGAAGTTAGATAAGAATAAGCTAGTGTAAAGGGATAGAACTAGATTATATTAGTAATATAATAAATAATGCAAAGCTAATAGTACAAAAAGTAGAAGATGAAAATAAACAGGAGGTGGAGTGGACTTCCAGTAAGCACCATGGTAAAGTTAGATATACTTGCTGAAGGGGGAATAGCGTTAACGGTGATTGAATGTTGGCTGCAGACAGGCAAATTCTCTCTGGAAAAAGAAAAAAATGTATGATTGCCATTCACACTCTGGACTGTCAGGTTTTATGATTGGCTTGTGAGTCAAATGGCTAGGAGTTCAGTGATATCATCTAACTAACAGTTATAACACAGCCTGTTATATACAAAACACTCTACTGAACCTTATTTCTTAATCATCTTTGGAATTATTTTTAACTGCTTGGAAATATTGAGACGGTTCAGAACAGCAAATTTTTATGGTATTCACTGAGTGAGTCTCCTTCTCCTTGAGGAAAGAAGTTTTAAATATGATTTTAAGGATGTGGAAAAATACTCTTTTTTTTAATAAGTTTTTTAAAAAGGTGTTGATTTTAGAAAATTAAAAAACAATCAGAGATATTTGGAATAAAAATTTAAAACTAATTATAAAATCCTTTTTGCTTGGGTTGATTGGGAAAAAATGGTATAATGGGATTTTGAAGATTGGACACTAGAGGGAACTAAAAGAAAATAAGTATTATAGCTAAAGGAGACCTATACTTAAATTTGACCTGTTAACAAAAAAATGGAGCAAAATACTTTAACTATATATTTTGAAGGACATTTTGAACAATAGACTCCAAAATTAATTTTAAGAATGTTTGATACCATAGCTAATTATTAATGATGTCACACAAAAAAAGAACAAGCTGTACGGATAAGACTGAAATTGATTTGATTATGGATTTAAATATGACAAGTTACAAGAACAAAATGGAACAAGATAATACAGTGGACATAAAAATGAATCTGGTTAATGTCTTAATATTTAAAGGGGACAAACAAGTATTGAATCAGAAGAGATATTTGGATAATATTTTCTTACTGGATGTACAAAAGAGATCTGTTAAAAGTCTTGAAGGAAGACTAGGACATTATTTGAAGGGAATCAAAAACTAAGATTGTTAAAGTATGGGAAAGGAATCTGGAGCTGGTTTAACTGAAGTAGATTAAAGTAGGTAGTTATTTCTGGTAACTCGTGATGGACTTTTGCTGATAAGAAATAAATTATGAGGCTGATGAAATATAGGGGTGAAAAATAAGAAATAGGACAGAATTATATATAACATATATTTTTTCTAATAACAATAAGGAAGAAGAAAATAGTGGAATTTAATATTTACCTGAGACAAAATGTATATGAAACCTTATTTTTGCATATAGGTTTTATAATAAGCCTGCTGACCATGGGAATTATGATATTTCATGCTTATGTCTGATATCATGTAGAACTGAACCTATGGCAATAATATTTATCTTTTCCCCCAGCTGGACACATACTTATTTTCCATGTCGTACCAGGGTTCTCAGCTGTGGGCTGGAGACAATCATGGAATGTTGTATGTCTTTGAGAACAACGGAGGGCGTTTCAAGCACATTCGGGTATGGTACTGATGATAGATCATGGAGGAACAGAGAAATGTGATTCTTCTCTGATTTCCACACATAAAACAATTCTCTTTCATTTGATGTCTCACTGCTTTTTCTTTTGTCAGTATTTTGATGTCGGTCATCGCTCTCAGATCACTGGAGTCCAACACTCATTGGGTGCACTCTATACAACTTCCACTGACAAGACGTTCCGTGTAAGAGTTGTGGTGGTATCTAAGTACTTTACTAGGAATGAAGTGTTAATTTAGCAATAGCACTTAGATTTATATACTGCTTCATAGTAATTTACAGAAGTCTCTGAGCAGTTTACAATGTCAGCCTATTGCCCCCAACAATCTGGGTCCTCATTTTATTGACCTCAGAAGGATATGGTACTCAGAAGGATGAAAGACTGAAGTCAACCTTGAGCCACTCAGAATCGAACTCCTGCACAAGAATTTGCATGAATTATATTTTAAAATACGTATTTTCTTACAAAATATGCATTTCCAAACATTTAGTTCTTAACATGCTTTATGTATTTGGGCGGGTGTTCTCTTTGGATTAAAAAATCAAATCAAATCTAAAGAATAACTGAATTATTTTTGGCCTGGAAAAATAGTTCTGGTAGAATTGTGACTGAGGAGCAAAACAAAACAGAACAAAAAAATTATCACATTACTGTAGATTTGATCAGTGGAAGCAAAATTAATTCTCTCCACTATCATTTTAAAATATTTGATTGAAAACTAAAGCACATAAAGTTGCCACATAAAGTTTTAGCTATAAACTAAAACTTTGGATTATTTCAACAGCTTTAGAGTACTATTAATAGCTTCAGATAAAGATGATGAAATATGATAAAGACCATTTCATAGTTTTTTTAACATATTGCTTCCATATCATTTTGTTACAGATAAGCTCCTTCACTGCATTCTACCTGGCTTTATTAGATTCATAGACCATTGTTTTGGAGAGTTGCCTATATAAATAATTGCATTGGCACAAATGTTTTGGGACTCTAGACTTTATATATAGCAAAGTAAAATAAAGGGTTTTTTTTCAATTTGTTATATTCTCATATACTTTTTAGACTTAAACCTCTTGGATTTTTCTTTCAGATACATGTTCCTACAGATCCACCAAAGATCATCTGCTCACAGACCCATAGCTATGTGCTAAATGGGGTAAGGACAACAGGATGGAGATGCTGGTATACATTATTTAGGAAAGGGGCGCTGTAGCTATAAAAGAGAGGGATCTATTCACTATTGTCATCACTGTTTGGGGTCAAATGGAATTTTATTGTGGGCTTAATGCAGCCATCTCTACTTATCATCAATTTCTTGTTTTGTTTTGTTTTGTTTTTGCAGATCACTGTTGAAGGAAATATGGCAGTAGCTGCCTCAGGTGGTTTGTCCTTGGAGGTTTGGAAACTCAGTGTTTGATAACAAGTCACAGTGATCCATGCTCAGAAGTTCAGGATCATCAAGTACAGTGTATTGGACAATTATTTCCTCACAGGTTCCAGGGTCCTGATGTCTGCTGAATTGTTGTTGTTATTTTTAATATGTTCTTTGAGATTGAATAGTCAAATGTTGAAGCCTCAGCTTTGCTTCTCCCAATAGGGATAACACAGAGGCTTGTATGGAGGCCATCTGATTCACATTTGAACCTTAACCTTAACCTTAACCTAACTCTTTCTTGTTGGCCATTTCTCTCATTTCACCTTGTATGGCTGAAACAAGGTGAAAGGTGTGTACTTTTTCCATCATCTAGCTAGCCCCTTCGAGGTCTGCCCCACTCAACATATAGGAGCAGTGTCTTCTCTTTGGCTTGATGTCTAAGAACTCATTAGTTTACCAGATAAATAAGCACAGGTCTAAGCATGAAAGGGTGAATTATGGGCAGAGGAGAGAGTGATGGTTAGAGAGACTACCCAACTAACTTGGCCTGATGAATGTTTACATTTAATTTAAAATATTCAGCCATAATGGCAGATCAAAAGTTATGTTGCCTTTTTCTCCCTTGTGCTAAGCAAAGTATGTCTTAAAGCATGATTTTTTTAAGGGATTTGGTTTAGAATTAAGAAATGGAACCCACTAAGTAAGATTATACAGCAAATTTTGACTGTACAACCATTTTTTCAATTTTGTCATTATTAAATTATAACAAAAACAAATTTTGAACAAGATGAACTGTTTTTTTCAATGACATATGGCAAGCTTCACATATTGTGCTCAGCCATATGGTTTGGTTGGTTTTGTTTTAATATGATGTATGAACCATATCACAGTATTTTATAAAGCATGGTTTGTAGTCTAGCATTATTGAATTAGCTTTGAGGCTTATTCAGTATGTCATGATTAAAGTAAACCATGCGTTAGCATAATGTGAAAATGCAGATTATAGACGGGTGCAACACAAAATGTCAATTGTTGTATTTTCATTTATGTTATATTTATTTGTCAGTCCTTTGTCATTTTATAAGCAAGAATCTAAGGACTGGTTAAATTTGAGTGCATTTGGATATATGTACATAAACTTGCTTTTGAATTATTCAACAAAGGCAAATTGATAAGTTAAAATCCTTCCCTCTTATTCTTGTTATCTCTGAGAATTAGAAATGTTACTAACTCTGAGCTGGACAGTGTCATTCTTTTCCTTCTACGTAATAGGGTTATTAAAAATACACTAGAATGAATAGTAGGAATAATTGGAGTAACAAATATAAAATACAAAACAATAATATATAATTCCATAATAAAACATTTTGACTTCGTATGAGCATCTTAAACACATCAGTTTCTACTTTTTCATCAAAATTCAGTAATTTCCAGTTTGTTGATTTTTTGAAGCAGGAGTTGATATTAGAATGTATAGTCAGAAAACAATTCAAAAGGCTTATTCCTTCAGTAATATGATATTATTTATAAGGCTGGAGTTATTCTTGAATAAGCACATTATATGAATCTCACCTTCCACAAGAACCACCTGGAATTGGTGTGGTAATAATAAGTACCCCCCTTCCCTCATATACACAATATCAGTTTGGAGTCATGCACCACAAAAAATGAATCAAATAATAAAAATAAGAAAGAGACCAGACTTCGCTCTAGAAAGCAACGCACAGACTCCTTTAATAGTTTATGACATTTAACCAATTATTGACTTCTGAGTGAGGAATGGTAAATTATCACATCCCATGTGTAGACAATGACTGGAGCAAAGACTAAATGACTGACAAGTAGGCCTGTCCCAAGAAACATCTTTGTTAAAGCCTTGAAGCAACTTTAGAGATGGAAAAGAAAGGAAGAAAAAAGAAAAAGGAAGGAAGATCAAAATCTAAAACAGCATTTGAATTGATCAAAATCTACCATTGTTAGTATTTAAAACCAATTTGTTTTACCAGGATTAAAACAAGATAATTTGATAAATTTCTGTAACTCTTTATGGACTTTTTGATGACAACTGGAAAGTTAATGATTTATGGGTTTACAAATGGATAAGGGATTTGCTGTGGGAAGAGATATATGCGTGCAAGAGGGAAGAAATATTAAGTTTGTACTTGTGATAAAGATTAGAGTAATTTCTTTAACTTTTTTATTTTTTTATTTTATTTTTTCTTTGCACTTTGTATTCTTTCTCTTCATTTTCTCTCTCCCTTCTGAATTTGGTTTGTATTATCTTTATTTTTAAAACCGCATAAAATTATTTTAAAAAATTAATTATTCTATTAACAAGAAAGAGTGTCTGTGAAATATATGTTAGATCTAAAGAGAATGTTAATTCATTTATTTCTGGCATTGTATTGATTCTTAAAATATAATCTTTAAAATAATACTTTCAGTAAACTTTGGCTATGTTGATAAGTACACAAAATTTGCCCAAATGATTGAAAAACTAAAAAATGAGTAGATGGAGAAGGTAAAACTGGTAAGGTAAATTCTAGACAATAAACAACAAATATTCCCTAAATTGGCAGATTCTAATATCTTTTGAAGAGATCTGGCTGAAAGTATATTGAAAGTTTAATATGTTTAATTGACAAAAAATAACTTTTGCTAAATTAATTTGCCATCTAAAATTCCTGCCTCAATAAAAGTGAATAAAAAATTCTTGTTCCATCTCCATCACTTCCAAGGTTTAAGATTTTGCATCCAGACTTTAAACATGCTGTGGTTTAGAAATCAGATGAGGGTACATTCATACACTAAATTTCATGTTCCTAATCTCTTTATTTAATGAGCTGTATGAAATAATGGAATGCTCAGGAAAAAAACAATGAATGGAACAATACAGTTCATACTTATGTTCCCCGATTATAGTGGAGACTCAATTATGGTAATAAACTATCTCTGACTCGGCAAATTTTTATGATCTTCATCTTATACTGCATACTGCTTGACATTCATGAAAATATGTTTTCTATAAATGCAGAAGGCATAATATGAAACCCAGAAAGATATGCTTGAATTAGCGTGAGTTTGGAATGAACGTTTTTCATAAGGAAGCTTTTTTAAAAAAATCTGAAAGGAAAATTAGAGACTTAAAGGTACTAAGGAGTGCATCACACTTGGCCTAATCCAGACATATTGGGGCAAGTAAGTAGCTAATTTGGAGAATTATAGAGAGAACAAGAGAAGTGTGTTAAACTACTCCTAGGACTGGAGAAAGAAAACCCATTTTTGGTGGAAAAGTGGACCCATGTTGAAATCTCTCAAGTAAATCAGGTATGAAACAGATGAGCTAATTCTACCTTATTGTAAGGCTATATTTACAGAATCTTGCAAGTCTGAAGGTACAGACTTCCTGCTGCTACTTTTATCTGCTTGATCCATTAAGGTGGGTCCTTCCTAGGTTTCTTGCTCTGACTGTTAAGCCATTCTTGTCTAATTGTTTCCTAGGCAGCCTCTTTCCAAGGTCATTTTCACATTCCATTACAAAATCCACTACTGCTTAGAATGAGGGATCTTAAAAACCTCACAATCTTTCACTCTGAGCTTTTATAAAATAACTGATTGTCTAGAAGAGTTAGGACTAGACATTTATGCTACATTTCAAGAATCTTTGGATAAGAACTTCCATGAGCGACTAGGTCTAGTGTGTGTAGATGATGCCTACTTTATATAATTGTTCCAATGAATATGAACATTGTTCTTATTACAAATAGGATATATCTGAGAGAAGAGACACAATATTGGTAAGCAGAGGAATATATTAACTAGAATTTGAGAGAAAAATAAAGTAACTAATCATTCTAGTAATGTGGCTTATTAAGCATACCGCTCTTTCACTTGCTGTCCCTCTTTTTAATTAATAAGTCTGGAATAAAAAAAGAATGGTACATTTATCCTTGTTTCTTTGGTGCTGCTATCTTATTTTTCCTGGTCATTGTTCTGTTTTAGTCATAATTTTATCAAAAATTTAAAAAAGAATAGAGATTAAAGGAAAAAATAAAAGAAAGAAAAGTGTAAGAAAACAAAAAAGTAAAAAGATCCTCTTTAAGAAAACAACTTTTCACTATCATGACAAATATAATTTCATAATCTCTTTACCTTCTCTTAATTAACAGGTATAAAACTCTTCATCCCATAATACCTTTTAGTAATAAGCAAATCAAAAAAGTAAACATCTCTTTATTCAATTATTAGGAAAAAGTTCAGAGCTATAAAATGTTAACATATATAAAATTTAACTTTCCATATCTCATCCCTTAATTCTAAGCAAAATCCCATTTAAAAGGCATAAAATAGTCTCAATATCCTAGTGTCAATGTTGTTGTTGTTAACTGCGAAGTCGTGTCCAACCCATTGCGACCCCATGGACAACGTTCCTCCAGGTCTTCCTGTCCTCTACCATCTTCTGGAGTCCATTTAAGTTCACGCCTACGGCTTCAGTGACTCCATCCAGCCATCTCATTCTCTGTCGTCCCCTTCTTCTATTGCCCTCAAACTTTCCCAGCATTAGGCCTTTTTCCAGTGAGTCCTTCCTTCTCATTAGGTGGCCAAAGTACTTGAGTTTCAACTTCAATATCTGGCCTTCTAAAGAGCAGTCAGGGTTGATCTCCTCTAGGACTGACCGGTTTGAACGCCTTGCAGTCCAGGGGACTCGCAGGAGTCTTCTCCAGCACCATAGTTCAAAAGGCCTCAATTCTTTGGCGCTCAGCCTTTCTTATGGTCCAACTTTCACAGCCATACATTGCAACTGGGAAAACCATGGCCTTGACTATACGCACTTTTGTTGGCAGGGTGATGTCTCTGCTTTTTAGTATGCTGTCTAGATTTGCCATAGCTTTCCTCCCCAGGAGCAAGCATCTTTTAATTTCTTGGCTGCATTCCCCATCTGAGGTGATCTTGGAGCCCACTACCTCCATTTCTTCCCCATCTATTTGCCAGGAACTGAGAGGGCCGGATGCCATGATTTTGGTTTTCTTAATGTTGAGTTTCAAGCGAACTTTTGCACTCTCCTTCTTTACCCGCATCAAGAGGCTCTTTAGTTCCTCTTCACTTTCTGCCATTAGAGTGGTATCATCTGCATATCTTAAGTTGTTGATATTTCCCCCGGCAAACTTAATTCCAACTTTTGATTCATTTAGCCCTGCCTTTCTCATGATGTGCTCTACATTTAAGTTATATAGGCAGGGCGACAGTATACAGCCTTGTTGGACATCTTTCCCAATTTTGAACCAATCAGTGGTTCCGTGTCTAGTTCTCACTGTTGCTTCTTGACCTGCATATAGGTTTCTCAAGAGACAAATAAGATGGTCTGGTACTCCCATCTCTTTAAGAACTTGCCACAATTTGTTGTGATCCACACAATCAAAGGCTTTAGCATAATCAATGAAGCAGAAGTAGATGTTTTTCTGGAACTCCCTAGCTTTCTCCATGATCCAGCATATGTTGGCAATTTGATCTGTAGTTCCTCTGCCTCTTCGAAATCCTGCCTGTACTTCTGGTAGTTCTCGATCCACATACTGCTGGAGTCTAGCTTGTAGGATTTTTTTATTGAAAAATTTTTAAAAACTTTTACAAAGACAGAAAAAAAAAACAATGACAACTACAATAAGACAAAAAAAAAGACAAAAAACCAAAACAATACAACCCTCCCCCAACCCCTCCCAAATCACCCCCTCCCTCCCCCCCGAGCTTCCCAGAGCAGAATATAGGCTTAATTAAAAGAAGTTAACAAAATTATAAGATAATTAAGAACAAAATATATATGAATAAAGAATTATAAACCTTAAAAAGAAAAAATATTTAAAAAAAAAACAAAGAAAAGAAAAAAAAAGTAGAATTTTTATACAAGTTATAAAAAAGCTGAATGGTATTTTTTCATATCCAATTTAAATTGTATAAAATTTATCCATTTTTCCCATACAGCAAAAAATTTCTCTTGCGTTTGCTCTTTTAAGAAAGCCGAAATCTTTGCCATTTCCGCCAAATAAGATACTTTAAAAAACCACTCTTGCAAAGTAGGCAAAGATTCCTTCTTCCAATATTGACCTACTAGCAGCCTTGCGGCTGTAATCAAATTCAACATCAATATAACCTCCTTAGCATCACAATCAGTAACAATACCAAGCAAAAACAATTGTGGAGTAAATTTTACCCTCTTTCTAAAAATTCTCTGAATGTTCCACCATATCTTAATCCAAAAAGCTTTTATATTTTTACACGACCACCAAATATGATAATAAGTGGCATCCAAACAGCCACATCTCCAACATTTAGGCTGTAAGTCAGGATACATGAGAGACATCTTTTGTGGATCAAGGTGCCATCTATAAAACATTTTATAAAAATTCTCCCTTAAATTCTGGGCTTGTGTAAACTTAACATTTCTCACCCAGATAGTTTCCCAGGTATCCAGTAGAACTGGTTCACCAAAATTCTGCGCCCATTTGATCATACAATCTTTAATTAATTCTGATTCTGAATCCAGTTCCACTAGCACCCCATAAATTCTTTTAATATGAGTTTGTCTTTGATCCTTTACTTGCTTGAAAAGATTTTGATCTTCTCTAAGCAGACCTAAATTACGATCCATCTTCCATCTATCTAATAGTTGTCTATATTGAAACCAAGAATAGGTAATATTTTCATGTAACAAATCTTCCAAAGATTTTAACTGCCAATTTAGACCATCCCATCTAAGTAATTGTGTATAAGACACCGTATCCATTTTAACACCTCTCTTTATCCCCTCTATCGCATGCCAAGGTATGGCCCATAATGGTATTTTAAAATCACTTTTATAATATTTCCTCCAGACTCTAAGTAGAGAAATCCTTAAAATATGAGATTTAAAAGCCCGATCCACTTTTTTATTAAATATTAAATAGGCATGCCAACCAAAGAGTAAATCCCATCCCTCCAGATGGAGTATCTCTGAATTTGTTAAGTTTACCCAATCACTTATTAACGTAAAAACCACTGCATCATAATATAATTTCAAATTCGGTACCTTGAGTCCACCTCTCTCACGGAAGTCCTGCATAATTTTAAACTTTACCCTTGGTTTTTTCCCTGCCCAAATACATTTGTTAATACCTTTCTGCCATTCATTCAAATTAACCTCGTTCTTTAAAATAGGTAACATTTGAAACAAAAAGAGAAATTTGGGCAGGACATTCATTTTAATCACTGCAATTCGTCCCATGAGAGATAACTGTAACTTTTCCCAATTCCTCAAGTCCTTCTGTACACTGGCCCACAGCCTTTCATAATTATTCTTAAACAATTTTGCATTAGAAACAGATATGGTGACCCCCAAACATTTTGTCTTATCAACAATTTCAAAACCAGTCAACTCAGCCAAAATCTGTTTGTCCTGAATAGTCATATTTTAGCTAATATTTTAGTCTTATTATTATTAATTTTAAAGCCCGAAACTAGTCCATATTGACGAATCAGCTGTAATAAGTTAACTACAGAATAGGTAGGTTGAGATTAAAGTAACCACCAAGTCATCTGCAAAAGCTCTTAACTTGTACTCTTTTTTATTAACTTCTATTCCTCTTATTACCTGCGATTCTCGGATTTTAATCAACAAAATTTCCAATGTTAAAACAAACAGCAAAGGTGACAGAGGACATCCCTGTCTAGTACCTTTTTCTATTATAAAAACCTCTGACAAACCCCCATTAACAATAAGTTGTGCCGTTTGCTTTTGATATATAGCAGTAAAAGCTTGTAATATTTTCCCTCCAAAATTCATCTCCTGAATTGCTCTTAACATAAAATGCCAATTTAATTGATCAAAAGCTTTTTCAGCATCTAAAAATATCAGCTCTGCAGGGACTTGGTTGTTCTTATCTAAATATTCTAATATGTTAATAATTTGTCTAGCATTATTTTTCATGTACCTGCCAATTATAAAACCCGATTGATCCTTATGTATAAGCTGATGCACAACCTTCATAAGCCTATTAGCTAAAATTTTTGCAAAAATCTTATAATCTACATTTAAAAGAGATATAGGTCTATAATTCCTTGGTAAAGTAAGATCTTGATCCTCTTTTGGAATCAAGGATATAAAAGCACTGCGCCATGATGGAGGGATCTCTGCACCCTGCAATATATTATTAAAAAGCTCAGCTAAAGATTGAGTCACCTCTTCAACTAAAGTTTTATAATAAATAGATGTCAAGCCATCCGTACTTGGCGCTTTACCTAATTTTAATTGCTTAATAACCGTCACAATCTCCTCATTGGTAATTGGACCATTAATTTCTTGCTTCTGATCTTCTGTCAATTTAGGAAAGTTAGCCTCACTTAAATATTTATGTCTGAAATTTGTACATTAGTAGTCTTATATAATTTTTGATAGTAGTCTAAAAAAGATTTCTTAATCAGTTCTTTCTGATACACTAATTTACCATTATAATTTATTTTATCTATTATTCTCTGTCTCTGTTTCTTTCTTAATTGATAAGCCAACCATCTCCCTGGTTTATTGGCATTACAAAATGTATTTTGTTTCATAAACAAAAGATTAGTTGCAGATTGGTCAGCCATCAGCATATTAAATTGTGCTCTTAAAAGCTTTATAGATTCCTTAATCTTTTCATCTGAAGGATTTAGAATCAAAAACTTTTCTTTTAATTTAATCTCCTCTTCCAATTCCTTACGCTTCTGAATCTGCTTTTGTCTATGAACGTTGTTCATTTTTATCAGAATTCCACGCATAAAAGCTTTACCTGCATCCCATACCATTGATGTTGATGTCCCCTTATGCATATTCAAAACAAAATAATCCTTTTAAACAGTCCTTTAACTTTTGAACATTCTTTTCTTGTCTAAATAAGTTCTCATTCACCCTCCAGGATCTCCTCTCCTCTTTTTCATGAAT